GCACCCTGTCCTGATGGCTCGCTCGTCGGGATTACATGGCAGACTTTTGCTAATGCCGAATTCGCGCGCGTGGAGCGAATCGATTAAACGAAATGTTCTTGGATCGCGAAACGAACGGTACAAATTGGACGTCACCCCAAAAACCTCTGCAGCATGGCCGCATAGGGGTTGCGTTTAATGTATCACGTGCAGTGTGGCGCCCCAAAATCCTCCGTACCCTTTCTGACTTTTGCTATAAATGAGAATTGCCTTGTTCCTGAATCCCCATTACGATAAATTCGGTGTCGAGAATGAGTCTTTGCAGCAAATGACTTCATTACATGGTGGCTGCGTGTTATATTAGGTTTTTTCTTAACGGAGTCAGTAAGGTATTTTATTTTCGTGAGCCAAAAAGGTAGAGCTGAAATTTCTTTCTGATGAGAATTTAAATATGCATTCTGTCAAAAAGATATTTTCACATAAAGTAATTTAAAAAAAAAGTGTATTAACTGCTGTATAAAATAAATCAGCTGCATGCGTATTTTTCTTAATGCAGAAATATAAATGGTAGCTTCATTATGCTTATATCAGCAAAATTTAAAAACGAAAAGCAGTTATGCTTGATAATAATTTTTTCTTATAAAATGTTACAAAATTTAATCGCTATATGCAGAGTGGAACAGACGTGGAGAGAAAAGTTTTGTTATAACTCTGGGCATTAAGTGCGACACGTACTTGCAATTAGACTGCGAAATCGCCCGGGCGTGATGTAACAGCTAATTAAAATCGGGAGCAATTCTCGGCATCTGCTGCGCCTGAACGATAATTTGTCTCAATTGTAAAACTTGCCTGCTCTACACTTTTTACACGAGACTCGAATTACGATCCAGACTAGAAAAATATACAAACTTTGAACACTTTTTATTAATTAGACCTTTTGCGATTGTGCAAAGATATGCACATGAAAACCAATTTCTCGTTCATCGATGTACAGAATTAGACAAGCAGTTTCTTTGAACCATCTCCACGCATAAATGGAACGTTAACATTTATGGTCGTTAAGAGAAATAAATAAATCTTTTTATATCTGTGAGCGCAAGACGCGCGGCCGAGTACGTACAAAAGGAAACAAGATTGACTCTGAACGGCCCTCGAGCACGACAAACAACACCCATATCCCAGTTTGATATGTCTGTGTATACGGTCGAGTATGTTGGTTCACTCGAATATACCTTTATGGCCCTAATATTGGAACACAAATAGACATAAAATATCGAGCTGCCTCTGCTTTGTTAGTCCCCGGTCTCTCTTGCTCTGCTTTTATTTCCATTTACTTTGATGTCCTGCAGTTCAATTTATTGGGGGTAAAAATTTAATTACCAAAGCAAATATTAGAAATGTGTATTATGGCGAACATGAAACGCACGCTGAGCGGCAGAGAGCTGGCTTTTATGGCGTTTTGTGGAGCAGAGAAAGATTGAACGGGCGTGCTTTTTGTTTGATTGCCAGTGCTTGTACACACATGTGCGTGTACTTGAAATCGCTAACACTGTTGTGTTTTCATCGCAATAAATTATTTTTGCAAATACGGTAAATATTTTTATGATTATAAAATTTCTAAACATGTGCCTTTTGTTGCAGCAGATGTATGCAACTGGCACAACTGATCACAATTTCCGGTTGCATAAGCGTTTTCTTTAAAAAAAAAGTACTGATGGTGAATTTTATCTACCATTTTCAAATCAAAATCACAAAATGTCAAAAACGTCTTTATAAAATATTATTTTTTAGCATATTTCAAGCTTGATGTGCACCTGCTGCAGAGTTCTGACGGCGTCTCGTCCGAGCGAATGTGTCAAGTGCAAAAAACAGTGTCCTTTGAGTCAGTTGGACAAATGCAGAGTCGCTGGTTACACGAGACAAAAAGGCGGCAGCATCTGTCAAAATATTATGGAGTAGAGAGCGGCGAACGATATCGAGCCCCTCGTCCATCATTGCCTGCCACACGGTCGTTCCGTTCGTTCACTCGCTCTCTCGCGCGCATTATGGAGCGAAAGAGGACCTTCATTTCGCCAACAGCGGCGGCAGCGTGTCATTCTTTCCGGCGACAAAAAAGCTGTCAAAAAAATTTGACGAGCGCAGAAGCAACGTTGCTGCAGCGTTGAATATTGGAAAAAAGCTGCTCATTTTTTTACTTTGCATCAAATTTGCATGATAAAAAATAAATCAAACTGCTGCTGCGCTTTTTGTTGCAAGGCGCGCGAGAGACGAGGAGAGGGTGCGAGTGAGATTAATTAATCACAGAATATTAAATTCTCCGCTAATGTAAAACAATTCGGCATGACAGACACTCTCTCTTGCCCCTGCCTTTCATATTCGCCAGCGCACCCACCCATCGTGTCTTTCGAGAATAAGAAAGTCTCCTTTTGTATCAAAAACAACTGGTGCACAAGTTCCTTGTCACCCCTTTTTAATAAGCCCTCTTCTATAGAATTATTTAAATACCCTCTCGTTGACGACAAAAGTAATTAGAGAGGAGCAGAAAATCTTTTTCTCTAAAAAAATTTAATCTTATTTCAATCTGAAATCCTTTTTCTATGTCATTTTCCAAATCTCAATCCCTGCTGCTCTTGTTACAGGTCGCGTTCCAGAGCAAGTAAAACATCAAGGGTCCTCAGTGATATGGCAGCTGCTGGGGGCCGCAGAAGTGCTACTCGTCGGAGCTGATTTGCTTTTAATTCGCAAACAAGAGTTGCCGCGTTGTTTGTCACTCATTTCATTGGAATATTCGACTGTCAGTCAAGCAAAGCTGCCGCTGCGTAGCGAGAAAAATATAGGAACGAGAGAGAGATATGAATACGAGTGGGCTGCTGAAGAGCCGAGGGGCCATATTTCACGCTATCTCCAATATATTATACGCGCAGAGTGAAATATGGCCTCCCCGGAGGCTTTGGTAAATGCATATCGTAGGAATTTCGCCAGGGAATGCCTGGTGAGTGCGCGAGAGAGCGGCCTCTGCTCCGGACAACATCCCCATTTTCGTACTTTCGGCCTCGAGTGCCGCGCGGACCGACTTTTTGCTCGCGGTTTCCTCTTTTGTGCGTGCACTTCCGCCCACGCTGCCGACTTCCAAACTGAAGAGGGGAACTTCAAGAGACGCAACTTTCGTTGCATCGGAGCGCAGCATGTTGCATAAGTTATATTTCAGGAATGAGGATTTTAACTAAACTCTTATCGCGGTAACTTTAAAAAATGTAATAAACGTCATTTTCATTGAAAAAGGAATGGTTGTTTAAAATTTTTGTAACTGTCTATACATTTTATTTTAAAATAAAGATGATGCCATACATTAATGAAGAAATCAGAATAAAGAACCGAAAAGATTTAATTAAGCTGTTTTCATTTTATTGAATATTGCTCTAAAGAAAAAAAATGTTATAAGCTGCTAGAAAGGACGAAGGACGCGACCGAAACTTTTCAACGCAGGACGATGCGATACACACACTTGAAGAGCGCACCGTACACGACGCCCCGCAGCGTCTTCTGGCTCTCACTAGCTTGGTACGAAAGTGGCAGTAATGGGCACTAAAAGTCTCCAGCAGCGAGCCAAAACAACCCCGGCCGCGTGCAGCCTTGGTGGTTTTACACCCGCAACAGCACGTGACGTTTCCTTTATTTTGTCACGGCAAAACAAGATGCATTAAGCGTCAGCTTCACTCTCTCGCCCCGCGCAACTTATATTTTTATAACAACCCTCTGCTTGCGACAAAAGAAGCTGCTGCGAAAGAAAAGAGGGATAAGGCTTTTGTGCAACGCGAAAGTGAAATATTACCAATAAAATGTATACAAAAGTGCGAGGCGTCGTAAAAATGACGAGGGAGGTCTCCTTGTGTCCTCCCCGACGATAATGGACACATATAGAGAACCGCTGTATATAAGACGAAGGATTTAATATATTTATATTTTATTTTTTACAAATTTTTTTTAATGAAGAGTTTTATGCCATAAAAACAATTAAGTCAAGGCTGATGAAAGTGCTTTACGCGATTTGACAAATCACTGATTATAGGGGAAGGGACGGTCTTTCTCCTTTTGCGGAAGTAAGAGCGCTGACCCAGGAAATTGTCTGACCATAATGCAGCGCGCGCTAAAAGCATTATTTCCTGATGTTGTCTTCAGATATTTATCACCCTGTAACGAAGACAATATAATTAAAGGAAGCAGAGTAAATTGATGCGCTGGCTGTGTGTGTGTCAAAGAGTGCGCGGCACCCTTTTTCCTTTCAGGCTCCGCCGAGTATCGATCCCTCGAGGGCGAATCGAAAGAAAGCACATAAATGGCGCAACTTTGGCCAGAGAGTACATAGAGCGAACATCTTGGTTTACAAAGGAGGGAGCAGCAGCGGGAGAAAAACATGAATTTTCCGCCCGACTTGCAATTAAGTCTGTTTCCATGTGTGTTAGAGCAAAAGTTTATTATCCCGGCGGCGGCCGCAGCACAGCGGGCGCTTATGTATAGTATGGCAGCGCGCAGAGATTGCCTTTTTCTACCTAAGTGGTTTCCCATCGCGAGCACTCGGGCGGAAACAAAAAGATGGAAGTTGCTCTCTGGATCAGCGAGAGAACCGATAACCCTGGTAGAGCAAATGTTTCCAAATCCCCCCGCAACCCCAACCAACAAAGACCAATCAATACCGCTCTGGGCCTCCGACTCTGCTTGCAAAAACATTTATCTCGCGACGCATCCCTGACTCCATAAGCAGCTCTCAATAAAATTTCATGACGTTGCTCTACAGTTGTTTTATTTCATGTATTGATTCCTTTATGATGGAGGAAAAGTACTATTTTATAAAAATTTGGAGAGTTACATTCCAAATATTAATAATATTGATCTATTTGAACTATTTAAAGGGATTTTAAGACATAATTAATCCAATTGTCTATTTATTTATTTTAATTTTTTTTTGTATAGGTTATTTTGGAATATTCTAAATTTTAAAGTATGCCAAAAATATAGTTTCCATCACTTTAGGCTTCTTTATTAATTGCAACACAATTTATTTCAGAGTTGTTTAGAGCATAAACATGTTGATTTGAGACTGCACACTATTTACAGGGATCAATAATTGTACCACAATGTAGAACGTTGTCGATAAACTTCTCCTCTTAATCAAATCACTCAAAAAGGTCATGATCGTACACAACCAGTTCTCTTGCATCTTTGTGGCTGCCTTTCTGTGAATGGCTGGCAGCTGAAAATGAAATTTTACCCAGTTTTAGGCACAGTTTATTATTCGACAACTAATTTTGCACCTATAGTTGACCAAGTGGCCGAGGATGATGCTTCGTTTATAGGCTCTATGCGTGGCTGTCGTCTCGCAAGAGTCACCTTTAGTTGAATGCCCTTCACCATACTGCCTTCCATCTAAAACCAAACTTTCATGAATGGGCGTCACAAAATAGTATTCAGAGTCTAGAGTTTGTTTTCCTTTTTTTTTAACAATTTATAAAACATTTCTGAATATTCCATAACAAAAATAAAAATATTTGCAATTTTCCATTTATTTACCTCCGCAATAGCTCTGTCAGCAGAGTCCATCTTCTCAAATGTGACAAACCCTCGGCTGAAGAATTAATTTATTATTAAATTGAATCGGTAGCAATTAAATTTTTTTTACTTTTTCTCAATTTCCATGGAAACATTGACAATTTTTCCAAAGGGCTGAAACGCCGTTTTTAAAATGTCTTCTGTGATTTTGTAGCCGTAGACATAAATGGTGTTGCCTTGTCTAGGCTTAGCCTGCTCAGGTCGACCTCCGGCTCCAACCTCTTTATTGTCCGTCAGGCCTCGTTCTTCTCGATCTCGGGCAGACACAAAGCTCTCGTACAAATTCTGCAGTAGAAAAAAATAATAATTTACCAAAGGAATAATAATTTCCATGATAGTAGATTAAGAAGAGCATAGCTATAGTTAAGAAAAAAAATGCATTTAAATAAATCAAAATTGTCAGGCAACAGAGGAAATTTTCAAAAATCAATTAAACCAATGTTATACATAGATGGTTATTAATTAACTATTAAATAAATTTAATTTAATCTTTGCCTTGACTCTTGGTCTGGCTTCAGTCTCTGTTTCTTCAGGGTGAGTGGCAGAGAAGGGTTGGTAGCCGCTGACAGCACGGTCAGTTCCAGACAACTTTCGTTCCATTGCTCTGATGGGCCTTTTGAAGCCGGCCTGTTCTGCTTTACGAGGGCTCTTGGTAATGGCGGCTATGGCACCAGATTTGATCAGCTTCTTGGCCATCTCTTTTGCGTCCTTGGCCTCCAAAGGACGTTTCAACACTGGTGCCCTCTCCGGTTCTGGCTTTGGAGCTTTCAGAGCTTGCAGCGCTTTTCGCTAAAATAAAAATTATGTGCATGAATATAAGCGTCAATAATTTTAAAATTAAAACTTTAATTGACAGTAAAAAGTAAATAAGAAAATTTGTCTTTAATCTGTAATTAAAGGCAAAATTTTCTTTTCTTAGATTCTAAGCAGAAACTTAAAAATTACAGCAAAATCTATGTACCTTTTTCCTGAGTTTTTGATACTTTGCTTGAAGCATAAGCTCCTCCTCAGTCAGATTTGTGGGAAAGTGCAAGTAGACCATTTTTCTCTGCCAAAATTACCTAGCCAAACTGCAAGATAATCAACAAACGAATGTAAACAAACAACCAGTGGCGGGGGAGGGCGTGTCCGTGGACACGCCCCCGTGGCCAGTTGGCATCCGTGCCCCAGGTGGTGGCCAGCCCAAAACGCTGGACAGTGGTCTGTTTTCCTGCAAAATGATAAAAAACTGAATGAAGACATTGCTCTTGAGCGGCTTGAGGCGGGTGGACGGCCAATTGACCAACGCTTTTCGGTTCGCAGCCGCTGAAAAAATCGATTTCCCCACTCTAATCGGTGGCAGCTGAGTCGGAAAACTCGGGTCCCGTTCTTTCGTTTGCACCAGTCGAATGCACCTGTGCGAAATCGGTCGGCCTACGTGTCATTAAACACTCGCCCGAGACGAACTGACGAAAGAAACACTTGTCTTGGCTCGTTAAAAAAGCTTCACACAGGATGACGTCACGCCGAGAAATGCGTGCCGCCGAGTGAAAACAAAGGCAATATCAGAGAGCGTGAAAGACCGCGGCTGGCAGACAAGAGATGAGGGCCGTCGTCATCCTATCGGTCCTCCTGGCGGCCCATGCGGCCAAACTGGCTGGCAACAACAATGAACCGACCCAACTTTACACTGTCAACGATAAAGTGGAGCTACTGACCAACTTAACTTTCCGAAGCGCCGTCTACGAAAAGCCAAACGTTTGGCTTGTCGAGTTCTATAACAGTTGGTGCGGATTCTGCCAGAGGTTTGCACCAACCTGGAAGGAGGTTGCAGCTTCTGTTTATCGTAGGATTTGTATTATTATTTTAAAAACTTTTAATTAAATTCCACTTTTTTTAATTTCAGCTTGGAAGGAGATTGTTACAGTTGGCGTCGTTGACTGCGCAAAGTTTGAAAACAACCCTCTCTGCCGCGACCTGGAAATCATGAGCTACCCTACCATGAGAGTTTTTCCTCCCATGACCAAACCTGGTGAAATGGGCATCGACTTGGAAGCTGAGAAAACGTTTACCAGTATCAAGGCAGGTTTACTGGAGTTCATTGAAAAGGAGCAACTCGAAGGAAAGGGCGTGCAGGGATGGCCTACACTCACTCCCTACAGGTATAACGGGAAATTCGGCCTTATCTTTGAGCGCTTATTCAATGCTAATTAATAAGACATTTTTTTTCAAGAGTGATAAGCACTTGATAATTTTAAGCACTTTTTAATATTTGTGTGCTTGTGATAATTGCACCGTGTCCGTCGCTTAAACTTTGAGGAAAAGCAACTTAAAAAAAGTTGCATGGCATGTTTGTTTTGCACGTTTTCCTTAATTTTTACATGTTTTTTTAAAAAAAAGTTAGCAGTTAATGAAGTTAAAATTAAAATTTCTTATTTTTAGACTTAAAAAACCTGAACTTTAAAAGAGCACCTTAAAATTTAATCTGTTAAATTCCATGTAAAAAAGACCAAAATTTTAGTCACACATATTTCAAGGATATCGTCAAGAGAACTTAAGATCTTTACAAAATTAGGTGTAAACTTGTTCTTACTAATTCTTCTTAAGATAAGATAAAAAAAATTATGTATTGACAAATGGATCTCTTGATTGATTACCAGGAACAGCGAAGTGGCCAACATTTGGGCACAAACTCCAAGTAGTGTTCAGCACATCTTCCTGATTTTTGAAGAGGTCGGATCTACAATGGGAAAAGAGGTCATCCTGGACTTCCATAAAGTCAAGAATGTGCAAATTCGTCGAGCCACAACCAACAACGAGGCTTTAGCCAAATTAATCGAGGTCTCAAACTACCCTGCATTGGCAGTCTTGAAAAGGGACATGTCCGTTGTACACGTGCTGCCAACCTCAAAGACAAGAGAAGGATTTGCAGCCGCTGTGCATGCCTTCCTGGCCCGTGAAGGAATCATTGAAGACGTTTCAGCCGTCAGAGACATCCCACGAGAGACTGACCTGCTGAAAGGCAAAGTTGCTGCACCGATCAAGACCAACTCTGAGAAGGTCCACAGTTTTCCTGATGTTGTCTATCAAGCAGATTTGGAAAACACTCTTCGATTCTCCTTAAAACATGAGATTGCTATGCACAGAGTTATTGCGGGAGAAACTCTAGAGGCGCTCAAGATGTATCTTCGATCCCTGGCCAGTTTCTATCCAACGAGGCCGCAGGGAACTATGTTCTTGGAGAGGCTCAGGGACTGGGTTGAGGCCTCTGGAGACTCGATCAGAGGAGAGGACTTCATGCTCAGAATTAACCAGTTTGAGAAGGAGTTCAACTTCATCATTCCAGAGAATCAGGTAAATTTGAAAGGCAGTTTTTCTGTTAATGAAATAACTAAAATATTGAGTGTTTAAACCACAATCTCAATTGGCGTAATTTGTAAATAGAAAGGAAATTTGTAAATGAATGTAATATTTTTGTTTATTTCTTTCTTTTTGTTTGGTATAACATGATGTTATATCTAGTCTTTGTTTTAAAACATTTTTAGAAGCCTCAGCAATCTCTCATAATAAAATGAAAAAAAATGATAACAAATAATGATAGAAGGCTAATTGTGGAAGAGTAAAAAAAAAAATTTAATAAAAATCCATTCCCATTTTAAATTTAACTCCAGCGGAATTATAACTAAAAGATGAATATCAAGCTTTTGCTCACTTTAAAGGCTTGGAATTTTCTAAAATTTTCCATTTTTGCAGGACTGGATTGGTTGCCGTGGAAGCGATCAGAAGTTCCGTGGCTACACCTGCGGTCTCTGGACAATGTTCCACGCCTTGACTGTCAGCGCAGCGTCCCAGACAAAGAGAAGGGCCACTCCAGGCAGCGAGCTAGTTCTGCAGTCCATCCTGCGCTACGTCCGCCACTTCTTTGGCTGCGCCGGCTGCTCAAAGCACTTCCAGGAGATGGCCCGGAACCGGAATTTGGAGGGGGTGCGCGGACTTGACGAAGCGGTCATGTGGCTGTGGGAGGCGCACAATGTGGTCAACAAACGGCTGAAGGGTGACGTCACGGAAGACCCACACCACCCTAAGATCCAGTTTCCAAACGTCCTGTCCTGTTCGAGTTGCAAAGTCGAAGGTGAGGAGTGGGACCGCGAACAGGTTTTGCGCTACGTCAAAGAGCGCTATGCCAAGAACAACATCTGCAACCAGGACGCCGACTCGGCCCACATGTGTGCTCCAGTGGCGGAAAACGTGGTAGCACTGAGACAGTTGGACCAAAGGACAAACTTCTTCGATGATGAAAATGCCCAGCAAGGTTCAAGTGAGTTCAACTATGCAGACATCTTCCTCTGTGTTGTGCTCTACCTTGTTTCGGCCGTGGTTTTGGTTCTTGGTTATTACAAGTTCATTTATAGACGGGGCTACAAGATGAAGTACAATGTGAACTGAAATTTAATTTTGTTCTGCCTGCGAGTTCGGGCACGAGATTCTCTGTGATCTTTTTTTAATACCAAACACTAAACACACACATCATTCCACTTGTGAATATTTTCCCATTTTCTATTTTAGTCAAGTTAAATGAAATGAATTATTGTCAAGGTACTCCTGGTGCGTAGATAATCAATCAGCATTCCGTTGTTAATGAGATAAATGATGAGCGTGCAATTAAACTAAATGCCTTTGTTGCTGATCTCGACGTGTGGATTAAATTTCTATTGCAAACAACACCGAGTGTGACTCAAGTGCAAAATTGATTATGTATTTTATCTCTCAAAGAGTGCTTCTGTCTTTGCAGAAGAATGCGCAGCTATTTTTAAATGTAGAGAGAGAGAGAGATCTTTGGTTTACGGTGGAGAATCTCTTTGAGTGAACTGGTAAAGAGCTAAGCGATTGATTGCAACAGCCAGCCAAATTAATTCAGTGCAGATTTATTGATGAAAAATAAATTATTTAAAATATGTTTTAAAAACTTTTTTCTTTTATGGTGGATTGAATTTAAATTCGGCTTTTCCTCGATGCAACCCTCGATCGTGAACTTCTACTACAAAATTTTTTCTATTATATTTATTAATTTTGCAGTTTTAAACAGATTTTCCTTACCGTTATTTTAATGGATTTTGGACATTTTAATTCGTTTTCCAAGCATTGGTTTTTCGCTCAGGTTCTGAATCCAGGTAAAAAAAATTTGAAAAGTATAATATTTGTTTACTTAAATTTTTTTTTTAGCAATTTGGTTTACAAATTATAATTCAACAACTTAACCAATCTCATTTATTGCTTGAATCGTTATAGCACAATCATTTTATGCAAATTACGAAGTCTTAGTATATATCGTTAATATCTAGTTTTAATTAAGTTAAGTAAGCCAGTTGAATAAAATTTTTATATCATAATAATATCGAAACCAAAATTTACAAAAAAAATTTAATCCCCGTTTATGATATATGATTTTTATGCCAATTGCTATTTATGGCTTAAAACATTTTTTAGTTATAATAAATAAAATTATCATTGTACTCAATAATCAATCAACTCTTCTCTAATCAGTCCTACTCGTATGTGTTTCGGACAGTGAAAAATTTTGTAAGGTTGGCAGTGGCACTTTTGGCAAACGTCCCACACAAAACACACATCAGCAAACTTGCCAACACCTGGCATGCTCTTGTTATGGTGTTGTGAATGCGATTATTTTCGACGTCAACAGATGTGAATGTGCTGTATTTGAGACTCATCGAAGCTCTCGTCAAAAGGCCAGATAAGATAAAAACGACCGGCGGCGTGTCTGCAGAATCTGCACGAACAAAAATCGTACTTTGGAGGCGATCGACGCTCTCTTGGGAAGGACAACACACCGTACGTGGAACCGTGAATGCTTATCGCAGGCAGGTTATTATGCATGGGCCGACCGGTGATGTGACGTGGTGCACCTACACGGAAGGTATTCTTTGATGAACAAACTATAGCGGCCACGTAAAACATGTTGCGGAGGAACGTGCGAACCCTTATCAAGTTGGGCCTGGTGGCCCTCCTTGCCGTCGTCTCCACAATGATCACTCTCAAGTTACTCGGACCTGTGGAGGACAACCTGTCCAACTCCATGCCAAGTGACCCTCTCAAGGTTTCCCTGGAATTAATTTGAAATTTAATTAGATTTCAATTCCTGCTTTTAAAAATCCTCAGAGGTTGGATCCGGTTACAAAGGAGAGCTTTCACGTCGAAGACGCCGAAATTGCAGACAGACCAAAAAATGGGCAAATTGACTGGCACGACTATGCCCAAATTAAAGCCGACAGTCTCAGAAAAGGTATCTTTCTTTTATTTATTTATTTTTTTTTTAATAAATAATTTTTACTTACTCTTTAGGACCTGGAGAACAAGGGCAGTCTGTGGTGTTAAAACCTGAAGATGAGCACGAAAAGAAGGAGCTTTACAGTCAGAACGGATTCAATGCGCTTGCCAGCGACAGGATTTCTCTGAACAGATCTCTTCCCGACATTCGCCACCCTGGCTGCAAGAAGAAGCGGTACGTGGCTGACCTGCCAGAGGTGTCTGTGGTTGTTCCCTTCCACAATGAGCACCTTTCCACACTGCTCAGGACGGCAATGTCTGCAATTTATAGAGCGCCACCAGGAAAAGTCTTGGAGGTCATCCTGGTTGATGATTTCAGCAATAAAGGTTCCGAAACATTTTTTTCCAAGCTTTTATTTTATGATTTTTTTTTTTCAGAAATATTGAGGAAGCCGCTGGAAGAATATATTGAGAAGCACTTACCCCGCGTCAAAGTCCTCCGGCTGCCCGAAAGGTCGGGCCTAATCAGGGCAAGATTAGCAGGTGCTCGAGCAGCCAAAGGTGAAGTTCTGCTCTTCCTTGATTCACACACCGAGTGCAATGTGAATTATTTACCACCATTATTGGAGCCCATTGCAAAAGACTACAAAACCTGTGTGTGCCCTTTTATCGATGTCATCGACTTTGAGAATTTCCAGTACAGAGCTCAAGACGAAGGTGCACGCGGGGCCTTTGACTGGGAATTTTTTTACAAAAGATTGCCTTTGTTGCCTGAAGACCTAAAACACCCTACTGAACCCTTCAAGTGAGTGGACGAGGCTCTAATACGACTAAATTTAATTAATAACTATTGACTTTTAGGAGCCCTGTGATGGCTGGAGGGCTGTTTGCCATCAGCGCCCGATTTTTCTGGGAGCTTGGTGGCTACGATCCTGGATTGCTCATTTGGGGTGGTGAGCAGTACGAGTTGTCCTTCAAGATCTGGCAGTGTGGCGGAACAATGGTGGATGCCCCTTGCTCAAGAATAGGGCACATTTACCGCAAGTTTGCTCCATTCCCCAACCCACACAGTGGTACCGATTTTGTTGGAAAGGTACATTTGATTTTTCTATCATCCTCCCCCTTTTAACCCTCAATAAGAAAAATGCAATTTTCATAATTATTTGAAGTAATATATTTTTTTTAACCGCAGATCATTAAAAAATTTCTCCTAAAATAATATTTCAAATCTATATATTCTAATCTTATCTATGCACCAAATCCCTTAAAGTGGCATTAGAACTGTCAAACATGATCAAATGAAATCAAATCTTTGTTGATTCTAGAATTACATGCGCGTGGCGACGGTGTGGATGGACGAGTATAAAGAATACCTTCTGAAAAGACGGCCGCAATATGCTAAGATTGACCCTGGCGATCTGACTGACCAGCTGGCTGTGCGGAAGAGGTTGAACTGCAAGCCTTTCAAATGGTTTATGAAGGAAGTGGCTTTTGACTTACCACTGAAGTATCCACCGATCGAGCCACCTGACTTTGCCTCTGGCGAAATCATGAGTGTTGCCCTCAAAGACTATTGTGTTGACTCGATGCATAAGAATAAGGATGAGTCGGTTGGACTTGAGCGCTGTGTTAAGGGTGGTGCTGCAAAACAGGGAAGCACGGAACAGGTAAAAATGAATAAATTATAACTAATGAACTGGAAATGATTTAATTAAATGTTTTTAGGAATTTACTTTGACTTGGCACAAGGACGTGCGACCCAAAGGACGCACAATGTGCTGGGATGTGCCTTCGGCATCGGAAAAGAGGGCTCCGATAAAACTATGGGGCTGTCACGGAATGCAGGGCAACCAGCTGTGGCGTTATGACCCTGTAAGTATCTTCATTTTAATTTTTTATTCCTGGATATTATTTTTCTTTAAACCAAATTATTTTTATTTCAAACGTGTACATATTATTTGAAATTTGAAAAAAAAGTTTCCCCTTGTAAACATCCCCATTTCTTGTTACAGGACACAAAGCATTTGATCCACGGTGGAAATCCATTGTGCCTGGACTGTGACCGAGAAACTAAGCAACTATTTGTTGCGGCCTGTAAGGAAGATTCAGAAACACAAAAGTGGCTATTTGAAAAGACGGACTTAAAGGCACTGGCCAATTGGGACAATGCTGGCCCCAAATAGATTGTTTTGTTTAGTTATTTTTTGACAGTCTGTGATGAAAGTTGTACTTGTGACAGAATTGATTCATGCACGTCCACATGCATTTTGCAATGGGACTTCGTTCAGTGTTGCTGCAAAGCCATGAGTGCTGCTGGAGTTTTCCTCGGAAAGACAATTTAGTGAGCTCAGCCGATCAGTCTCATTCTTTTAAAAGAAGTAGCTGTGCTGCAAACTTATTTTGATTTTTGCTTGAACTTTTTCAATTCCATTTTGTGTGATTTTCAGTTTAAAACCAGTGAGAAGTTTTTGTTTTTGAAAATTATTTCATTATCAGTCAGAAATTTTATATGTATTTGAAACGAAAGACTAATATTTAAATTATTTATTGTAGCAAACAAATTAAAATTGACATTGTTGATAACCCAATTTTGATGTTTTAATTAAAAATATAAATATTTTCATCTTAGTTTTGTCCTTTCCATCATGTTAATGAAAATTTTAAACGGTTGTGATAAAACTTTGTCATAGTTGTCCGTTTTCACTTTCTGTGACCCCTAGCAAAGACAAAGCAGAGAATTTAAAACCATTAAGGAAAATTGATTTCCAAACGAGTTCTATGCTTATATCTTGCTCAATTGTTTGAAAGCAAGTTTCCGTTAATTCCGTTATGTTCAACTGATGGTTGAATGCCAGAGTGCAGGCATGATTGAGAATTTTGAGATGCACAATTTTTTTAAATTTTGACCAATGTAATTAATTAGAAAATTTATTACATTCAAAATTATATTGTTCTTGAGAAAATAAAAGTTGGGAATTTAATTTAATTTAATGGATCCTTGATTAATTTTATAATAAATTGTTTATTTACAAAATTAGGTACATTGACTAAAAGATTGGTCAGTTTGATGATAAATTAGCCGTGGTAATGGCCATGGTGCCCGTGATGGTGTCCATGGTGGTGGCCATGATGGTGTCCGTGGTGGTGTCCATGATGATGATGGTGGTGTCCATATCCACCATATCCTCCGTATCCACCATAGCCTCCATATCGTTGGGGATCAGCGGCTCTTGCTTCTCTCAACAAGATCTCTCCATTCTCTACTGGGGCATCTAATTTAAAGATATAATAATAATTTTATTATTTTCTGCTAATTGCCTAATTGGTAAAAATATAATATGAAAAAATATATTAATATTTGCTTTTATTATTTATGTAAAATTCTGACTCTGATAAAGAATTCAATTGAAAAAATAGGTTAATTTTTTCTTTAGTCTCATTTAAATGTTGCCACTTGATACAATTAAAGATATTTTTTTTTAAATTTATCTTTAGGAACTTGGACATTCATTTGAAGACATGTTAAAAAACAACTAATTAACTCTATTAGCTACTATAATTATTAAAAAAATATAATTGTTGTAAACTTAAAAGTAATCTAGTAATTTAAATAATTAATTTCTCTTCAAAAAAAAAAAACTACCTTCGTTTGCAAAAATCATTGTGTAAGTGAGCTCTTTTTTATGTAATGCAAAATTTTTAAGTGGCATATAAGAAAATATCCCGCTCGTTTAACTCACCAACTGCGAACCAAGAGTCTTGGGTTTGGTGCTCGTCCTCCAAGGGAAAGGCTTGGGCGATGGCCACAAGCATCAAAGCCAGAGCAACGACAGCAGTCTTCATTGTGGATGAGTTCTCTGGAGCTGCAAATCTGCGAGTGTGATTTGGGAATAGGCCCGCCGAGCCCTTATATACTCCCGAAATTCGCACCTTGAGAAACTTAAATATACGCGAGTGCAGTTAGATCTGGTTCCATGGGGAATTTCGGACCAGGTAAAAATAATCGCGACCATAAAAAAACGAGCGTATAATTAATTGCGACATCCTTTCTCTCTCTTAATATATATGTGTGTGTAAGAACCACTCGATCTCTCGGTCCGGTGGCTGCACGTTCAGTAAACAAACGCACGTGCCCGGCTCCACACAGGTTGATTTGACCAGGTCTTGGTTCAGTGACGTCTGAGAGAGCATGCTGGGCCCATAATATTATTGACAGTCTCTCGGTTTTTCCTTATTTGATCGAAATAAATGGCGCAGTTTATTTTCTTTGAGGCAAACATATCCAAGGATGGGGATTTTTCTAGGTAATTTTAGCCAATATTATCTTTGAGGAATTTTGATGGAAGATATAATGATGGAGTTTATAAAAAAAACACTTAAAAAGGATCTGACACACTTAACAATTTATGGCATTTGCAGTTTTTTGTATTTACTCATTAAAAAATAAATTATTGCAGCAATATTTGAAACAGTATAGGCTGAATGAATGAAATCACAAATTAAAACAGAATTTAAAAGGACTGATCTGGAATAATAAAAGCTGAATTGCGAGGCTAAAACTGAAGACGAAAATAAAGCCTGTTTTACTAAACATAATTTGAGCTGCAGTTTTTTGTTTTGTAAGAGCAAAAAAAATCAAAGAAAGCGGTATTTGGAAGTATCAGGGAGTCATCTAAATGCAAGCTTTCAGCATCCAGAAAAAAAAGAAAAATGTCCAAAAAAAACTTGATTATTGTTATTTTTCTTTTTGTTTTGTATTATTTATGTAATTGTAAAAATTACATATGTAAAATTCACATATCTTTTCTCTCAATTATTATTATTATTATTTTATCTCTCTCAATTATATTAACTTGTATAATTTTGATCAAATGATGTATCCCGTTACATGGGCAGCAATTGCCTTTGTGATAGATCAATACACACAATTTGCAACTAAATATAATGGTAATTTGAAAAACCTGTTTTTTGGAAAAGTAAAAAGGTGTGATAATTGAAAACTCCTGGAATATCGTAAACCGTTATAATATATAATAACATTATGTACATTGCCTGATTTATATGAGATGACGGATTCAATAATTTTAATATTTTGCTTTCATTATTTTTTGCAGCCCGCATTTCAAGCAAAAGTGAAGATTAAATTCAAAAGATATGCTTCTAACAGGAGTAAAAGTAACCTAGAAAGTAATACTAAAAACAGCATTCTTAATTTTCTCTAATAAATGTATGTGGTGCGTAATAATTATATTGTTTATGGCGTTTTTATGTTCGAAATTCAATATTATTTTTATATTGCAATTAATTATTATATTGGCATTCTGACAGGCTCACTGATCTTCAAAATTATTGGCCTCATTTCTACCTTCTGCCTCCAGCCACAGCTGCGCAGGCAGGCTAAAAGAGATTTTTGTGTCAAAGAGAAGTTGTTTTAATTATACAGAAAACCAACGTAAATTATTAAACACTGCGAGAGCCAAGGCATTACACTTTAGGGCTAGAAATTTTTGTATGCATGTATATTTGGCGCAGTTTTCACGTTTTGTATTGTGCGCATCGCAAAGGCGCACCAAAAACACAGAACCAGCTTCTTAATAACATCAACAAACATCGGCGTAATGAGTCAGGCAAGGCAAGCAAGTGCAACACGCGTCTGTTTTTACGTGTAATAGTTTTATAAAAGAAAGTGTGACTTATGTACAGGTGCCATTTGTACCAACCATAGTCCGTAGAATCGCCAAAATCCTGTCGATCAATGATTCATCAGGCGAAAGCAGACGATTCTTGATGCAGGCCAAAGCGTATCACTGAAGGTAGGGTGGATTCCATAAATTATTTTGTTTTGGTAGTTTGAGCTCGTGATTAATTGCACATTGTACAGTATTTTTTGCAAAGTGCTATTAAATTTATTTGCATAGTTTCTCAGTGAATCAAAATCCAAGATAAATTTTTCTCACGTCTTGAAAAAAAATTAATATAATTATATATTTTTATTATTGAATATTTTATCGTATTTTAGTCATTTTTCATTTATGTAACTTCCATGTAAACAGGCAATAAATTGGCCATACTTAGCATTTTGCAATGAACGTGAAAATCAAATTAATATTTTTCTGGCTAAGAAATCTCAATGGATACCACAGGGATTTGCAATTGTTTTGTTGCAATTGATTTAAAAAATGAATAATAAATATTCCAATGATCTTAGAAAAATTTAAATATTTTATTATTTTTTTTAGATTTTTGTCTGCGTAATACAGATGAAGCACACTTGATGGTACACACAAGTTTTTCATTCACACTTTTTGCAATGCGGGCAAAAGAGAATAGCTGTGGGTTGTCGTTTGTTAATTAAAACAGTGGCGATACCATAGTTTTAGCCGTAAAATCTGCAACACAAGATATAAAATTAATTAAAATTTGCAATAGTATCAACTTTAAATATTAGTATTAATTTGGTAATTATTGGTATTGGTGTAATAAAGAAAATTATAAATACAAAGAAAGGCTCACCCGCCGCCGAAGCTGCCACTGCCGGCATTAGCGTAGCTTCCACTTCCGAAGCCACCGCCAAAGGACCCTGCATTGGCGTAACTGGCACTGCCGCCAAATCCGCCTCCGTAGCCTCCATAAGGTCTTCCATAGCCTCCGTATCCTCCATAACCACCAGGCCTATATCCTCCGTACCCTCCTCCGTATCCTCCGTAGCCCCTGCGGCCATAGCCGCCGTAGCCGCCATAATGGGGGCTGCGGGCAGTTCTTACAAGCGCCTGACCCTGACCATTATCGTCAACCTGCGCGACCTCTTCACCTGCAAAAATATCAAAATATTTATTTCAACTTTTTTGGGAAATATGTCTGCAACCGTTTAAATTAAATATTTTTAATCATAAATATTATATCTTTCCACAATTGACCAAACATAACATTTGCAATTAGGGACAAAAAAATCCAGAATATTTTTTTTTTAATTATTTAGTCAAAAAACTAGATAATCACTTAAATCTTCAATTCAAAATAAATAATGCTTTTTTGCAGCACAAAAAATATTTAAATTGAAAAAGTTAAATTTGTGCTGTAAACTTAGTTAAAAAACTTGAGGAAATAAAACAAACCTGGAACTGCAAGGTAGGGGTAGCCGAGGGCCGACATGGCCAGGGCGCAGAGAAGCAGGCAAACAAAGATGGTCTTCATGTTAGAAGTCTGGTTGTTCTTCTCAGGTCAGAGCAGAAATGCAATTCTTCGAGCAAACCAGGCTGCATTTATGTAGCCGCTCGCGAAAGGGTTCACCATCCTGCGAATGACGGCGAAAGAGCGAACGAATGAGAAGAAAGAAGGGATGAGCAATGATTTTCATCTCACGCCGGCTTCGTCATTCGGAAAAGCCTTGAACGCCCATCAGAGGCAATCTCGCTGGGCTTACCTGTGTGTTTCAGATGGCCCGTCTTGGGAATCCCTGCAGTCTGCTATCTCACGGCTGCTCTTTTTGTTTCTCAACGGAGCGAGAAATTAAAGCGGCTCCTTTCGGTCCATTCGCTCTTTTTGCCGACCGTCCGTCCGTCGAGACATAATTGGTAAAACCTGACGCGGTTTTTTGTGTCTGTTGTGTTCGTGAATTATAAAAAATGAGTTGAACGCATTTTGCTTTTATTTCGCAAGGTTGCCTTTATCCAATCCAATAACGCACTTAGCAAGACAAATTATAGCTTTTTTTGTTGAGCGATGGCCTGGGAAGGCCTTTAATTTAAAATTCAATTTTTATCATAGAAAAAAGTAAATAGTTGATGAAAAATTCAAAATACTTAATATAAATTAAATTAACCACTATAATTGTTAAAATAAATATTTTTTTAACAAAATAAAACAAATTCATCAATTGGGCTTACAGATACTCCGAACCATATTAGAAAGTTTCGATTTTTTTTCCATGCTTACACAATAAAATTTAATTAATGCTGCGTAACATGATACGTAACAAAATCTAATCAAATATCAAAGATTATTAAAACATATTTTGTTATAAATCGAATAATTGATATTTCAAAATACGCAGAAATTCCAATAGTTTATATTGCTTAATCGGAAGTCTTCAGTGATTAAAAAAACTAGTCAATAAAAACATTGAGTCATTTCATTTAATATCCGCGTAGTAATGTGGCAGTTCATAGACTTGTGTTGTGATAATAATTACTTTGCACATGAGCAAAGGTTTTGTTATGGGTCACGGCATGACGTCAATTTGAGCGTCAGTGCACAAACTAGTTTGCAAAATATGATCACTGTACAATGAGAAATAACTTTTGCAACATTATAATTAAGACAATAAAGTATTTTGAGCTACACAAATAAAAAAAAAAATATTAAATATATCAAATATATTTTCCATTAAAATTGAAACCAAAATTGAAACCTTGCTGCATAGAAAAAAACGGGTCGACAATTGATAAGGTTGCCCGGTTTAAAATTTTCATAAAATTTATTTTAAGTAACATGTAGCAACATATTTATATATTTTTTTCCATCCGAGAATTGTTTTGTCTAAATGAAGCAAAGAAATTTATAAATTTTGCTTTAATTTATAATTATTTATAATTTTTTTAATTCATTCAATTATTATTGCTTTTCACGTGCAATGAGCACTTTATTTTCTAAATAAATTTAAATTTTTTTGTAGTTATAATATCTGGTTGTGTTACTATAATTTATGCAATCAACCTTCAATGTGGTTCAATATGTGAAGTTGCTTTGATCGTTGATTGATGAATGAAATATCATCAGTGTTTTAATGTAATACTTGGTTACATAAATAAATATACGCAACATAACAAACTTTAAAATTATAAGCACTTATCTGTGCAAAATGATTTTTAGGAGATATTTTAATTATTACTAAATTGATTAAACCTTAAATGTGGTTTATAAAAATAATAATAGAGGCCTTGCGAATTCTTGCACGGTCATCAGCTGGTAATTGCACGCGCGACGGTAAATTTCTGCGGGAATTTTCTGCCGCCGTCTCTTCTCTATGTGCTTTTCACTTTTATTGCCAGTCGACGTGCAGAGAAATCAAATAACAAGTTACGGTCTTCATTTTTTTTTACAACTAGAGAATTGGCCAGATGCTGCGTCTCTAAACTTGTTTTGCTGGTCGAGCACCAAATTACGAACCGGAACTTCAACTCAGTTTGATGAAAACAGCAGGCGTGGCTGCAAAAATCCCAAGAGTATTCACGACAACAAAACGATGCTTGGCACTTTTTCTCAAATGTAAAGAGAATTAATAAAAAGAAAGTTAAAAATGGGTTATTGGTGGAAAATAAATATATAATTGGAATTGCTTTTCTTTTATGTTTTTATTTGTCATAAATATGTGTTTGCATTGTATACTACAAAAAAGTGGACCTCTATAAAAAACTACTTAAACATTTTCATTATGTTTTTGGGTTTTTCATTTGCTCAACTAGATAGGCATCTACAAAAATAATTAATAGGCATGACACTCGAATTAAACTCGGGCAAAGCCTAGCTGGGGTTCGTCGTGATATGTACTGGCAGTGCTGATTGACCCGACCTAAGTGTCGAGTCAAGCTGGGGTTTGAATTTTGCGGCCGATGCAGGGGTGGCGTTTATAAATTAAGGGCTGGTCTGGTCGTCGATTGGATCCGGGCAGAGGTGTGCGGGAGATTTACTGGCTTCCCTTAGCGTAACTGCAAAAAAGAGCAAAGAAAAAAATTATTAACATTGTTAAATTTAATTACATTAAGGAGGAAGAGATGACGAGGCACAAAAATTGGTTGGAATTTCCTTAATACTTGTCAGATTAGACTTTTTGCAAGTCATGTGCCAACAAAAGAACTTATTTGTAAACATATAATTTTTGTGACTTTTACTTGAGGAGATATATGAGTACAAGTGAATTGCAAATTTAAAATTAGATGGCATTTAACTATAACGGTAGAATTAAAAATAATAGAAAAATATAGAGAACAGAAATATTTTTTTAAATTTTTTTTAGATTTAATAATTAAAATGAAATTATTTTTTTACTTTCATAAAATCTTAATGGTTCTCACCGGTGTCTGAAGCTGCCTCCGGAGAAGGTGCCTCCGTAGGCGACAGCGTTGCTGAGGGCAGAAGCTCCGGCTCCACGGCTGACGGCGGTGGCGATAGCGGTGGCGCCTCCACGGTTCTTCTTGTTGGCGGGCACAACGGGTTCATCGTCGTACTCTTCCTCCTCCTCAGCGGGGGCAGGGGTGGTGGTGGTGGGACGCTTGGCGGGCTTGGGGGCCTTGGCAGGACGCTGGGCACGGCCGGGTCTCCTGCAATTCCTGGCGTTAAAAAATTGACGACGAACGTCAACTACTGGCTCGGCACTACTTTCACTTATAAGCTTAAGCATCATGCTATTAATTATCTCTAAACCAAGCATGCTTGTTAAATTTTTTATCAGATTGATTAATGACAACTGTATGAATAGGAAAGCTGAGTTGCTTTTGGTTCAATTGCGAAAGCGAAGCATTTAGAAAAAATAATTTATTATTCAATTTAATTGATTTTTTTGAAAATTTTCCAATTGTAAGCTGAATTTAATTTTGGAATATTTTACAAAATTTACCTGGTGGGAACAACGGGGACGGGGGCGGGTTCCTCTTCATCCTCATTCACAGGCTCGTCAGCCTCAACAGGCTCAGGCTTGGTCTCGGGCTCGTCCTGCTCCTCTTCGTCTTCAACAGGGGCATAAGCAGGTGCGTCCTGGGAGCGGGCGCCGGCGAAACCGTGGGCGAAGCTCATGGGGTTGCCGTTTCTGCGTCTGTAGCCGACGAAGCCGCGCATCATCACCTGACGCTGGGCGGCGCGAGGCACCCGCAAGAACACCATCGACTCTGCAAAAAAAAAAAATGTATTTTTCGAGTGGCTGAAATCCGGTTGCATTGAGATTCTGGACGATGCGGGCAGTCTTGCTCATGCTAGGCGTGATCGCGGCGAGCACGTGCAGGGGCTGGAACGCGGCCAGCTCAGCGCGGATTGCATAATTTTGAATGCCGAGAATAACAAGACGAGCTGATTGACTGCCCGCCGTAATTTGTAATGATTTATTTTTACTTGGGAAAAAGAGTTGCGCGTGGTCAGGGATCAATCGCGTTTGATTTTGAATAACCAAATTTTAAAGTAAAATTTTTTTGTCAAATGACTTTGCGAAAACTATGTTTGCAATGGGGAAATTGCGTTTTAATTAAAAGGGATGACGGAATTGACAGCGAGGTTTTCAAGACGCGGACAAATACGGCAAGTTTATTTCTGGTTTCTATGCCCGCGGCACAAGCGTGCAATGCAAAAAGACGATGTAATGCATCATCTGCTCATCAGCGGAGTAAATTGCAAAAAGGAGAAGTGCTATTATAATAAGTGATATAAAACGACACGTTGCGTTAGTGTTTTGCCGCATGCCATTAGATGATTGCGCGGAATTTTTCCTGATAAATATTCCAATAGAAATTAATAATGTATGCAACCTGCTCAACACACCTGTAAAGCAGGTTGTATCTCGCGGTTTGCCAGGCGTTAAAATCTCTAACCATTTATCTCACTAACTATTTATTCCCCAAAATGTAGAAGCAAAATTTAGAATATTTGGAGTTAAGAATAAAAATAAAAACTTTGGTTGAGTTATCTTGAAATTAAAATTTTGTAAATTTGAATTTTAACTTTTTGTGTGAAATATAATCTCACCATCGTCGGCAGGCGCTGCTTGAGCGACAGCAGCGAGGAAGGCGCAGGCTGCGAGGGCAAACACAATCGTCTTGGAAACCATGTTGCTGGTTGAGGGTGGTATTGGGCTGTTGGTAGTAGTAGTTGTTGTTGGTTGTTGGTGTGAATGATGCCTCAGGGAGTGCGGCCGGTGCTTTTATAGTCGGTGGCGCAGAGGCCGGCCTCGGCGGCCCCACCTCGGCCGCCTCATTTGGCATGCGAGCCGCATCCCGGCGACACTGAATTGACCGACAGAGCGGCCGCGTGCACCTCCCGAAGCTCGCTATGGCGACAGTAATGCATTATTAAAGTGCATTTCAGCCTGAGTTATGGCCGGCCATTAGTGCAAATCGCCGCCGTGACCGAACCTCCGGCCGACGCGCCCCATTTTTCTTCTTCATTCAGACAGTTGCTCTTGTGTCGGCGGGTGCGTGCCATTGATCAAAGGTCAGACCCCTCGTGTGTTTTGGTCGCGCTCCCTGAATTTTGATTTGGTATTCGCCCGTCAGACAACGACCAACTTCAAAATTTTAGTAATCGCTTAAATGACTTTGACATGCCTGGCAACAACTAACTTGCTAACCTTAACCTGGAAGAAAGACTAAATTGTCAAAATTTAAACTGGACCATTTTATTTTGGTTCAAAAGTGCATTTTTAATCATTTTTGTAAAATTCACGTAGTTTATAAGAGACTTAAGTTAACAAAAATTTCCGTAAGTTAAGGTAATTATTAAAAAATTAGAAATTTTAAAGCAAAAAAATGGAAGAAATAATTTATTTGTATTTTCTGCATTTTAAGATCGCTGCATAAATAAAATAGTATTTACTAATTTAGTAATAATTTTATAAATAATTTTATTGAACACTATATTTTTTTCTTAATTAATAATAAAATTTTTAATTTTTTTTTAATAAATAATAATAATAAATATTTTTATTTTATAATTCATAATTAAAAGAAAATAATACTGATTTGTTGACATTTAATACCTACACAACCATACACAAGCTTATATCAAAACTACAATCCTTAAAAAAATAAATAAGTTGAAACATTGAAAATATAACCTAAGTTGAATGTTAATTTTAATAAGTAACCATGCCGTGGTAGGCATCTGTGAAAATTTTCTCATTATATTAATTGTTAAACAAATAAAAAACAAAAATTGTGAAAAAAAATTCAAACTAAAGGGCCTTATTCTTGAGAATTTAAAACCCAAAGAAACCACTCGAAACGGGAAATAGCTAAATAAGTACTGTGACTAATTTAATGGCCTAATTCTTGTTTTATGATAATGATATTATTGGCTCGTGTTTATTTAATTACTTAAATTTGAAGTAGGAGTTCTTACTTAGTACTGTTATTAAAACTTGTATGTACATCCAAAGAGCAAAACTCGAATTTTCAACGATTAAATTTATTTTTAAAGATAAAAGCCCTGTAATTACCATACAATATTTTAATTCTGTTAGTTTTAAACTTTTATATTTCCAATTATTGAATTCAAATTAATTTTTATTTATCGCTTCATCACAATTTCATCACATATTTTAATTATGCTTATTTCTGATATTCAATTGAGCACAAAAATATTCGCTGCACATACATCCCTCTTTAGATTCCACGTGATTGTTTTTTAGTGCTCTCTTGACCTTCTGTCACCCTGCTTTGTTTGACTTTCAGCGAAAAAATCGCGTTCAACCGCGATGGCATAATTTTCGTTCGCGCCCAACACCGATTTTCCCCAGAATCGACGAGTGGGTCCTGCCAAGCAACGTCTGGTCGTCCGTGTGACCCGATGGCAAAGGCAACCGAGTTTTGGCACCGGGGTCGCTGGTTTTCCGAGAAGCGGCAGTCAGCGCGGCGCGACTCGCCTCGTTTGATTGGCATTCAGCTGGACGCGAGCGAATCAATCTCGCTGCCGTCTCTGTCTCTCGCTCGAGAGATGCATCCATTGAGATGCAGTCACGGCTGCAGCCATTAACAGCCAATTATTCAGCGCGCATCTCTCGTGGGAAGCGAATCGCTCCGCATCGGCCCCGCCCTGCATTTACGACTACATTAAAATACAAAATCGGCAGGGCAGACGATTACTAATTGCACGAGTGGCTCGTGATCTGTGTGCGAGATGCGTCCAGATCCTGGTCCGGCCGAGTCCGAACCTCGCCCGAAAACTCGTGTGCTTTATTTGCATTTTGCGTACGCTGCCGTGCGCTATCAGCGCTACGCAATCTCTGCCGCATTTTTATTCCACCCGCGAATATCAATTATCAATCTCGCGCTAGCCAATGCTGTTCTTGGAATCTCTCTGCTTGAGTGGTGATGACAGCCCTGCGGATGCAGAATGTATCAGTATTACTTCAAATTTCAAATCTTTCTGCTAAACACAAGTCAAAGTAAGATTTTCACGGGTAAAAGTTATTCAAAGTTATTCATTTGTGATTTTTTTTTTCTAAATATAAATAAAAAATATATTTTACAAGCTAACCTCCTGATAAGATACCGATCATTATTTTGTAATGAATGTGACTGGAATTTTGCAGCACTAAATAATATATAGTAAATAATAAATATAGTGGTTTACTTGAACATAAATCAAAATTATTATTTGTAATGATAACAAATAACAATTTAACCAAATTTTGATATTATAAACTAAATTTAATAAACAAAAGTAAATAATTTTAATAATGCAAATAATAATATAATTTTGTTAAAAAAAAATTAATTTTAATAAATTTAAAATTTATTTAGTTTTACAGTTTTTTTTTAATTTTTTTTATTTAAATTCAACGGGCTTAATCTATTCAACAAATAAATAAATAAAAAGAAGATTAATTGCTTAATTTGCTAAATTTAATTATTAAATTTTTATATAGATCACGAAGTTATATTTTTATTGCTTAATTTTTTCCATCAATTTTTATCAAAAATTTCAAATGTTTCGTTTGATATTTGTTACTTTTCCCTCACAAAAATTGAAGAAATCGTCGAGTGGGTAGTAAAACCAATGATCACTTTGATTATTTTGTTATTAATAAAAATTCAATAATTCTAATACTAGCTTTAAGAAAATTATTATTGGGTTCAGACTGAGGGCAATATATTTGCATTACTTTTGAAACTTTCAAATACAATTTTGTATCAATGCTTTTAATATAATTTTTAATATAATAAACCATTGAACTTGATTGATCTATGTGAACACTGAAAAATCCTCAAAGAAGTTCTAAAATTTAAAATTTTCCAACAACTAGCGAAAATTTAAAAAAAAAAAAACGAAGTACCAGCATCAAAATGTTTAATTTTAACTTAAATCGATCATTCAGAGAGAAAGAGAGAGAGTCTGCAACTTTGTTTCGGTTTTTTTTTCATTTTTTTTTTTAATTTTGCTGTAGTAACCTTGATTAAATCAATTTTCAATGTCAATTATAAAAATCCCCACCCCTAGTCTGGATTCCGAGTCCATCCCAATAACCTCGAATGGCATAAATTGAATTTTGCGCTTCTATCGGAAGCAATTACGATTGGAATTACTTTGGCAAGCAACGACGCTCCCTTGGCGTCGCTCGACGCCCAAAGAAAAATTGATTGACACTCGCAAAAGTGCAATAAATTTTATTGCACGAATAATGCATCAGATAAGATGACACTGTTGCTGCGTGTTGATGAGCGTCGCCGCGTCGGCTCAGAATTAGCATGGGGCACCTGCCTGCTGTTCCGTGTCTCCCGCACATTTTATTTTGCGTCTTGTTTCATTCTTTCCACTTGCGAAAACTCACACAGTGTAATCGAATGGATGCGAAAAATGATTCGATTGTGATCTGCGGATCGTGACGCACTTATGGATCGGTTCTCAGTATTTTGAGGGTTCGCTGAACACTCTGCAGTTATGTTTCCCACTTGGCACCCGCGAGCAGATCCGGCTCGCTCCCTCGCGCGTCCATATTTTCGCCTAGCACACGCACGTTTCACGCAGATTTTGAGAAGAAGAACACGTAGCAACCACTTGCGGGGGGCGACCCTCGGGTTTCTCAAAAACTATGTACTCTAAACGTTTTTCTCGTGCTGGTCAGGATGCTAGTCATGCGTTTTGATTTTCACCATAAATATAAGTTTATTATTTTAGCATCGCCAATTAATTTTAGCTTAAAACGTGATTTTTCTTTATAATTTCGGTTAGTAGGTGATCCATGCAAAATTTCAAATTTTCTTTGAGCTTAGGCTGTGCTTAATTTTTTTATTTTTTTAGCACTCGATATTTAAGAAAATTAGCCTTTTTTTAATTTTTCAGTGTGTACAGGATAAAAAAAAAAAAATAGAATAAAAATTATTTTGGCACCAATGGAAACAGTAAAATCTATTTTTAAGGGCTATATTATAGGATGATCTTATTTTAATCATTTTCCTAAACCAACATTTTGTTCCAAAAATCACTTCTCATTCTTATTGAAGTTCTTAAAATGTTATTAACGCTTCAAAAATTGAACTTTTGACAGCAACTTAATTCTGCTTTGTGGACTGGTTGTGCATTGACTTTTGACCCTATGGCTGGAAATTGATTCTATTTCTATACAATGTGTATATTGTTTCTCAAAACAATATATTTAATATTGGGAAGTCAAAATCTCCGTAGAATATAAAAAAATTTCCTTATATTTACAAATTTAAAATAATGCGGTATTTCAAGTATTTATGCTGGTGTACTTTTTAAATTAATTGGATTGTTACCAAATAGCCAGGTAGCTTCATTGCATACTTTTGCGGCGCTTTTTCATTTTCTTCTCGCGTCACTTCCTTTAATTGTTTGCGCTCCAAATTTAACTTGAGAATTTAAATTTAAAACGATCATTGTTCTCGCTGTAATTTATGACGCCCAGATCGCACTTTGGAGGAAAATCGAGGAACAATGCGAAGAGCACAATGAAGCAATTCGTCAATTATACATTTACTCCGTTAGTGCTCATGAAACCGACATTACTCGCGCGCACAACACTCGATTTTCTGGTCACGATTATTAACATGAGCAATAATGATGATCATGCACGTCAGTATAAATGCAACGACCCCTGACTGCAAATAAATCTCGGAATAAAAAATATAAAAATCGTACGTCAAAGAGCACACACATCTCGAAATAAATACGGGTCCTGATTTGAATCGGCAATCGCGAGAGATGTGGCAAACAAACGCCCGCGATTCGGCGCGATTGATCTCGCGCCGCGCGTTACGCAAATGACGAGAGGCGTGTGCTCTGAATGAACGCGACCCATAAATTACGCGTCGCGCGCTCTTGATTGATTCTGCGAACGAAAAGTATAAACCTTTTGGCTGGCCAACGAGACAGACACGGGTCATCCTCAGAATCACCTTGGTCTCGCACGTAGCACGTCAGTTCTTGGCTCCCGCCTCTTGGTTTTCCAAATTTTTAATTACATTAAAATTCGATTAGCCTTTGACAGCCACAAATGCTGGACTGAAAATAATGTATGATTAATATTTTCTTAATAACATTGTTCTCTTTTTATGTAGATTAAACCTGCATGACAAGTGGTTTAAATTTAAAGTAAGATAACAGAGCGCATGTTTTTGAAATTTTCTAAATTAAGGTGATGCAAAATTTGCAATTATAAAAGAGACCAAGCAAACTAATGTAAGTGTTTGAAAATCTTCCATTAATCTTTTGACTCGCTTGTCCGTCACGCATTAATAGTTTTTAAAATTCTTCATAATAATCGATAATGATCATACATTTTTTAACAAATTAAAAGCAATCAAAAAGTAGCATTATTGACTGCGTATTAAATCAGTTTGAGTGACGCATCTCAGAGAAAAATATGTTTTGTAATTTAATGTTTTTACCCTGCCTGGCGTGTTGAATAAATTTCTTACTTTACTTCATTTTAATACAAAAGGCTAAGAAATTTATAATAAAATTTCGAAATTTTACAGCATTCACATAAGCACAGATTGTAAAAATATATTTACTGTGGGTAGTGTCTATAAAAAATATCATAACATGAATTTTTTGCCATAAATGTCACCAAATTTGAATTTATAGGAAATTCATATGATCCAATATAAAGATCATGCATTTTAATTTATGCAATTTTTGTGCTTCATGAATTCGTTCAGGACAGTACTGTGATTTTCAATATTATTTGCCTATTGCTAATATTTTCAACCCATAGCAATAGCGAATATGGACGTTTATTATTTTAAGAAACCGCCACGTGTTTATTTTCTCCATTCAACAACTCTTTAAGGAAACAAGGCGCTTGTCCTATTGACAGGGAAATAATAAGGCCAAGAGCACAGGGGGCTCCCATGCGCCGCAGGTGCTAAAAACGCAGCCTCTAGACATGTTAATGAATTTCTCAACTCCCCCGCACAAGAGTGGCGAGCAGCCAAAATCCAAATTAAGCCGTCAAGTCCGCGTGCGCTTTGCTAGCCACCGCCCTATGCAGAATTTGTATGAATTAACTTGGGACGCTCGGGCACGCTGGGAACCCTAGACACAATGGCCATTAATTATTATGAGTAACGCGGAATTGAAGAAAACAGCCATTTGACACCTCCGAGGGATAAATACGCTGAATGCAAAACAGCAAAAGATAAATCTTGACGATTTGTCGTTTGCAAAATCCGCCTTGAGCGATCAACACGCGTTAGAGTGGCGGAGTTTTGCGTGCCAACTTTCGCGCTCTTTTTTTATTGTTCAACGTGTGTTTCTGTGAACTTGGACTCTTTCGCTTATCGTGATTCTCGTTATTTGTAGTTCTAGGACAGGGTTTCCGCACATTTGCCATTAGATCGATGATACTCCACTTATTGTAATTCAAAATTAAGCCCATAAATTAAATTCTAACGGTCAACAATAGTTAAAGCTGGCAAATAAAACTGCAGCAGAGCGGGAAGCTCATCGTTTTCATAAGAAAAATAACTTAAAAATCTTTATTGTCATCAGTCAAGTGCATTGTAATATTAGCCATTAATGGGGATCTTCTGGCCATTAGGTCCAGTGACAGTGACTGCGTTGCTGCCACCCCTGCTAGCACCATTGTTGCCAAAACTGAGCGTGTCGGACGCGGCCACGTTGATATTGTAGCCGCCGAAATTGTAGTTCTGCGCAATCGACTGGCCGAGGGAACCACTCACTCCGTTCGGTCCGAACTGAAAGCCCTGAGTTTGCGATCCGGCGCTCGATGCGCCAAAGTTGCCTGCGTTGAATGACTGGGCCTGGGCGTTAGCGGCGCTTGAGCCGCCCGACGGGAATCCGCCAAATGCACCTGGGCCACCAAATCCAGGGTTTCCACCAAAGCCTCCAGGTCCTCCTGGCCCGCCAAAACCTCCCGGACGCTGTCTGTACCCACCTCCTCTCCTACCTGGAAAGAAAAAATTAAAAACAACTTAATTTTGCACTAAGAAAAAATTTAAGTAATTGTGAGTAAATATATACTAAAAATCACAAATAAATAATATTTATTGCTATGTATTTAGTTTTGGTTTTAATAATTTAAATAAAATTTAAAATCTTGAGGCAAAGGTCTCATCAATATCGCCAGATAAATAGCAATAATATAGAGATTTCAATAAAGAATCAAGTATTTTTTACTCGCACTCATTATCAGAAGTGACAGAATGAATAAAGAATTAAAATACGAAACCCTTTTATTTCAACATTGCAAGCATTTAGTTTTACAATCTGTTGTATTTGAAAAGTTGATAAAAGCTTTAACTATCCATAAAAATTAGGCTTATAAAATTTAGTTAAAATTGTTATTATATTGATTGGGCATGTTGTAAAACTCTTTCAGTAATATAATAATCGATTCTAGCAAGAAAATAATCAATTCCCATTGAAAAAGGTACCAACGTAAGGTTGAGGGGCAAGTCAACAAGTGAAGTGTAAAATCTTGGCAGAAGTATACATAGCACATAATATATGTATTTTACCTCCTCCAAACTGCCTCTTTTCTCTTAGCACCTCGGCGCCATCTACAGGTACGAGCTCAGGGCTGTTCTCAGGTAGCGTTGCAGAAATCGCGGCCTCTGGTGCTCGTTCGCCTGAAGCAAGCACATCATGATCATTGCATATTTCTGCAGGGCAATAAGGCGTAAGCAATACTTTTGATCACGAATTCAATTATAAATTAAATTTTCCTTGAAAAGATCATAATTAAAAAATTGTGTAAAAAAATTGCTAGTAAAATCTCAAAATATTTGTTTATTATAGGAAGGTGTGTGCTCCTGTATGTTTGAATAAGCGCTTTTTTTTAAATAAATTATGATATTGAGTCATAATAAACGTTTGACAACAAATACTTGTGAATCGTGAATTAAAATATTTATTCAATCTGTTGACCAAAATACATAATTTATTTGCTAAATAATAAATCAAAATCCGTATTTCCATTAATTCCGCTCCAAATTTTTATCATGAAAACGCAACGAATGCAACCATATAATACTGAAACTGTTTTATCCGTTTTATCATCAAACACATTTTTATCAAATTGGGGCTTACTTTTGTTGATCGGTGCCGCGTAGGCCAGGCCTACTACACAGACAAATGGTAGCACGGCGGCGAGACGCATCTCTGGTGCGAGCAGGTAGAGCCGAGAGAGAGCAAGTTCAAGACTAACGACGTAGGTCGCAGTTGGGAAGCAAATTGCTTTGAATCACTCGCGTCTTCAGACGAGAGTATGGTTCTTCTTACAGGTGTGTGTGGCGGGGAAGTCCAAGCTACAAAGTTTTGGAAGTTTGCAGGGTCAAGCGAGCGGAACTAAAAAATGTACGAAAACAAAGCGGAGGGGCTCTTTCCTCAAATCGCAACCTTGCAGCAAAAATAAATTGCGCTCACTCTAATCTCCGTGGTTTCGAAAAATATTGACGCTATATGGACAAGACCTTGAAGGAAACCCCCAGCATTTATTAATTAAGAAAAATAATGAAAAACGTGTTTCTTTTTACTCCATTATTTTGTACATTTTATTGCATTGGCGAGACAAATTTGAATAAATTAATTATCCCCTGATGGGAATGGGCTGTCCGTTGGGGCCGGTGACTGAGACTGAGTTGGCGCCACCCTGAGTGATGCCTCCAGGCCCAGCGCCGAAGGTTCCTGATCCCGAAACGCTGGCTGAGATTCCTCCGGGAAATTGATAGTTTTGCGAAAACGCCTGTCCAGCAGAGCCGGTGATGCCCTGCGGTCCAAATGCAAAGCCCTGGGTCATTGTGCCGGCGTGGTTGGCCCCAAAACCAGCACCACTCTGGAAGCCCTGGGCCTGAGCATTAGCAGCGCTGGCGCTTCCTGAGGGGAATCCGGGCTGAGCAAAACCACCGGGTCGGTTGTAGCCGCCGCCGCTCGGACGCCCAGGACGGTTGTAGTTCTGTCGACCAAACTGACCACCAGGGTAGAACTGGCGACGCACTCGCACCAATGGCACTAGCACATATTCTTCCTCAACTGAAAAATAATTTAGAATTTATTATTTATTCCACATAAAACTTTATTAAAAAAAATTATTATCTTTTTCTAAAATCAATCTTATTTTTTACTTTAAAAAGTTATTGAAATGGTGAGCGAATTGAAACAAAATTCATGAACTTATAATTATGCTAAAATTAAATTATTTATAATTAAAATTTTTAGAAAGTCAATTTGCTTCCGTTTCCTACATTGATCAAGGTGCAAAGGTTACCTGGGTAAGGCAGGGGGGCCGCCGAAACGTAGCAGGCGGCGCCGATTGTAAGGACGAGCGCGAGAAACACAGCTTGAGACATGGCGACCTCGACTGTGGATTTTAGCGAGGAGACGCCGATATGTGCGATTACATCGAAACCAGAGTATCTCATTTTGAGCACACGTCACGGACCACAAAGAGGGGAGAACAAGTTTTTAATCTCTGCACCTCTTTTGATTTTTAATTATTAATAATTTTAAAACAAAGAATAATAAATACTTTGCATAGATTTTCATCAAATTTTTAAAGAAAGTTCGCATAGATCTAACTCTTATTATAAATCAAAATCAACGTTTGCAACAAGCTTATTTAATTGGCATACTGATGAATTGAGGAAAATCTTTGAAAGTTTTGGCTAACGGCGAGGACATCAATAAGCAAAAAGAAAGTTGCGAATAATTAACTAAAATAGAGTATTAAAATGCTTTTGCGTCTATAAGTAGGTTAATACAGGGTTTTCATGCAAACAATGATAAGCATAAAATATTCAGTTTTTTCTTTTTATTGATATGAAAGCTGTAAAAAAATTATTTAAACTCATCTTTTATCTTGTTGCATCAACAACATCATTTCACTACATAGATAAACTGTTTAGGTTTGAAGAACATATTTATAAGTAAGACATTTTTGTAGCGACCTTTGTTTCTTCTGCGCAAATAAATTAAATAGTATCCGTGTTACAGGAAAATAGATTTAGAGAGAAACTTCTAAAACAGGCTACAAAAATTAGCAAGAAAAACTATTTTTTTATTATTTAACGATTTTAAAATTATAATAATTTCAATTTATGCAAAATTTACACCGTATAACATCGAGATTAAAAAAATATTGTATTAAAAATTTATATTTGTCAAATTACCCGCGTTTAATCACAAGTTTATTGGTTAAGTATAAATGAATACTAATTATTGTATTTTGATTATGATACTTTCATTTTATTTTATTTTAATACTTTGGCTCTCAGAATAATTATACATTTTTATGAATAAATTAATATTATTAATTATATTATCATGAATGTTGAGGATAACACCAATGAAGGACACGTTTTTTCCATCACATTTTTGTTGGAAGGTGCTAATTCCTCAGATCCATATCCCTATTAGAAAAATCTAAGGAAACGAAAATAGGTAATGGTAAGTTTTAATTGACCAAAAATTTCTTACGAGAACAGTCCTCCTCCAAATCCACCGGGGTGTCCCCCATGGTATCCTCCATGATAGCCGCCACCCTTGTGAATCCCTGCTCCGTAATGAGCTCCATGTCCTCTGATATTTGAGTGCGAAAAACTGGCGTGGAAAGGCCCGAATCCGTAAGTTTCCTTATAATGGTGCCCTTGTTGATGGTAGTGTCCCCCGCCCTTGTGGATTCCGCCCCCGAACAGACCTGGGGATCGACGATCTCGCACGTACTCCTCTTCTAATTATTCACGCATCAATAGCAAGTAAACATTAACAAATCGCGTATTTTCCATTATTTGCTTACCTTCGAGCAGTTCTTGTGAGGTGGCCACGACTACCACAGCAAACAAAATCGCAAAAATAATCCAAGTTCGCACCATCGTGACGGTTCAAGAAGTGGTTTGTGCAAAAATGACACGGATCTCAGCGATTATTGTTTCAAAATGATCAATGCCCTTCGTAAAAAGTCCCTCCACAGTTTTCAGTAGCAGGTTTTTGCCTATTATAGCAATGAAATCAACCCTTTAAATTAAAACCTGATGCCCTTGCTCTTGTACCTTCGGCCTCTCGCGAATTCTTAATGAGCAAAAAATCAATGTCCTCAAAATACTCAGTAAAGTTATAAAAAGAGAAAGGGTCAAGATATTTTTTTTTAAAATTAAAATTTTGATAAAAAAAATATACATAATTTTTGCATTTTAATACATTTTTTTTACATAAAAATTACTAAATCCTCTTATTTTGGTGGCTTCGTGATCTTTAATAAAGTTGATTAAGGAGAAATCAAGCGAGTCTGTTCTCTCCTAACCAACAGTAATTTGGCTTTTTGTGACCTCGCGAGAGTCTATCGAAGCGACATCTGCAGGTGATTGGCCCTGAAGGCGCAGCCAGGTACACGCGCCTGCGAGCTGCCATGGTTACATCAGAAGCACCTGCAACAATGCGACGCCCGACACGAATTTTACAATGCTCTCTGTGCGCGTTGCTGATTTCGGCCCTCGTTCTGTCAGCCGCCGGCCAAGGCAAGTACCTCATTTAACTCATTTTAAACTTCAATCACCATTTATTACTCTGAGAGAGGTTGATTTTTATTGCTTTTTTGGTCAAGTCTTCGACCTTAGCGTGCAATTTGCTCAGACTGCATAATAATATATTGGGCGCAAGATGTCAGTGACTTTTGGAGAGGATGTGCTTTATTTATGTAATCCACAGGATGCATGGTCTGGGTTCACCGCAAATTTTGTTTGACCAAAAGCCACATTGTTTTCATCTTATTCAGATAGTTTATTGACACCGAATTCAAATTATGATTAATTAATTTCTTAGTTTGCATTTTTTCTTTATGCATAGAAATATTAAGTTTATTTTTATTTTCAAATCATATTTCTTTTTACTGTTAAATATAATTATATAAATATGTACAAAATTTTGCTTTAGATGACTGTCATTTTAATTATTAAATTTAGGGGAATATTTTTAAATATTTAATATTGAGTTCAATAAATATTTCAATGGGTTTAGGAAAATTAAGAGCTCACTTGTACCTTATTTATGTTGAAGAATGATATACAAAGCTTTAGCCAACATTATTGGAAAAGGGGAAGCTTAAAATTAATATTTTTATCTTTAAATCTCTCATTTAATCTGGAGATTAAATTTTTCATTCATCAATAATTTAGATTTTTCCTTTATATCTTTGAATTTCATTAAAAATAAGTACAATTCCCATAGTAGCAAAAAATTTTGCCCATTAATATATTCATTGTTTAATGTTTAACATCTAATAACTAAAAATCACTGTATAATTCAATTCCTCAAAAATATAACAAATATTTTCACAATCACGAAATTTTTTAAATAGCGATCTTTGATTTAATTTAAAAAATAAACATAAAATATTTAACAAATCAATTATTTTTAGAAGCCGTTCCTGAAGTTTCAACCTCTGCTGCTCCGGCACCAACACAAAAACCTGTTGGTCCAAAGAGACCGCCAACCACTGCCAGAACTACTACGACCAAAGAACCGGCAGGTTCGTGGAAACAATAATTAATTTTGTCCTTCAAGGTGAAAGAAAATTATAAGCCTGATATTAAATCTGTCTTAAAAAGCTCGATAAATTTCATATTACGTCATTATGCGCTGCTGGGAATCCCAGCAGCCTCTAATGCGATTCGATAAAAGTCGCAAATCATGCTTTGAATCTCATCATGCAAATTACACCATCACCCCACGCTTACAATACAATGTCTGCAAATTAAAATAAAATTTTATTTCCTTTTTCAGATGTAGACGCTGTTGCTTTTCCTGATTCGGCCCCAAAACCTTCTGTCGCTCCCTCGACTGCAGCACCCGCACCTGCTCCTGCAGCAAAACCAACGCCTGCCCCAGCAGCAAAACCAACCCCAAAACCAGCAGCTGGCGCACCTTTAAACAATAGGGTGCAAGGTCAGCAAGGTAATAATGCCCCGGTCGCTGCCGGAACTCCCGTCCCTGCAGCTGCCCCCATCGGAGGTGCAAATGGCACAAATGGCACCGGACCTTTGGGCAACCGAATCGGTGGTTTGGGCCTCCTGAACCAGCTAGCCCATGGAATCGGAAATGGAATTGTGGCCCCCATTATTGGAGGCGTTGGTGGAGGCGGCGGCTCGAGCTTCAGTTTGGCCTTTTCCACCTCCTCAGGTGGGGGCCTCGGAGGCGGCGGTGCCTCCAGTAGCGCGTCAGCTGGATCGAATTCATTTGGAGGCGGTGGTTTTGGAGGCAGTGGATCGAACGCTCAGGCCTCCTCAGGATCATTTGGAGGTGGACTTGGAGGATTCGGAGGCGGCGCATCCAACGCACAAGCGTCGGCCGGCTCTAATTCTTTCGGAGGTGGACTTGGCGGCTTTGGAGGCGGTGCATCAAACGCCCAGGCATCATCCGGATCAAATTCCTTTGGAGGCGGACTAGGAGGATTTGGAGGTGGCGCGTCTAATGCCCAAGCTAACGCAGGGTCAAATTCCTTCGGAGGCGGCCCTGGAGGCTTTGGGGGTGGCGCATCCAACGCTCAGGCTAACGCAGGGTCCAATTCCTTTGGAGGAGGCCCAGGAGGTTTCGGAGGTGGCGCCTCAAATGCGCAAGCAAACGCCGGAAGCTCTTCATTTGGAGGCGGTTTCGGAGGCCCTGGTGGAGGATACGGCGGCCCTGGACAGTACGGAGGTGGATACGGTCGCCCTCATCACGGCGGCGGAGGTGGATATGGTCGCCCTCATCATGGCGGAGGCGGCTATTATCCTAATGGACCCTCACCTTACCATGGAGGCGGCTATGGGGGTGGCTACGGAGGTGGATATAATAGGCACCAAAATGCAGGCTACCACAATCGACCTCACAAGAGACCACCCGCAGGGTTTACCGATTACGGAGATTACGATGGTGGACTAATTGGAAACAGGAATCAAAAGTTTGGAACCGAGTTGTCCTCTGCAAGCGGTGGCACCACCGAAGCCGACTCCATTGCTTTTCCAAAGTAAAAAAAAAAAATTAGTCTCATTGATTTTACCTTTTTTTTCTTTTAATTTATTTTCCATAAAATGCCAGTTATTGCCTAGCGTGTATTTTTTTATAATTTTTTTTATACAATCTCAACTTTTCTAGTTCCTAATTCTGATTCTTAAATCTGTATGTCTGATTTTCATACTTGCGAGTGAAATAAATCTAAGTTACCACCATGAAAAATTCATAATTATTTTCATTTTTTATCCTTGTCGTAAGTAAGAAAAAAAATGTTTGCAATATCACTTGAATAATTCGCACAGTCATCTCCATTAGGCTTTTTACACGAATGTGTGCCTTCGCAGTTTGCACTCTTAAAATTAAAAATAAAATGAATAATTTTTTTAACTCCATTTAAGTGCGCATATATAATCAACAGCCGTGGATCTTCTTTTTCTCTTTCCCAGCTTCCAAGGCCAGTGGGATGAGACACCGATCGTAGCGAGATAATTGCGGTTCCACCTCTTCCACATTTCTATACACAGCGAAATATTCCTCTTGGCAACAGAAAGAGAACCTTTAACGTGTGTTGAATACGAGCTAGAGCTCTTATTTTTTATTTTTCTTCTCTTCCACGTAAAAGTGTTGACGTGAGAAGTGTATAACTGTTTTGAAGTAATCGAAATCAATTGAGAAAGCGAAGAAGAAAAAATCATAGCGCTGCTCGTAAATGCAAAAAGTCTTCCTGGCGGAGCCTCCCGACGACAATACCTGTGTGCTAAGGTCAAGGTGAGGCGTGACGTCACGGTGATTGACCGCAGGTGCTCGTTCCACTTCGCTTGCACGATCTGATCTTTATTATAATAATTATCCCAACCGTGCAAATCCTGCGGCGGGAAGATTTGCGCGAGCCTTGAGCAGCTTCTATTACGACGCGCATATAAACAAAGCTCATCTTCCGCTATCGGCAGCGTGAAATTATAATTACCAGGGAAACCCGGGGAAACCCCTTAATTTTTTGTTAAAACCCCAGTTGGTTTTAAAAAGAAACATTTTATACTAGATACAAAAATTTTTTTATTCACAATTTTCTTATTTTTTCATATTCATTTTTTATTGATAAAAAAGTTTGGGTTGCTCTTTGTCATTTCTCTCTTTTCTCATTTTCCAACGGCGACGGTCTGCGTTCCGGCTTGAGCGGCGCTGTTTGAGCCTCCAATACCTCCAATGCCTCCTGCACTGCCGGTAGCACCAGCGCTTCCAGCTCCAGCGCCCAAACCACCACCCGTTCCAAAAGTGTTGGTGCCCGCGTTCGAAGTGCTTCCGGAAGCTGAAGTTCCTAGAGGACCACCCTGATTGAAACTCTGGCTGGACGAGGAGGCAAAACTAGAGCTGCCACTTGCGCCTGCGGCAGGAATGCCTCCAAATCCTCCTAATCCACCTCCGTTAAATCCTCCTTGGTTCAATCCGCCTCCGTTAAATCCTCCGGCTCCAGCGGGAAAACCGCCAGCACCACCAGGGTAACCGCCTGCACCGCCAGGGTATGCGTTGTTATAGCCACCTTGATTACCACCTGGGCGTCTGTGGGGCTTATTGTGTCCACCAGGATACTGTTGAGGCAAGGGAGAGCGTTCAAGACGGATCAGGGGAACACCATTTTCGGAAACTGGAACTGAATACAAAATAATAAATTTTTTTTTTTATACTCAATATTTCCAATTCAAATTTTTTAATTAACATTTAAAAGGTAATGCGCATTTTTACTAGCTCACCTAGACCAGGGTAGACGAAGACGAGTCCTGAGTTAGGGTCGGGAACCAGGTACTGAGCGTTGGTGACGGCCACGACGGCCAAAAGAAGAGCAGCTGCCGAGACGAGACCCATGGTGAATCTCACTTGCGAATCTGAGGCCCAGTATTCTTGTTGCTTTTATATAGCAGCCACGCCTGACGTGTGGGTACATCACCTGCCAGCCAGGATGGACCTGAGCCGCGCGCATCTTTTCTGAGCTGACCACCTGTGCGCAATTGAACCAAAATATGTCCTTTCTTTTTTCGCATGCAAATCTTAAACGACGCAATTAGGGTTACGTAAACATGCAGAAGATAGAAAAATTATGACGTATACTGCTTACACATATTCTCATCTAATCACTTATTTATGTATAAAATCAAAGCTGAAATAATGACAAGTGTTAATTAACAATTATAGAAACTTTAAAAATAAAATCACTTTTTATTTGCAACAAAATTATTTATAATTTTATTTTGTTATTTTTATCCATTTTCTATGTTATTTTTCTCTATACTCCGCCACCGCCAATTCCATTAATTTTGTCTGGTCTTGTACAAAAATTGTTCCCGCGGCTTGAACAAAAGCAAAACTTGCTTGTTAGTGTATAGGTGGTAATAACTCAACACACGCTTCCAGAAAATAACCAGTCTTGGCCAAAGCCAAAGAGATTTGAGTTAATTTGTTCCCCTGTTACTTGCCTCCGTTGCGTTGACCTTTCCGACAAAACTCTCTTAACGCACTGCGTATTTCGCAATTAATTGAAAATAAAAAGCAGTCTAAGGACTTTGAAAAAGTCTCACCAATTATCGAAGGATTTTTCCTGTTGCGCCGCTCAGTAAATAAATTATTTGCTCGCGGCAACGTCTCCAAAGCTCAAAGAAAGATGACATTGAAAATTTCACGAATGTTTACTCTTGGCAAATAAATTGTCACTCTCATTGTCAGAAGAGAAACTCAAATTTATTTTTCCGTCAGAATATCAGCATTTTTTTTTTAACTGTATAAAAAATCAATTGGATATAAAAATTATTAATGCTAAAACAGCTACATATATATGTTTATTTGTAGATCTTACTAAGAGCCTGAGTTCCTTAACCTTAAATGGTCCGGCGAGTTCAACAAACTGCGAATTTCGGCTCGCGTGCTGTGGTTCAAAAGACTTATTCAAATATAAGTTAATCGGGAGCAGGTTACCATATATTGCAATCCAATCTTGATCGCTAGGAGTCCGTTTTTACTTGGGTGTGGATTGGGTGGGATAAAATATTGATATATTTATATTGCTGCTTTGTTTATATTGAGAAGATTAAAAATACTTTGAAATTTGTAAGTTTTTTTAACTTTCCGAAGCATTAAAATCTGTAGTTTACTTTTATTTAACATTTATAATTATTTGATGAAAAAAAATGATCACCTCGAGTGCCAAAAGGTTCCACAGCAACAACTTCAAGAACCTATATATTATATAGAAACTTATTAATTATTATTTTTTTTAAATAAAAATATATTGTGTGAAGTATAAATAAAAATTTTTTAATATAAGTTTTTCTGTGACTGTGGTCAATATTGATAATGCAATTAAAAATATAATATATTATTTATTTATTATTTAATATTATTAAATAAAAATTATTGTAGTTTCTGGTTATAAATTCATGGTTTATTGGAATATCACTTGATGGTACACACATTAAATATACATATTGAAATGTTATGCTTTTTAATTCATTCTCATTAAGATTATTATAAAATTTATTTTAAAATTTGACATATTCGTAGAGTGCGAAATCCAAAACAGCGCCTGTGGTCATCATGAAAATTGTCTTCAGCGTCCAAATCCAGAGTTGAAATTCTGCGTGTTGGCAGCGGCGTTGGCAGCAGAGCCGCTGGCGCCCAGACCTCCAAAGCCTCCAGCGTTGAAGTTTTGGCTGGAGGCTGCAGCGTTGGCTGCAGAGCCTGACGCACCACCACGTCCGCCAAAGCCAGAGTTGAAGTTGGAAGAGGCCGCGTTTGCGTTGGAAGCCGAGCCTCCGAATCCGCCAAATCCGGAGTTGAAGTTTTGCGAGGCTGCGTTGGCGTTCGACGAGCTTGAGCTAATCTGGGGGCCTCCAAAACCTCCTCCATTATACCTGTTGCCTCCTGGATAGCTTCCTGGGTATACTCCTGGGTAGCCGCCGCCACCTCCGAAATTTCCATGGGCACCATGACGACGGGCTCCGCCACGTCCATTATTCCACTGCCGGGCAACCCTCACACCATCTGCAAATAAATAATAATAATTTCTTTATGTTCCAATTTAATGCAGTGTAAATAATGCATTAATAATAATTTAATATCCAACAGAAAGTAAAAAAGGTCAGGGGCTTCAATTTGGGCAGCCCAATAAAAAAAAAAAAAAATAAAGAAATCGTGATTTTGTCTTGGCCTCTGCTGACCAAAAAAAATTAAAATAAAACAAATAAATTATTTTGTGGTAGAATTTAAATTCAATTTAAAATAAAATATTAATTTACTGAAGTCGCTGTTCACGCTGTCATCTTCGTCCTGAAGATCATCCTGCGCCCAGGCACAGCTGGCCACGAGCAACAAAAGGGAGGCGGCGAGCAGCTTCATGCTTTCTTTTTCTACTTTCGGTGGTGCTCCGTGCGGGCCAAAGCGTTCAGATGACGGGCAGTGTGCGCCTTTATAGCGAAAGTGCACTTCCGAAACCAAACCGCAGTTTGCATGCGAGTTCATCTGCAACACAGAGTACCAATCTGAGGCTGTGTGGTTTTCCACCGGCAAAACATCCTGCGAGGTTGTTAACTTTTTGCTTCTGAAAACGCCACAAACCTAGAAAACAGGAGCCAAAGCAAAGCTATTTTAAAAATTGCGGTTGACAAGAAAAATATAATACATTAGTGCAATATTTAAAAAACTAAAAAAAAAATGATAATCAATAATTCAACTGTATTAAATCAAATGGAAAAATATTTTTAATAAAATTGTATTATTTAAAAATTTAAAATATTATCCGAAATATATGACGGAATAAAAATAATAAGACTTTTGATTACATTACAAAACATAGTTTTTATTAAACTAACAATATTAATACCCTAATAAAAAAACATACTCCTCAAAAGAAAGGAAATGTTATTTTTAGGACTTTCATTTTAATTTTTGATGAAAATTTTAACTCAAAACTCTCATTCAATAGGGAAGCATTTATTTCAGAATAATTCTAAGCGTTAGCTTTTTTTCATTTGCATATTAATGTGACACCATTACGATAAAATGGAAAGTAGTGCATCTGGTAAGTCTTGCCGCGGCAAATTATTTCACGGGCCGACGGCTAAATAAATTAGCAGCGGCGCGACCCCAAGGTTTTACTCTTGACATTGAAACAAAAATTGCCTAATTTAGCGTTTTAAATTACGCTTCCAGAAATTTTGTTGGACAGGAAGTGAATAAAAGACAATGGGCAATTTATACTTATAAAGTTCAATTATATTTAAATGATCTCACATTTTCACGATGGTACATACGACATAATATAAATTACGGGTGCGTGCTTGTACAAAATAGGATTATTTACAAATGGAGTGGTTGAAAGAAGGTCTCTCTGGCCACTGCAGTCGAATCCGCTCAAAATCAGGTATGTCACTTCTTAATTAGGTAAGGTCAGTCAGCAGTCGCGAAATTAGCGACCGAAGTTGAAGTTCTGGGAATTAGCGTTGGCATTGGATGCACTGGCACCGAATCCTCCCAATCCAGAGTTGAAGTTCTGGGAGTTGGCGTTGGCACTGGACGCACCGCCGCTGAGGCCTCCGAATCCGGAGTTGAAGTTCTGGCTGGAGGCGCTGGCGGAAGCAGCAGAGCCCGAAGCTCCGAGTCCTCCGAATCCACCACCAGTGTTGAAGTTCTGCGAGTTGGCGTTGGCACTGGACGCACCGCCGCTGAGGCCTCCGAATCCGGAGTTGAAGTTCTGGGAAGCAGCGTTAGCGTTGGAAGCGCTGCCGCCGAAGCCGCCGCCGGGACCTCCAAAACCGGGACCTCCGAATCCTCCGTTAAAGCCTCCAGGACGTCCCCCAAATCCACCAGGCTGACGGAATTGCTGATGTCTACGGTGACCACCTCCAAATTGGGGAGACCGAGCGACGCGAGCATACACCAATGGGAGCTCCTCTGAAAATAAAAATTTTATCAGTTTGGAAAAAATAATAAGTAATAATTAAATCTAAAATTTGGAGAAAAAATAAATGTTAAAAAAGAATTTAAAAACGCTTTAATTTCATTTAACCCGGTAAATTTTTAAATATATGTATATAATTCTTACCAGGTGTTTGGTAGTACTCCTGTCCGATAGCGGAGGCCACGAGGGCAAGGGAGAGGATGGCGACGAACACCTTCATGTTGCTTTAGCTGCGGTAGAATAGCTTCAGGTGGAGTGCGTTGGTGCGTCTTTATATCGCGGATCGCGGCCACTCGATCCTGCCGAGGAGTGGTCCACCCCACCGCCCAGCGAAACGGCGGCTATAGTTGGAGCCCCAACAGGGGAAGCCCATAATTCTTCTACTTCTCTTTCTTTTCCCAAACCTGGTGATTAGCGCCGATTCTCCTTCAGCATATTATTCCTATTTAATTGAAAAGCAAGGCTGTCCGGATGGGAAACTTTGCTATTTTTAGAAGTCGTGGCAAATATTATGCAAATTTCTTTGTGCGTTTATTTCCTCTAGACACGAAAGCCTTAAAGCAAAAAGGATATTAAAGTGGCTATGATGGAAATGGCTACGGCAATTTTGGCTGTATTAATAAGTCACAAACTCGTCAATCGTGCGTAAATATTTATAGCAAATAAACAAATGTGTAGGATGTTTTTAGAAAAGTCTTTTTTCTTTAAATAAATTTAAACGAAAAAAAATGATTATTTCTATCTTCTCAACATACTCAATTTTTTTATTGAAAAAATATTTTATTTCGTCTAATTTTACAAGTCCAGCCAAGTCGGACAACTTAATTGATTCATTTTAAATTTTAAGTTTGCGTAATTTACACACTAAATGTGCCATATCTTTATATTTTTTGTAACGTCAGTATTTCATTATTTAATATTAACTTATTCATTAAAATTTGTATAATCTTTTAAATATCATGGCGTCCATAGTATATTGGGTTGTAGAATCTCTTTACATGAATGTAATGCCGTATGTTTGTGTTGACGAATTTACTAATAATTCCTACTGAATTCTTTTTTCAAAGGCTTTGGATTTCGTTTTATCCTGTTTATTCTACGCGTCTTTTTTGACTTCGCAATCACGTTAAATTACCAAAATTATCAAGGCTGCTGCTAAGAATTTCATGATGACGTAAAACCTCTTTACCGACTTGTTTATCTTTCCGCTCAGTCAAGATTTCTTTTCATTCTGCGTCACCGTTTCTTAATTGCTCGCACGGCACAAATTAAAAGTTTCTCCCCTTTAAATGTGTTTTTATTCCTTTCGCTTATATTCATCAATTCGTGATGCAAATGATATTGCGCGCCGACAAGATAAATAACGTGTGCCGTTCCCACGCGTGACGTGCGTGTCGCGTCGCCGGTGCTCCTCCGGCTACTGACGCACGGTGTTTACTTTTTTACGATACCTTGCCCTTGCCGAGGTCTAGCTGCGTTTCCTATGCAATCTCGAGTAACGCATCCAGGCTGCAAACAAATAGCGACCTTTGGAAATACCGCAGCGGCGGCGAGAGATGAGAAAGATAATAGCAAACAAACGTAGCTTCTGAAGTTACTAATTTTTTGCATCATTATTTTTTTTTTTAATTACTCGTCAAACTCTAGAATGAAAATACACTACTTATTACTACATGTTAAAAAAAAAACATATTCAAAAACCTATAATATCCAAAACAATTACAATTTGAAATTAAAAATAATCTTTTTCAAACAATAAATCACTTCAATTTTTTAATGAAATCCACCTCGAGTGTTACCATTCAATTCACATCAATATTATTTTGGTTTGTATTTCATGTTGAATCAATAAGCGATACCATGCCCTTCAGTTTCCTCCCAATTTTCCGGTTTGAAATAACACGGTCGGAGGTTGCCAATGAATAATAATATTTCAAAACCTGTCCGTCACCTTAAACCAGTGGCAAAATAAATGCACTCGTCAACAACAACATGATTGTTTTTTATCCAAGATGTGCGGTCAAGGTGGCCCAAAATCGGGATGATGAAGCAGAACATCAACAAGGTAGACGGCGCTGACAAGGTCAGGATGCTGGACCGAATTATTGCTGCGGCGTGACCTTTACTCTGCGCCGATCACCTGACGATCGCCCCTTTTTTCTTCTGCCGTTTCCTCTTTCCGTGTTCCAACTCACGTTTTATTTTGTCCTCTCGCGATTTTCCTCAAATCTTCCTCTTTGCGGTTCCGAATATTAATATATAACCGGCGACAAGATTTATCTCCACGGAAATGGCTTCCTACTCTCGCAAAAATTTTGCGAGTCAATGTCAACCTGTTCGTTGACTTTTGCAGCCAGATGACATTAAGTAAACTTTCAGCTTGGTAAAAAAACCAGCCTAGTCGACATTAATAAACTTGTTATGCTCAATGAGCCTATATGTTAAAAATTTTGCAAACAGATCATGTTTACTTTACTGGGGCTCTGCTTAGTGTTATTTTATTTTCCTGCTGGGGCATCCTGTCGCAAACAATGGGTGCTGCTGTAAATTAATGTATGGACAATATTTAAGTTTTATATTTTTTTTACTTTTCTCTAGGTTTTTTCATCAGGATTAAGGAATAAAATATGCTTTAATTAAAAACTCGCATAAATTGCATTTTCAATAAAAAATCAAATATTATAATTATTTAAATTAAAGTTTAAAACAATTAAAGGCCATTAAAGGCAAAAAAATCCTAATTTTACAAGATTTTTTTTTATTTAAAGTTATTTGTTATATAATAATTATATTTCCTATTAGACTAATGGAGAAGATATGATTCTCCACTGCTTTATTTTTTCAGTCCAGAAAATGATTTGAAAACAATGGCAGTAGCACCAAGTTGCAATTGTTTTGCTATCAGACCTCACGCTCAGCTGCACACACTGCGTTTTTCAGTAAAAGTCAGCGTCCGCAGGTGCGTGTGTATCCTTAATCCTAAGAATCTCGTAATTTCATTGTTGCTGGGCAATTTTTTGCACACGAGAGGATTCAGGCAGGAAGATTAAAGCGCGGCATCGTCTCCGTTGGCTGCGATTTTTTCATTTTCAAGGCTGCGGTCAAAAGTATTTTTAGGCTTCGCTTAATCACATTAAGTGGCAAGGGTCATGGAATTTTGCGAGCGAGTGAGAAATCATCTAAAGAGTGAAAATTACTCTGAAGCACTCTGAAGGAGAATTTTAATTTACATCCTCTTATCTCTTATTTATGTTGGATGAAATTAATTTTATACTTTTTTCTAGACACTTTCTAATTAAAAAAAAATAACCGTATTGGAAAAATGATAACTTTTTTGCTATTATACATTAAATTAAATTCTTTGAATAATTAAAAATATTATGTAAAAGGATCAAGTTAAACATTAAGTTTAAAATTTTTATAAAGCGACGAAATTAAAAGCACAAGATTTGGAAATAATTTAAAATTATTTTATTAGAAAATGAGATGATTTCGATTTTTTTACAAGCGTGAGTCGTAGAGTCACTGGGGTGAGCAATATCGTTTATGCACTGGCAGTGCGCGTCGTTTGTAGTTGTTCCTCATCAGACCGTCATTATTAGCGGCCGAAACCAAAAGAGCCAGAGTTTGCGTTGGCACTGCTGCTGGAGATGGAGCCCTGGAAGGGTCCGAATCCACCACCAATGTTGAAGCTCGAGGACTGCGCGTTAGCTGAAGCGCTGCTGCCTCCCAGACCACCGCCGAAACCGCCAGGGTAGCCTCCACCGAATCCTCCGGGATAACCACCATAACCTCCATAGCCTCCGGGGTAGCCACCATATCCTCCATAGCCTCCGGGGTAGCCGCCGTATCCTCCATACCTATGACGGCGGCCATATCTGCTTGAATGAGATAAAAAGTATAAGTAAACGTATTTTTCCTATAAAACATTATTGAAAAAAGTGACATAATAGCATAAAGTAAGTAAAGCTGCACTTGCGGAAGTCGTTTTTAACCTTCAACCGTTTAAATGGAATTAAAATAAGTTTTAAGTATAAACTCAATTAAAAGCATGCACGTTAAAATAATTTTTAAGTTTAGTTTCTGTGTTTTTTTAAATCAAATTTATGATTTAATTATTTTGAAAATCAAACAATAATTAAGGAGGTATAGAGTGTAGTGAAGGAAGCATTATTAGGTTTGCAAGAGTTTCAAGCAAAAAATTCCGCTCAGAGTGTAGCAGCATTACTGACCCGCGACGTCCATACCCAGGGTAGAAGCCCTGACGCTTAGCTCTGGCAAGTTCAGGTTGATCCTCCTGTTCTGGGCTGGCAATCAGAATGTGGCGAGCAAGAGGGGACACGTGGTCAGCAGGAGGAGGTGCAAGTGCATGATCGAGGGGGTGATTTTCGATGTTGACCTGTTGGTTCTGCACATCAATCGCCGCTTGGCTGTAGCTGTCCACTGGAAAGAATATTATTTTATTAAAATGAAATTTATAATTATTATAAATTTGTATTTTAACGATTATCAATAAAATTTAACAAGCTCTCCAAGTGAGACAGAAATTTTAAATTTTATTTCAGTTAAAACCCCTGAGAGCATTGGGGTATGCAACCAGTGCGCCATGGTTGCCTTGCCAGTGGCCTAACTTCAAGAGCTTATGCCATTAGTTTGCATTATATAATTCGCAAGTGCAAACTTCTCGGACTGATTATTCTAGCTTTGAAATTACTGCGTTTCCCAACGATCAGCTCTTAATTAAAAAAAGAAAAGCGATAAAATTGTGGATTAAAATTTTTAATTGGGAACGCATGAAGGTCTGTCGAGTCAGCCGGTGTAACAAAGGCACGCGGCTCCGGATGTTGCGTGTGCGAACTTGACCTTAGGCGAGAGCGTGAAAGCGAAAGTTTCGGTGACTTGAAAGCATCGTGACCGATCTCAGGTTTCACGGAAACCGTCCACACACTCGCCGGCTACTGTTGGTTGTTTTGCTTCTTAATTAACGGATTTGACGAAATTCAACCGCAAGAGTACGAAAAATCAATGAATCGGTTCAGCCGCCCACGGATTTCTCTTTGCCCAAGAAATTAACGCACACAAGCAATACGTGGGTTGCTGCAGACGCGATAATAAAAATCTTGTGGCTGAGATGCAGCAAAGAACCTTGAGAAAGATTTGTTATGCGCAGCTTATTATTTCAGGTACATTTATGCACGAGGAATGCAAATCGTGCCGACTGACGACGCGAGTTGCTTGTATTTATTATCGTACATACGTTTCTACTTGCTAGCGGTACCGAGATGGAATATTAATTTGCAAATATATATTTCTTCCGCGTTTGAAATCCTTCTTTCAATTAACAACATTTTAAGTAAATAATTTGGATTTTCTACAATAGTAAAAATTCTACCTTCAATAATAAGTACCCAATATAAAGTTTAAATCGCATTTTTTAATAAAAAATATTTTTAATAATTTTCATTTAAGAAAAAAGTTAGACGGTACTTAAGGAGAAGCATGTTTTGCTTGATTATTTTTAATTTCAATCGCGCATAAATGTTACAAGCAAAAATGAAAAGGTATTTTTTTTCTTACATCTCGTTGATAATTAGATCTATTTTAGATCAGGAAAATTAAATTTAAATTAATAAAAAAAAATTGTACCAGATTCCTGTGCAGCAGCGAAGGCGGCCAGGGCCAGGGCCAGGACGAAGACGAAGCTTCTCATTGTTGTGCTCGGTGGTGAGATTATTGAGTCGAGTGCACCCGCTCGCTTTGTCAGGTCCTTATATACCCGTAGTGGGGGATCCCCAGGTGAGTTACGTGGTTCAACAGAGGCACAGGACGCATTCCGCGGATCATGCTCAGGTGCACTGCTCCCTCCCACCCCTAACCACCGGCCCTGAAAACCAAAGTACCCCACCAAAGCTGCTTGGGTTTGGGAATTTGTCTTCAATTTTCAAAATCCCGGGGAGTGGTCTGTAGCTCGAGATTGTTTTTGTTGGATGGCCTCTAGAATCGCATTAGCCCTTGTTGTGCTCCGGTGCACTCTCCTTCCGTCATAGGCAAATAAATAAATAAACACGTGGCCTTTTTTTAGAGAGACCGCAAAGACAGGTATATGAGTCTGGAAATCCTGAAGGCCCATTATGAATCACCCACGTATTTATATTTTGAGGAGAAATTTTCATACTTTAATTGCACGTGCTGCTCTTGCAAAACTTTGCGTGAGACCACGAACATACGTCTAATTTCAGTTGATTCGGTCACACTTTGTGTGCCAATATTGTATTTCCCAGGAAATTCTTTAGATTGGGTTCAATTTAGTGCACCTAATAAATCGTTCAGTCACGAATATTTGAAAGTGCGTCAATTGTGACTTAATAGGGCCATCGGCAAATAAGAATTTTTAAGAAAGTGGCGGAAATAGTGTAAAAATTTATGTACAAAATATTGGCTCCTTTTGCACTTAAGATGAATATGGAGCCACACTACAACACTCATTTAGTTAGTTAAATATTTGTATATGGTCATCATCAGGCAACCTCCAAAAAAGAATTGATATCTCATTTTGAAGTAATATTGCCTATTTCTCTTTAGTGTATTAGAAATCAAATCAATGAACTTTAAGTCACTTTAAACAAGATATTTTTTAAACTGATAAATTATTTAATTTGTACACGTTTTGCATCAAGATGAGCATTTCTATATTTTTCATTAACAGCTTTATGCTTTAAAAAGAAGTTTTACAGGAAATTATGTAATAATTTTATACAATATTATTCTTGATAATTTTTTTTATGAATTTCTAAAAATTCGTCTTTTAAAATAATATGTAAAAGTAAGGAAGTAATTTTGAATTGCTGTCGTACATTTTTTAGTATATCCCGGAATTGTGCTTTATATCTCGTTTTTATCGCGGGCGATTTGCTCCGTGGGTCGCGGTAATAGGACACTGCGAACGGAGCGCCAATTAAACTCGCGTAAGGTCACTAGTGGGTGCAGGCAAACCAGAAATCAGAAATACAATAAAACCATGCAGTCGCAAAACCACCAAGTTTCAATTCAAAGCGAATTGATTTAACCGTGAATCGGCAATCAGGGAAATGGGAAGAGAGACGCTCTCGTATGTATGTAATGCGTGCGACTTGAAGTGATTCACGCGTGCGAAACCTTCAACTTGGATCCTCTGTTGTGCCGTCAAAAAGAAGTTGTGCGTTGCCGCATCTTCAAGATAAAAACGACGCTAAATAATAAATTAGTGACTCGAGTAAACATCCTGAGCTATAATAAAAATAATTACACGCGTGCCGTATCCGCGTGGGAGAAGAAAAATGTAAATTAGCCCTCAGGGGAAATCCTGATTGGTTTTCCAGACTCAAAGACTGCACTATTTTATATTCTTTCCAACAAGTGCAGGCGCAGTTTGCTGAATTATGAATTAGCAACTTTGTCAAGAGAGAGCGGAGAAAAGAAACGAAAATCGCTAGGTGAAGAGAACTGCGAGTGATTAAACCTAAACTTGTACCCATAAAGTAAAATTGCTCTTATTTTCATTGGTACAATTTTTTTAACTTTTTTTTAGTACCATGTATTCTAACTGTGCAAAAATAAATTATTTTTAGCACTTTTAAAAATTTTAAAATTCAACATCTTTAATTTTATAATTTTTTTATTGAATGCGCATAATGTATAAATGTACACTTTTTTTTAGTTAAATTCAACAATAATAATGTGTTAAAATAAATTTTAACAAAAAATATAAAATGTTTAAATTAAATAGCCAATCAAGTTTTAGCATGATAATTTGCATTATAATATGGTCATCTGGCCAAGTATGTTTGTATTTTTTATTTACAGTTTGATGATGGTTCAGATGTAATAAATTTTTGAATTTATTTCAAAATTCAGATTGCAATTTATTTATTTACTGATAAATAGTTTGATCAAGAGGGCTGTTAAAATGTATACTTTTTGCCAATTATTGTGATAAAAAATAATTATGTAAATCAAAACCCTACGTACAAAATGTTTACTGCGAAGACGCTCTTCTCTGAGACGAGCAGCCTTGAGACGCCAAAAGAGACGCAGCTGTGCAAATTAATAGTTGGATAATAACGAGCACATTATAGTTTTGTTATGGCAGCGAACGAAATGCGTGCTCGCACGAATTTGCGTCGTTTCGCTCTTCCTGAATTTCCAAATTGAACTCGCGAACATGCGAATCGCGGCAGGGATTCCTCCCTCGGCGCCCACGTCCTTTGTGTGAAAACCAAACCGGTCTAAAAAGTTACGATCCTTGTCCACTGGAGACAAAGAGAGGCGTGATTTTTGCATACCGGCCGCACTCTAACCTTGCATCTTCCTTGAAGTCGGAAGATGAGGGAGAAAAGTTGCCGGTGAAAAATGATCACAACTTAGTAAGAGTGACGGCGCGGAATGAGTGCAGATATTCAACTGCCCAATGTCACTGAATCACTGGAATGAGACAATAAAAAAGATGAAAAATTGCGTTCAGAGGAATCAGCAGAATATATATATAATGAGTTTTTAATGTTTCAGCACTTAAGCTTGCAATTTTATTTATATAAAATTGATATGTTAAAAAAATCTGACACTCAAATAGGAATTTTTATATTTGGCAGCTGGTAAAAGGGTAATGAAAATTAAATGTATAATTATATGAAACTAACTTGTTCTTTAAGGGACGTGAGAGTATGTGAATGAGATCATGGTTGCAAATAAGAGATTTAAAACCAGGCATGCGTAAATGTGAGTCTGGAAAAAATCTTTTTAATTGACATAAGTGATTATAAAACATAATAATAAAATATATTCTTTGGTACTTCAAGGCATAAATATTTTGATTGCATTTAATTAAATAAAATTACAATCAATGATATATAAATTTTTTTTTTATCAAACACCTCAGAATGATATAGCAATACTATTCTATTTGTAGATAATAAACATGACTATTTTTTAGCTGCTGTAAAATTAAACAACAGTAGTAAATTTTTTAAATTTGAAAAAGATGCAAGAATTTTTTCATTGATCTATCGTGATACAATCACTGGCCATATCAATATGCAATATAAATAAATACATAAAAATAATATTCAAAGAAAATAAATGTATAGTAATAATAATGAGAGCAGAATAAAATCAATAAAAAATAAATAACAAACATTATAAAAATTCACAAAATTATAAAGAGATAATTTAAGATCACATTAAATAAAAAATTGGCATGTGGAAATAAAAGCTGACATATCTACAACGTTCCGAAAAAATTTTGTACACGCTATACCCGCCTGACTGCAATAATGCCAATAATATTATTAAATTGCACGTGCCGTGAATATAGATTGAATCTTGAAATTTAAAAGCGCCAGCATGTAGTTGATGAGCACCACCAGCAGAGGGCGCTGCAACCACTCGAATCGTTTTCGTCTATCGGACACGTGGCGCCACACAACGGCAAGTTTGTGACACTTGGTGCTCGGATTGGGCGGTTCGAGCCCCGTCGTGTGCATCCAGATATAAATGTAAAATGTTGTGAAGGGCACGACGACAAATTCGGCGTGCGAGTTGTGCGGAAGCCTCTGCTTGAACCACTTCGCATCTCGCGTCCACCGCCGCTTACCAAGTGCACACCATGGCAGGTGAGTGTGCGCGACACCTGAGAGCGCCGCAGCAGCGGTACCTTCCGCAGTCACGCCTCCCTGACCGCCCCAGTGTCCGACCCTTCGCATTTGTTTTTTCGAAAATTACATATTATGGTCCAGCGCCAATTTTATCTCGTTTGCTCGGTGTTCGGCGAGATGCGCCTCGAAGGCCACGGCGCCTCCGAACGCCTTTTTCATTCAGGAATCTGCCCAAACGCGAGGAGCCGCCGTGAAGGTCGTGCAAAGGTCAAACCTTAACGGACACTTGGCGCTCAATTAGCACTGGACTAAACGCTTCATGTGGACATTAAACTTGCAATTAAATTTTTTTTACTTTTTATTTTTTAATTTTTTCCAGAGCTATTCATTCAAATTCATTTTATTTGTTTATGAAAATTAGACCACATTTTTCCATTACATTATTTTCATTAATTTTTTTTTTCAAATTCACGAAAATTAATATTTTTTTTTTAATTTTACAATTTGCTTTTATAATTACGTTTGTTTATCTAGAGCTAATAATTAATTGTTTACATTATTTTATATTTTAATTCCAATATTTATTTTTTATCATTTTTTATTAAATTATTTTTTTTATTTCTTTGCTGTTGAAAATTAGGCATTGCAATGTTTCTTAATGTTGCTTGACAACATAATAAAAAAAAAATAAAAAGAAACCAATTGCTCGTGTACTTAAAATTTGCTTTAGCATTCAATATTGTTTATCAGTTTTTCATTTTTTTTTTTAAATATTAATGCAGTGGTTCATATTACCCTTATTTACCTTAATGAAGCAGAATGCGAAATAATTTAAATATTTTTTTTATTACTGCAAGTCAAAGTGACTCAGGGCTTACGGTGTAAATTAGAACTCATATTATAACTTGCCAAGGATTTTCCTCTGGGTTTCGATTTTCCTCATCTCCGATCAATTTACATAAGCGTGCAACTCGATCTCACTTTTGTTCTGGCCGCACGAGAAGTGAGCACAGCTTCTTTTTCTTTGTTAAGCGCATTACGTTGAAGAGCATAATTAATTCATCTGGCGCGTTGCACCACACCAAAGGTCGCACCGCACTAGGAATCCCTCGCTATTTTCGCACATGCAACTTGACTCTCCTCTCGAGCAAAATCTTCTTAGCGTGCTGAGCACTAGGAATTAAAATCATTTTAAAAAAACGGATTGAAACTGTTGAAAATTTCTTTGGTCATTATATTCTGTCCTATGCTATTAGTTTCTGTCTTATTTAAATAATTTTTATTTTAGTTTAAAAACGCTTGAGTTCTCCAAAATATAAAATATTAAATTGACATTTCAAAAATAATTTTTATAATCTGAGGTATTTAATTCAGTTTCACTATTAACATTTTCTGAAAATAGAGCTATAATTTAATTAAATTAGAAGTCTATAAAAACAACCTAAAATATTCTAGGATTTTTTATTAATTAAAATTAATTATTTATGTATTTTATTTATATAATTTTATATGATTCAGGGAACAAAAGTCTAGTCAAACAAGTGCTCTCTTGCTGGAGTGGGCGGCTGACTGAAATTCTTGTTGACTGAAACAATCGTTGTTATCATTGCGTGCGATCACTTGACCTGCGCCGCGTGGGCCAAACTCACAACCACGACCCGCTGACCCTGAGGTCCAATGCATTCGAATCCATCCATATTTCAAAACGTAATCATTCTCAGCATGCGACGTCTCGGATTCGCGCGCCGTGATGTCAGCAGAGAAGATCACATCCTGCATGATTCTAATTACCGCCATAAATAGCCTCGTTGACTTTGACACTCGCGAATCGTAGCAAGTTTAAATTTAAACTCTTCATGTGCAGGAAATTGCAAGCATTTGAATTTTTGCACACTATAAGCAAAATAAAATTGCTTGAAACTCGGATGACGGTTGGTTTATTTCGCTCATTTGTAATAAATTCATCTATTTTTCAAAATTTTGTATAAATAGTTTTGAATGGCACAGTTACTCAAAATTTATCAAAATCAAGTTTATGTTTTATGACCCCCCCCCCCAAATAATTCGTTAAAATTGGGTAAAATAAAATAATTACGTAAAAAAAGTGGTCTTAAAATTTATATTGACTTTTTCCACAAATTTCATCTAGATATATTTTTTTTCTCAATTTTGAACTCTAAAGAATTTTATTTTTCACTACTTTGGTTTTAAAAATAATCGTTTGTAATAAAAAATCCACAAGAATCTAGACATGTGTTAGGTGAATTAATTAAAAATCACCATGCTAAATGATCAAAGATTTAAAGTGACAGTAACAGGCTCTTGTTCTCTGCCTTTTTGCTCTTTGATGAAGTGGTTTTCCGCTATTATCCTCGACGGGGGTGGTTGAGAGCTTCTCTTGCCTTCTGAACTCCTCAACCCGATCTCCTCTTCTTGTTGCGAAATTCAAAAAAGAATAAAGAGGGAGTCGTCTAAAGTAAGCGCCACCGATTAACGGGGATTCTCGCGCGGGCCGGACCAAAATAGAGACCTCTCTGCAATTCGGCAACATTCCCGATCGGCTCTCGATTCACGAATCTCCGCAACCATTCGCAATCTGCGAGCAGTTTAGCCTAACGGAGACTTGCGTTTGTTTACATCGCGTGGGCAATTAGACGTCTCGTTGGGTTAAGTTTTATGACGGCGTCTGGCACCAGAGCAAAAACCGAGTTGCAGATAAGCAGGCCCTCTCTTTTTTTTTCTTTCTGCATAATAATTATTGAAACGCCGCCGGACAAATGAGTAATAAAAAACAGTTAGCCGCGACGGAAATTGGCGCATCATCCCACTTTCTTGTCTCATTGAATTGGAACCTGTTTTCTTCCTCTGTTCAGTCAGGACCCAGCCAGTCAATCTTGGCCACTCTTGATTGACACATAAACTTAGTTAGCATTCCTGGCGGTCTCTCGACCCGCTTCTTTTCGTGTAAGAATTACACATGCGGTGTTTCACCGATCGCATACAAACTGGGTTGATTGATTTTTATGTGTATTGCAGCGCAAAGCGAGTGATATTGAACTCTTATTGTAACATTATTGACATAAAATAAATGAAATAATATCTCTGATAAACAATAACGCTTTAAGTAAAAGCACATATAAATATTGTTTATGCAGTTAAATTTTCTGTAACGATTTTAATGCATAATTTTACAATTTTTTTTTTTAGTTAATATTTTGAAATTTATATTTTTATTATTTTTATTTGAAATTATTTTAAACTCTTCATTATTTTTTCTTTTGTTTAGAGCATATTTATTTATGGTATTAAAATTAAAAAAAAATTACTTATATAAACCTAAGTAAATAATAGCTGTTATATTTGCGGTTTTGTGTTGATCTCGGGATCCTTAATTTGGTTACAATTTTATTGAAATTGGATTACATTAATGTCAATTTAACTTATTGCCAATATTTAATAGTGCGCATTGCTACAATTCTTTAAAAATTATCTGAATCATAGCCATAGTGGCAGTATTCTTTTTTTAATTTTAGTTTTTATTGCACAGAAACAAAATGAAAAGTAAAAGTACAGAAATAATTAAAAATACAACTATTTTAAACAATTTCATTAGTTTCCTCCAGTGTTTTATTTACGTAATATTATTTTTATTCTTATTTTCATTTTTATTTGTGTTATTTTATATATTATTTCAGAAACTTAATGATTATATATTTTTTTTTGCTTTTGTTTTGAAAATTTTTCATTAAATTGAAATAAAAAAAATTAAATAAACATTTATAGATAATGACTCAACATTGCTATATAAATCCTTGCTTAAAATCAGCAATAATCTCATGATTGTTAAGGCGTCTGAACTTTCTTACCAATAGAATTGAATGAAATTTTAGTACATGACGTATCTCATTGTCATTATTTAATTACATTATGCTACTATACTTTAATATATTAATCATAGCAGTGGCAGTATTTTATATTTTAATTTTTGCTGATACTCAACAGCTTTATATTGATTATTTTTTCATATAAATTGTCCTTGTTTAAAAGATTCCTGAAAAAAATTTATTAGAGAAACGATTGCTTTTAATGAAAATCAACGCAGAAAAGCTAAATAATTTTAATTTTCCTTTTCGTGAATCTCATATCTGTTAATTTTTTTTCCTACAAAAAAGAGTGCAGTTAGAATTTAAAATTTAAACTCTTTTTTACCTTTTTTTTTTCTTTTTAGCAAATTTCTAAGTATTTTGATGAAAACTTTAACAGCAATAATTGAATGTAATGTAATAACCGTCCATTAAAATTTGCAACTTTTGGAGATATATGATGTACTTATTTTTCTTATTTTATGCTAAATACTATTAACACTGCTTCAAGGGGATCTAGTGTGAATTGGTGAGGATGTAACTCTTTTTTAACCTAGGAATTCTACAGCATATCTTTTGGAAAGAAGGAAAATGAAAAAAAGCTGAACATAAAAAAAAAAATTGGTAATAAGTTATTGACATAATATTTTGTTTCAAATTGTTGGAAAATTGGCATTAACTTGTGCTTTTTAGTTTTTACAAATACTTATTTTGCTGTAAAAACTTGCTAACTTTATTATATTTTGTTTATTATAAAATTACGTATAACACAGAATGGTGCTGAGTTGCGTTATTTCAAGAAGTCAAAAAGTGTATATTGCTTATCTTGGCAAAGTCTTGAAAAAAAACCGCTCACACAGAAATTCGAGAGGGCTTCTCTGTATAAGAAAACTAAGTTACATTGCTTCTCGTGCTCGCACAAACATCCTTGCAAATGGCATGTTAATGTTTTTTTAAGCAAATGCGAATTTTATAAATAACTGCTTGTTCCCCTCCACATTGATAAGGCAGGCCGGAAAATAGGCACGCAAGGAGTGTTGTGACTGGAATTGGAATAATTCTATAAATTCACCGTTGGCCGCGCAGGGCACGTCGAGAATCGCGTAGAAATAGCAGGTGTCTGCTGCAAAAAGGCCTTGTGCTCATCAATGAGTGCATGAAGCACCATGGTGGTGACAAAAAGCGGTGCACCCGCGCGCGGTAACGTGAGATCGGCAGCCAGAGAGAGCTGCACGGTCTAACGCTCGCGCCGCCTGCGCGCCTGCTTCTTCAGACTCGAGGAATATACGTCTGTCTATTTCGGGCTGGCACGGCCGAGGCACGTCGCTCGAGCCACCAGCATTTTTCGCCAAAGCCCACGTGTTTTTTAGCCGCGATTTATCCGCGCCGAGCCTTTATTCGCCCCCAGAGCAACACTCCAAACGCCGCCCTAGCCGCTGATAAAATATCCTATTTTTAGAACTTAACCGATTCTTGACGCACACAAGTCTGTCAATCACATTTTCTCCTATCGGCTAAATAGTTTGAACAGCTCGGTCCTGATCGAGCTGAACGAGATTGAGAAACAAATTAATTTTGGCCCAACGACGTGCTTTGATCAAAATTAAGCGGGCGCGCAGACCATCTTTAGTTTTTTTTTTCAATTAACTCGCACAACCAATGATATTTTGCATATATTTTGACATAAAAAAAGGACTCGGTGCTTATTACTTCAGCTTAAAACTAGCCCGTCTTTTTATAAGTACGTTACTGATCGTAGAGTTTGATATCATTTTCCCCAAATAAGAATATCAAATAACTTAATTTTTTTTGCAAAATTTTGTTAATTTAGTTTATTTAAAAAATAATTGTTGAAAGCCTTGTTTTTTATGTGGGCTCTAGTTCTGTAAGATGAATACAATTCAGCCTCACAGAATTAGACCAATGCAGAAATTTCAAATATCACAGGAATTTGTGGCGGCATCGCATGTTACATAGTTCCTTTTGTGGCTCCAAATGCCAAATGCCAGCGCACTAAATGAAATGTTCATATTTTGGCACATCTTCCTTGATCTAATTTTAAATTAAGTATGGAAGAAACTCTCAATTTTTTTTATTAGGGTTGGAATTTTTCAAAAATAATTAAAATATGCAATTTATATCCTAAAAATCTATTTCAAGAGAGTATAAAAATCTCATTTTACGTTGCGGAAATCAAACTCCCTTTTATCCCATTCCATATTTTATCCATCCACTTTTTGTTATGAACAGGTGCAGTTTGTCATAAATATTTTTCATTTTGTCCGCAGAGTCCAGCCAAGCGTGGGTGACGCTGGCCACGAATGATTCATACAGCTTAGGCGCCCTCGTTTTGGCACACTCCCTCAAGAGGGTTGGCACCACGCGTCGACTTGTGGTCATGGTCACAACTGGCGTCACCTTGGTCATGCAGTAAGATGAAATTTTCCTAATAAATTTGGATTTTAACATTTATTTTTTCAAAGGGATCAGTTGCGTGCTGTCTTCGACGAGGTGCACTTGGTGGACGTGCTGGACTCAAAGGACGCGGTAAACCTAGCACTGCTGGCGCGCCCTGACCTGGGCATCACCTTCACCAAACTGCACTGCTGGCGCCTGACCAACTACAACAAGTGCGTCTTCCTGGACGCAGATACTCTTGTGCTGCAGCCCTGCGACGAGCTCTTCGACCGCGAAGAGTTCTCCGCCGCTCCCGACCCTGGTTGGCCTGATTGCTTCAACTCCGGCGTCTTTGTCTTCAGACCCAATGAGGACACCTACAAATCTCTCCTATCGCTTGCTCTTTCAAAAGGCAGCTTTGATGGTAACTATTTTTCATATTTAAAAAAAGCGTTTTAAGTTTTAAAATATTTGATAAGGTGGAGACCAGGGCCTGTTGAACACATATTTCAACGACTGGGCCACAAGGGACATAAACCGTCACCTGCCATTTATTTACAACATGTGTTCGCCGTCTCACTACTCCTACCTGCCTGCATTCAAACAGTAATTATTTTTTTGAACTAGTTTAGTGTAATATAAAAAATTTAGAAAAGGACTGTGTTTTATAATGTTATTGGAATTTTTTTCTTATTTATTTTTCCTTTTTTTAATTTACCAAATTTTGTGCAGGTTTGGCGAGGGAGTAAAAATTGCTCATTTCATCGGTCCGAACAAGCCTTGGAGTCAGTACTTTGACAGCGAGACCAAGCAAGTTCGTCCTTCGCCCACCGCGGGACACCTCAAGTACCTGTTCCAGTTCTGGTGGGACCTGTTCTGCGCGCATGTGCACCCACACCTATCACCAGACATGGTAAGCAGCTGTGAATAATGTTTTTATGATCGCCATATTCCCTAATTATGTTGACTAATTTGATTTTATTGTACGCTGCCACTTTTTTAAATAAGGCAATGGATCGAAATAAGTATGATATAAAAGAAACGACTAAACCTCCAGATAGTCCTGATGTACAATTAACTAATAGTAGCCCAAGTGAGGTAATTTTCTGCTGGAATTTTATCAGCACCTGTCAGTTGTAGAGTGTAAATATTAGAGTAGATTTTATTTTCTAGTATAGAAAAGAAGCAGACACTCTTTAAAATAGGCATGCTGATTGAAAATTAATAATTTAATTATTAATTTGCATTTGTGATACACCCCTTGATGCACGAGACGAGAACTGTGCGGAAAGTAAAGGGAAGTTTTTTCAGGAATTCCTTCCTCGCCCGATACTTTCCTAACATTCTCAAACCGCATAAAACACAAACCATTTGTCAAAATTATTAAAGTTGAATATCTCTGCTAATCAAATTCATGTTGACTCCTCTGTGGAACCCTTTTTGGCACTTTTGGCTCCCTTTCCTCTCTGCACATTCTCAGTGTCTTGGATTTCTCTTTCACCTCTTTTTCTCTGAAGATTAGATTAAAAATCTCCAAAGTTGTACATATACATTAGTAAAACTCTAAATGCAAATCTTCTGCAGAGCCATAGGAACCTGATCTTGCCTCAACTCGCACCTTACACGGCTGACTCGTTTCACCTACCCTCTACAACCCCTAACAACCACCCTGCTCAAAATGAGTTCCCGAGGTACTCGATGGACCACTTCAGTATCCCTCTGAAGCCCATTAAACCCCCTGATATGCAGTTACCACTGTTAGACGCTATCTTTAACACCCCCCATACACAATATCCTCCACTACAGCATTTGGCGCCTCAGCAGCCACAGATTACAGTCACGGCTCCTGAGTGCGAACCAGTTTCAACAGAAATCGTGCAAAGCGCGTCGCAAAGTCAAAGTAACAGTTCCCAGCACGGCAATAACCAAAATGCTTCAAAAGTAGACTCTGAACCAACAATTCACCCCCCTCCTCCTAACACCCCAACCGAAACTTCTAACATCTCCTCTGACCTCGTGCCTGCTGGCCAGTCATTAAACAACGATCAGCCCGTTGTTGCAAAATCGGAGGAATCGAGTGAAGTGAGTAACCTAAAGTCTTCGAGATTCGGATATATCTGGTTCAAGGGATTCCTTTTTCTGTGTCATTCATAATATTTGTATCACACAAACACGCGCACACAAGCATTATTCAAGAGTGCATGAATTTGATTAGCATGTATTTGTTTGAAGCTATAACTTTGTACATATAATTGTGCATGGCTTCTAGAATTATGCCATTGTACATTCAAATTGTTAAAGTAGCTTTTCGTGGTGGCAGGTTTTGAAAATGGTAATTTGTATAGCGATTGCTTTAAATGTACATACAAAAAAATGTATTAATGAATAACAGTCTGTTTACCCATCACTCATCTTTGCCAGAACTCAGCAAGTTCACTTCTAAAGTGTGCAATTTACGCCATTATCCTTACACTTTGTGCCCTTCATTTAAAATGAAATTAATTGCAAATTAAAAATGAGACCTAGATTTAGTGCACCAGGGTTCATGATTTACATGAAGGGTTTTTGATGAAATAATTAAAAATTAGAGTGTCACTTAAAATCAAATTTATTATTCCATTTTTTTTTTTAGGGCACGATCTGTAAATATTTGAGAAAAATCACTTCATATATTTTTGTCCTGAAAGCAATATCATATATTGTCAAAGCGTGCCACTCTCGGAAGCCTTCAAGAGAGATTATTTTGTGTCTTGTTTGCTGATATTATCAAATTTTTTTAGGCTGGATTAGCCTCTGCCTTTTCCCAAATGAAGTTGGGAGAGCCATCACCAGCGGCTACAGTTGAGCTGCAGGAGCATCTACGACGCTCTGCGTGGGAACAAGGCTCAATGGACTTTATGGGCGCAGATGCTTTCGACAATATCTGGAGCAAAATCATGGACACGGTCAACAAAGGCCCCAATAAGTAACTGTTGACCACCAAGTTGCCAACCAGATCAGGGCCTATGTTGTAAAATAAGCTTCACTGCACACATACATAATTATTTTTACTGACGTATTGTAATTCATTTCTATAAGAGAGAAGCTTTTCTATTGTGTCGCCTTCCTTGTTTTCCATCTTGATTAATTTTCTTACAACATACCAAATCTTCCCCTCCTTGGTGTATGGTTGTTTTTAATAATGTGTTGCCATCTGTAATTTCTAGTCTCCAATTTTTTTGAGTTTGAGATTATCTAGAGCAACACTCACTTTGTAAGTTACACAATGAATCAAATTGCCAATATAGTGCCATATTTTCTGTAATGAGACTTGAAGTTGGATTTATAAATGTTGTCGCAGTCTATGAAAATTTAAAAATCATATGTTGATTGAAATCAGAGAATATATCAAAAAGAAAAAGCTTGTTAAACCGGAATTTTATTTTAATTGCATCCCACAGCGGACTGATCTATTGCAACGACAATTATTTTTCACTCAAAATATTTTATGAAGTGTTTTTAGTGTTTATAGGTATGGAAAATTCACCACAAAGTTTTGCCTCACATTGGTCCTAAATTCTAGCGGCACCTAGAATTTAGTTATGCTCTAGCTATAAATAGTATGTGTCTAGGCGCAACTTGCCCTGGTTTTCAGTGAGATACAGCAGGTCGGCAGTTGTTTGCTCAATGATGGCATCCTCAGCCTTATCAAACATCTGCAACATTAAGTCAGGATTAGCAACAGATTTGCTTTATCTAGGCCATAAAAATAACTTACGGGTTTAATATTGATTTTCTTCTGTCCGTCCTTGAAGTCTGCAGGAGGATACTTAAAGTTGGGTCCGAAGTTGGTCTGCAGAACGATGTTCTTGAATAAGGAGAGACTTGGGTAGTAGGCACCCTTGTAAATATCTTTGTAGGCTACTCCTTGACAAACGCCATTCTTGAAGAAGACAAGTTTACTTCCTGGCAAGGGTTTAAGAGCCTTTGTTGCCTCTGGCACTTTGTCTTTGTCCTCGTAATACAGGTGACTCTTGAACTTCACCAACGGCTAAAAATTGGTTTATGTATTAAAAATTCCTTGTTTAAATGCGTGTCCTTACTCTATCTTTGTAAGTTCTGGGCAAGCAGTTTCCCTCCTCAGTCTCGGGCATGATGATCAGACAGCCAAGAACATCCCCAAGGCCAAACTCTTCTCCGTAGTGAAGTCCGCGGCTTTCGTGGAAGGAGGTGCCCTTGCGAGAGCGCCAAGAGTAACCAAATTTATCATAGCCCAATGGAGCCTAAAATTTTGTAATTAAATGCTTTTTCTTTGGCCTTTAATAAAGCTAATATACCTGTAAATTAGCATAGTCCTGGCCCCACCCAATTCTGCAAGCTGAGCCTTCTGGCATATCAGTGATTTTGACCTCATAGTACCAGCTTCCCTTGGAAACTGAATGAGTTGCTCGAACCTGTAAAAATAATTAATTATTATTTTTTTTATTTAAACAAAATCTTTTCAAACCATGCAGTATCCTTTATCGCCAGTCACAATATGACGATCTTCAGAGATTCTCAGAACTGGAGCCCTGTCGTGGAGAGCAAGCAACACTGTGGACGGACTGAGAGTCCTGTAGAGCCAGCCTGGAATAGGCTTTCCTGCCCAGTCGCTGCTCTCGTCAAACTCCTGCCTAAAAGGTGCATGCGGGTCTGGCTCGGCCAATATGTAGCGATAGCCATCCTTGTTCCACGGGTGGTCCAAAGGGTATCCGTGTGAGGGTAGTTTGGTGCTTGAGCCGTCACCTCCCCTTTTCTTGCCAGGTCCTGCCGTGTCCACTTTGCGCTTGGTGCCTCTGCCCTTTGGATTCTTCTGAACGCCAGTGTTGTTAATTTTCAAAGCGCCACTCTTCACCATGGCGTCGTAGTTTGGCTTTATGGTGGTCAGGTCTTGGAAGAACAGGCCGAACAGAGGGTGGCCCAATGTTGCAGGGTTTCCTCCTGCGGGTGGAGCCTCCTCATGGGTGAAAATAATGCCAACGTCCTTGAGCAAGGTTCGCTGAATCTGCAATTGACACAAAAAAATTGGGTAAATCATCACAGATAATTAAAAAAAAAAAAATTACAGTTGCGTGCCAGGACTGAGTGACTCTTCTCGACATAGTCGTCATGCCTTCCCAGTGGCTCTCCATGAACGGAATGATGTCCATGTCTTTCGAGAACATGGAACGTGGCATGCCCTCTTTAATTCCAGCCTGCATCAAATTTGCAATCGCCGTAATACACATGTGTGGAAAAGCTGCAAATAAAATTAATAGTAATACAAATTCAAACCACTTTTTCCAAATTCTTACGGGCTTGATTTTTCTTGAAACTCTCGAGGCCGGTTGGGGAGCAGTTTTTACAGAAGAAGACATAATTCATCATGAATGGAACCAGTTTTCCCAACTGGTAGCCAATGCACGACTCGTGGTACCAGCGATTGCAAGAAGCACATAACAATTCCACAATGTTCAAGTTTCTATCTTTTCCACTGGAAGAATATAGAAAAATAAATTAGCAATTTTTTTAACAATTGATTTTGAAAATGTAGAAATAATCCCTACCAATAGCAATTTCCATCTCTCTGCTCAGCCTGCTTCGGAGTACTTGGAGCCTGTTCGTTTATCGAACTCAAAACCTTTGGGACGAGATCCATTTCTTGATCTTTGGCAGCCGCTGCCGCCTTCATTATTTTGTTTCCAATAATAGCTAAAAAAAATCGAAAAAAATCATCATGAAGGCTACAATCCTAGTATATCATTTTTCATGCGCATAAAATATTCTCACTGTGTGCGCGCGGGATGATAGAGACAGACAGAATTGAATTTGAAAATTGTGAATCAAAATAAATATCGACATTATGCATGATTTTGTGTCATATAATACGCTAATTATTTTACCTAGATGTGATTGATTGACCAAAGAAATTTGTCGAGCTTGAAAATGTGTGTCCTTTTAATCAGTTTCTTCTGAAATCTGCAAATTCTTCGAACTCGACAAAACTATGTAGCCGCTTGTTTTGTTTACTAAAAACATGGAGCAGGAAAGGAACAACACACAGTCGAGTGTCTAATGCGCGCGTTTATTTAAAAAAGTTTGAAAGTTTAGACAACTTGCTAACAATTAGAGTCCTTGCTAACAATAAGTGCATATAATATATACGCAACACAACCTGTACGTGTTACGTTACAAAAAATATAAATATATTTGAATTTTTTCCTCTTTAAATGTAAAAAGAAAAAACACAACTTTAAATTATTTTTTATCAAAGGAGACAGGAGACACAAGACTACCAATGTACCAATAGTCAAGTCACTCAAGTCATTCCATTGTAAGAAAAATTAAAAATTATAGCTTTATTTTATTGGCGTGATTAATTTGCTCCAGCGTGATACCACCTATTGGCTCATTTTTTGAATATTTTATTAGATTTTATTTTCTTTTTTTTAATTTAGTAGAAATAAAAAGTGATATACAATATATTATTTTTTATCAATGATGTTACATTTTAAACCGTTTTGCTTTGATATAAATGATAAAATTAAAAATCAAATTTAATTAAAAAATTTTAACAGACTTGACTTCAAGGGAAAGGTGGAGTAACTATGAAAATTAAGGAACTCTATAAAATATCCAGTAGTGAATATATTTAATTTTAATTTTTATTGAATTCCAGATTAAAAAATAAAAAAAAATCACAAAATATTCTCTATAGTATTTTATGCATACAAAAATATAATCTTCAAAATAAAAAGTTAAACATAATTATAATTATTGCAAAGGCACAATCAATGAGCTAGGATATTTTGATCAATCCCTGCCAACTTGATGGGTGACCAGCGGTCTGTCCAAACGGTAGATGTAATCGGCAACCCCTAAGTATGCCAGGTAATGGGCATTTTCTGGCTGCGTGTCATTGTGATAGTGTCCAGCCTCACCGTGGTTGCTGAAACTGTGGAAGTGCTGGACGCGCAGATCCATGTTCTGATAATTATCAGTTTGAAGCAAATTCATCTTTTATAATAAATTATATTCATACTGGATCAGTCGAAATTAACGTGCCAAGAGCAACAAGTGGAGCAGACATTTCATAAAAACGCAACCAATTGTTTAGTTCATCGTCAGTTTCGAGAGGAACCGTGGAAAAGTCTGGCATTACGTGCTGTCTTGCCATTCCAGCCTTCATTACAAAAACACCTCCCATTCCTCAAAAGAAAAGTTAATAATTTAAAAAAAAATATTAATATTTGTTTTATTTTAAAACTTTACCAACTGGAAGATTTCCATATTTATTTTTGAGAACGTTCCTGATGCTTGCAATGAAGTCATCAACGCCAATTCTGTTTTTGCATTCAATTTCAATCACCTTTTGTGGATAATTTTATAATTAAAATTTAAAAAAATCTAGTTAGAAAAATACCTGTCCAGGCAGACCTTCAGAGCAGTAAAAGTTGCCCAGCAGAGCGTTTCGCGACTCATTTGCTGGCACTTGAGCTGCAATGCAGCTGCCATCAACAGTGCTCACCCTGGCCGTCCAGGTCTGATTGACAGTGGGCACTTTTGACTCGACAAGCAGATTAGCAATCATCTTAAAAAAATATAATTTAAATTTTGACAAAACTTTTGACTTCAATAAAAAAGAAATAAGATTTAATTAAAATGTAACCTCGCAATTTGTATTGTAGTAAGGCCAAGGACCTGCGCCGGCTCCGATTATGAAGGACCGTCCGGGCATTTCAGACAATGAGCCAAAGTAGCTCATGTCGTAGAGTTTCTGCCTCTGGACCAACGGCAGCAGGTACGGGGGACCACCAACATCTAACAAGCGGGCATTTCCTCCTAAACCTTGGGGGACAAATAAATAACATAAATTATTTTCTAAAGAAAAGTTAGCAAAATTTAACCTTCGCATGCCAGGGTGAAAGGTTCCTGAGTCAAATCAGGGCAGTCGACCGTCCTAACTTGGACCTCGGAAAAATAAGAAGGCAACCCACTTTGGAGCACTAAAAAAAATTAATCCTCTGGTTAATGTTAATTTTAAAACAATTTTATTTGTGCGCATGCAGAAAAAATTCAGCAAAAATAATCAAAGAAATTTCATGCAATTATTATAGAGCATTTCCAAGAATTAATATTCAAACAATTAATTGGTTTCACAAAATTTTGTAAAGGACAATATTGATCTACGCATCTGATTGAATTTAAATTTAAAAAAACAATTTATAATTTTACCATCTGTGATTTCCGACAGCTGCGGAACATGCAAGCTCTTCTTCTGCACGGGAACTTCGCTCTCCGGGATGACACTCATGTTTTCAATTTGTGACATTCAAGTCCCGACGCTCTCTTAAATACGCGATGTTATCAGCAACGATGACTTTTTGAAAAGTTTGTTAAAAGAAAAGAAAGAATAAACGTGTGTTGGCACAGCGGAGCGCAAAAGAGGGGCGTCGACCGAACAACAAATGCACGTGTCTGGTCTGGTCTGCTAGATATAGCAGCCTGTAAGTTATGCAACGTGCGTTTCATGAGACCACTTTTTATCTATTCAATATTGACAGTTTGCGTAAATTTCCGCAAAGTCTTTTGTCTATTGTGTTTGACTGGATGAATGGCAAAAAAATGACTAGACAAAATTTTTAATTGTTTCAAGTGGATTTGTTTTTGCGAGAATGAAATACGATAAGCGATATAAATAATCTAAACTTGCGTAATTTTTATTTTAATTATAATAAAAAATTTCAATGATCTAAAGCCGGGTAATAAAACGAGGGTCTGTTGCGAATGTAGTAATAAGGGTAATAATAAGAATGTCCCCTCCAGGCGGGCCACGGCTCCTTTCCAAAACCCCACCGGCCTTCCAGTCCTTCTCCTGCTGTTTTTGGGGTTGCGACAGGAGTACTCTCGGTCGTGGTCGTGATTTCGCCACCCTGCCGAATGTTGGCCGCAACATTGGGCTGCAAGGGCGCGTAGGACAATGAGATCGCGTAGTTTACCGTCTTGCCAAACTGCTGGTATGAGTTGCTGGTCGCGTAACTACCACTCGTGCCAGGAGCCATCAATTCCTCCAGGAATTGCGACCGCTGCGCAGGATCTGTCAGGTCGAGGCTCAGGGTGGTGCCACTGCCATTCGCCCTTCCCGAGGTTGAAGCATCTCCACCGAAGCGATTTTGCACTGAGGCTGAAGTGTTGTTGGTCGTCAGGGACAGCACTTGATCCAGAAAGGTAAGTCCAGCTTTTTTGTCCGCCAACAATCTTTCCTCGTCGGCGGCTTCCTCTGGAGGCGGCGGCGGAATCGCTTCCGTCGTCGTGCTTTCAGTTGATTCCGTCACATTTTCTGCAAAATCGTAGTTCATATCGGTTCATATTATAATTTCAAATTATTTTGATCAGGTGATTATTAGTTTTAGTTTTCTTAGAATCATATTAGTATATATTTTTGGATATTTTTTTGTAATAAAACAAGGACAAAAAAAAAATCAAATCGTAAATTTGATTAAAATAATAAATAGTGTGTTTTTAATATTTCAGACGATATTAATCAAACTAATGAAACCTCAGCGGAATTCAAAAATATAAATTGAAGCCATAGGGATTCTGTCATTTAAAGAAAGAAGGATTAAACAAATTTATGTATAACAAATGAAAATTTAAATAAAAAACAAACAGCATCAAGCACAATATCAATGTAACTGTTACATAATGTATCTAACATTAAGATTTACAATTTGCATCTATATACTTCAGGAATTATAACAAGAAATGGAATAAATTAATTTTTTAATTGCGCATTAAGAAAATTGAAGAATAAATTTACTAAATATATTCCAATAATATTTAATATATTTTTTTAATTAATTACATTTTTCTGACGAAGGCTATCATTTTAAGCCGTATAATTTGATAAATTACCTATTATACTTTTAATATTTTTTCATTTCAACTCCTTAAGTATTAAAAAATGTAGTTAAGAATTCACGTACCTGCTTTGATAAATGATCCTGTTGTAATGAATAAAAAGAAGTAAATCACAAACCCTAATTTCAATTTCATTTCTCAGCTGTTAATCTTTTTCTAAAATTTAGCAGAATTTTTTGTAAATGAATTGTTGTTCAGTTGAAATCCAGAGCAAAACTGTGCCTGGCTAAGAATTATTTTGAATTAATACCTTTGTTTTTGACTGGAATTTACGTGCATCCTTCAGCTGCTCTGCTTAGGCCCCTCACGCATTAATTAACCTTTGAGTGCAAAAGCGCCAAAAGATGCGGGTGTTATTGACCAATTTAGTAAATTGTTTTTGCCAGGCTGAGGATAATTGCGCCAACATGCCAAACAGGCCAAGGCCCGCGGGTCCCGTGATATGGAATAAATAAATTTAAAATATTTAATTTTAATAAAAACGATAAAAATCCAGGATCGAGTCAGGTGGTGGAATTTTTCTTTAATTAGGGGTGGTGATGAGACTCGGAAATCAAAGGAAGTGACCGTTCCGCGCGGTGAGCGCGATTTTCCGGCATGATTGTGGCGTCCGCTCACTCGCACCCCCTGTTCTGCATAATATTTTCGGTGCATCCCTTGTTAGTCGGTTTAACAACGGCTTGGCGGGTACTGATTTTTAACTTGGTTCCCACGAAGAGCGTTTCCGCTGCTTGTTCGCGGCCTAATTTATTATGCATTCTCGTCGGCCCGATTGAAAGGCAGGAAGGACCGACGGGACGCGTACGTCTGCACTTGTTGAGGCAAAATAATTAAATGCGTAATATCGAACTGTCTAGTCTTTATTGATCACAAAAGTCAAAACAAAGAATTTGATTATTTGGAAAAACTATATAATTCTACTTGTTATGTTTTTTTTTTAATTTAAAGATTAATACATTTTATACCTCTGTATTATACCTCTAACCTTTATTAAAAAAATTTGTCTTTATTTAATTCTATTAAATTTTTGTTATTCACTTGAAGTAAAAAGGCAAAATTTTATAAATGTAATAAAAAGGTTTTAAAGATTCTTTGGTACACAACGCATAAAAACGTTCTTTTTATTATCTTTTAAGCAGCAGCTGTTACATTTTATTGTTATATTTTACGATTCTTTATCCACCTCTCGCATGACACAAGTTCCAAGTTATGTCTCACTTAAGGTGTATTGATTAAGGCATCTTTGGTATTACCGTTTTACAATTCTCTTCACCGGTCTTACATTCTACACTCTTTTTTTATTTGGATTTTTGGGCACACATTGTTATGGTTTCAAACTAACAAAACTCTACAAAATCAAAAAGAAACGAAAAATAAAATAAATCATAAGAAATTAAAGTAAAAAAAAAAAACAATAAAATTATAATAAAGTAACAAAATAAAAATCACAAAAATCAACGTTGTTATATCGACATCCTCTCTTGATGTCCTTTGGAGGCAGGACTGTCATCTTCTCGGCGCCAGCATAGGTTGCGTCAATTTCGTCGCAGATGGAACCTGAGAATCAAACAGGGAAATAACATATTAGTTGCTAGCTAATGAAATAATTTTAGATTAAAAAAAAAAAGTTTATAGCCATTAAAAAGCGCGGAATAAACAATTGTTTTTCATCAAAATAATAATCGCATCAAAAAGCATAATTTAAAAATACAAGTTATTTTCTTAAAGCAGAGAGGTTGTAATGAAAAATTTACAATAACGTTTAAGCAAACGAAATATTTTAAATTTGTAAAAATTTATAAAATAATCTTTTTCGGAAATTTAAGTGCCGGAAAAAAATTAAAATTGCAAGAATTTAAACATGTATAACTGTCACTCACCATGCTTTCGTTGAGAAGAGGTCATTCCTGATTGTGCCACCCTGGGGTCAGTTGGACTCGCCAGGGTGGAGGTCGAAAACTGCTGGAAGCACCATGATTCAGCGCTTCGCCCGCTCCGGTCGGAGACGGAAACGAAAGTGCGCTTTGCCGGTGCGCGAGGCCGAGCTTAAATAGCGGAGGGGTGCTCGCGCGGCATGACGACGATATGATATGCATGCGATAAGGGTGGGTGGGAATCAACCGGGGGTGTGTTGCACACCGCCTAGGATATGCGGGCGGGTGGAAAATAATGTGAATAATTGTCATGGGGGTCAGCGGCAGCTTGTTGCACGCGAGCCGTCGAGAGTGGCTCCGGTGTAAAATAGTAAATTGAGCCAAGTGACTCTTCTTTCAATGTCAGATAATTTCCGAGCATAGGGGTGAAGGGCGCTCCAAACGCTCTGCCAGCATCTTGCCGCCCTCTATATTAATTGTTTTTTTCTTTTCGATTCATTCATTGCCATTAATTCTGAATTCTGAACCAAAAAGCGTGGGAACTTATTTGCATTTGATCATGCGATTTCCTTTAATTCCAATCTAAATTATTCAATCTAATATGCTAATTATCATATAAATTCTTGCGATTTATTTGGAAATTAAATATTAATTTTGTTTTGCGTATAAATAATACAACATAACTTTAAATAATAACAATTTTAATCAAAAAATAAAATATAATTTTATTAAAACATGTATGAAGAATAAAATCAAAAATAACTTTTTTCACGGTCAAGGTTACTGAATGTTTTGTTTGTTGGCTTCATTTTCGTAAGCTGCTAATTCCTCTGGACTGACCGAAGTTCGCATGTTTGCAGCGGCATCAAAAAAGCTATCCAAACCAACTTTAACTGGGGATTTGTCATCCTTGCCTATTTGATAAAAAATTTCAAATTTCAAATTATATGGATAGTTTTAAAATTTCCATCATTTAATAAAAATTTACCTGTTTGCTGAATTTGAACAATTCTTTCTCTGAGCGCATTCTTCCACGCCTCAGCACACACACCGTACAAATCAGCTCCCGTCAGCGGGACGTCTGGCAGGTGGTCAATCACAATTTCCAGTTTCACATCGTCACACAACTCAAACCTAGACTCTCATTATAACAAATTTTAAAATAGGTTTATTTTTTAACTCACTTTCGAGTCAACGCCTTCAAAACCCCAAGCTTTGCTTCATCACTTTTGCAGGGACCAACATACATTAATTTGTCAAATCTGTTTAAAAAATCAATTTTTAGAAAATAGAAAAAAAAATAGATTTATGACAAACCTGCCAGGCCTCAAAAGAGCGGCCTCAACCAGATCGACCCTATTTGTTGCGGCCATAACGAAAACAGGAGCACTGTCTCCAGACGAATGCAAATTTTGTTCGATCCCATCCATCTCTGCCATCAATTGAGAAACTACCCTGTCAGAAACATTTCCACCTCCGTCACCTCCTTGCCCTCTGGAAGGCGCAAGGGCGTCCAGTTCGTCAAAGAAAATAATGCTGGGTGCCACTTGCCGAGCTCTCAGGAAAACTAAATTTACTCATTAAAAAGCCTCTTTTAAACTGAAAAACATATTTACCGTCTCTGACGTTTTCTTCACTTTGGCCAACGTACATGCTCAGAAGTTCGGCCCCCTTGACTGAAATGAAACTAAGTCCGCACTCGCTTGCGACGGCTTTAGCCACCAAAGTTTTCCCTGTCCCGGGAGGACCGTATAACAAAATTCCTATCCCCTTTTTGTTAAAATAATTTATTACATTGCCAAATAATTTTACCTGAGCGTTTTAATCCAGATTTTCTAAGAAATGGAAATTTTATTGGCAAGGACACGGTCCTCAAGACTTCTTTCCGTACTTCTTCGAGTCCTCCTACATCCTCCCAAGAGACTTTTGGAATGTTAGCCACAACTTCTTGGCTGCAAATCTTTAAATTCTCTGCAAGCAAAACTGTCAGTAATTTAAAATTATTTATTATAAAATTTAATTTTACCAAGCGCAGTTCTCCAATATTGCTCATCTATTTTTTCACCAAGTCTAGCTTTTCTATTTTCTTCAAATTTATAATCGCCCTTGATGAACAGGTCCAATTCATTTACTAATCCCTGGATCTTTGACCTGTGCTAAATTCAAGTGATAGTCTGTTCGCCATAAGCTAAATCATGTCACTTACTTGACAGCCTCTCTCACTAAGAGCACCATTTCCCTCACGCCCATTCGAGGAACGTCGATAGGAATTTCAGACTGGTAATATCCTATTCGAGCTAAATAATGTCTTAAACACGTCTCTGGGTTTGATGGGTGTTCAAGAGGCAAAGTTGTAGCAGAGAGCCAAGTGCGATTGATAGAGAGGACTATGTTTTTTGGTCTAGCAGTTACTCCGAGAACAACACTTTTGCCGCAAGGCATTGAATTCAGAACTGTCGAAAGACACATTGTTAACCTCGAGTCCTCTGCATCCGTACTTGAACTTTCATGGTCATGCCCCAGCACCTAAAAATAAATTTCAATTAAATAAAATTCAGTTTTAATATAATGCTTCTTACATCTATGTTTTCAAATACGATGAGGCTCGGAGAAATGTTTGCTGTGACCTTAGCAGCCAACTGCTTCAGCTTGCCTTCTATTTGTCCTACATTTCCAGTTGGCATGTTTAGCTCCCTGCAATTTTTTACAATCAAGTTGAGTCCCAAGTTCTTGGCAACAGCCCGGTAAAGCTCCTCACAGCCGACTCTTCCATTTAAAATCAATCCCCTGCCTAAATTTGCAACATATATTATCAATTTTGTAATGATTATTATTGTTTTAATTCACACCTTTATGTAAAACCTTAAAATATTTTGGATCCAGATAAAGCCTGATAGCCCTCTCAAGCTCCTGATACTGTTGATGGTGTCCAGGAAAGCAATCCATTTTTCCAGGGATTCCCCCTCCGCTGGACGGGACGAGAGCCACCCTTGTTTGCTGTCTGGATGCCTCAAAACACAATCTTTTGTTTGGGTCCACTTGCTGCCCTGCCGACTCAAGGCTCTCCACTTTAAACCACACCACGTCAGACTCTAAATCTTGGCTCAATTTAGAGTAGAACATCTCCTGTGCGTAGTTTCGTATCGAGATGCAGAAGACATCTGAAATGCTGACGGGCCGAGGTGTTTTGAAATACTCTGCCAGGAGGGTGTCGATGTCCGATGCCACCCAGCCTGTTGGATATTTCTGCAAAGACAGGTCAAAAGAAACAGCCTTTGGAAGCTTTTCTATCAGAGAGGGTGACAAAAGTAGGTAGTCGTTGTCGCAAGCTCCTCGAGAAACGTTGAAGAAAAGTGCGTCCGGCAAAATCATTTCGTCAGTGCGGACAAAATCAGAGGTGGATAGTTTGGTCATATTTTGCTGCTCATCCGAGTTGTGCACCCACACCCATTCGCCATCCTTGATCTTCAAGCTTTCAGCTACGGACGGATGAACGATGACGCAGTGGTTTTCGTCCAATTCTTCATTTGCCAGGTAGTCCTTGAAAATTTCTGAAGGTACCGACACAGGGATAACCTTAGCCCTTCTCTCAAGTGCTGCCATTCTCACTCGAGCAACAACCTTCACGATATACTTGAGCACAGAGAGAAACACTTCGATTTTCGCTGAATTATTACTAGCACCGCTTATGGTCATTTCTGTAAAAAAGCGTAATCTTTTATAAGTTAATATTTTAAATCTAATTGCTCCGATTATTATTATTATACTTTACTTTAACAATCATCCCAGAGAAGCCAATAATTTACAATCAATACTCAATCAATTGCATTTTGTTCAAATCCTTTAAAAAAAAGAGGAAAATTATCAAAATTATGGTCTGCGTGGTTCAAGTCTCTTTCCATGTGTGTATGTAAACAAAGGAGCATGCTTGGAGGTCACGTGATATCCCGCTTGAGAAGAAGGGACCGCTTGGATATAAGGTGGATAAAGGAATGTAAATAAGTATTTAAGTGGAAAATCATATATTTTTGGCGCTTTTTTATTATAGAAGACATCCTTTATAGTTTGAGGGGTTTGAGACCATCATTCCTGCAATTTTTTTTTGCTATTTATAGAATGAAATATCAAAATAATTAATGTGATTAAATGGCTTCTCAAATCCTTGCTATAGGTGTTTAAAATCTCATTTTAAACATTAAAACACATCTGAAAATTTAATAATAACTATTAGGATCTTAGATTTTATACCTCAAATACTAGAATAGATGTGACTATAAAAGGTGTAAAGACTTCAAGGAACCAAACGGGAATTACATTTTGTTCTTTATTTATCTTAATATGTCTAACTTAATTCTACAATAACGCAATCATTAACAAATGGGTTGAAATGCATTTTCTTCTCATCCACACAAGAAAGTAAAGGTACCATCAACGGTTAGCTAAATCCGATCCAGAGACTCCAGCATTATAATGCTATTGCCTCGGATGACCTGAAACAAGCATAAAAAGATTTTTTCAAATACAAATTTAATAATCATTTCAGACCACACAAAAAAATGTATGTTCATCAGAACTTTAATTATTACATTAACTTCTTTTGCAGGGCCTAAAAAGAGGTTCCCCATGTATCATTTATCCCAGAAAAGGAATCGTCTTCTTAAGCACTCAAATGTTAACCGTATTTATTTGCTTACCACCATTCCAATGTTTTTCTTGTGTCCTTCTCTTGTTTCCTCAACGCTTTCGTCTACGACCAAGTTCATGAAAGGGTCGAAACCTCTCAAAATGCCAGTCACATAGCGCCCTCCGTTCAATTTCACTATAAATTTTGGAAAATTAAGACTCACTGTTTAAAAGTTGCTGCTTTTAATTCTCAGAAATACTTACGAGAGAGTTTTTTGTCCATGAATCTGAAACAAAAAGACGGAAAACACTTAAATTTTTGAATTGAACAAAAGGCAATGTGATGCGTGCGACGTAGCGTGGTCTAGGTTTAAATGCAATATTTTGTTGGAAAAATGCACTTTTGGCCAGCATTCAATGTTAATTCTGTAAATCTAAGATTTTAACTTACTTCTTCAGCTCAGGAGGATGTGCTTTGCTCATGATTGAAAGAAATTCAAAGAAATTTGTTGGACAGAGTTACTAGAATTATGTATTAATCGATTTGATTGTAAACAAGCCGGCAAGCGCGCCACGATGCTCAACTTACATGGCGGTAGCAATTTTTAATTATTTTTGGCGCCAAAGGCACGTTCGCGGAAATCGACTCTCTAATTTTCCTGTTAAAAAACTTCTAGATGTAATTTGGAGGTGTGATTATCAAATAATATTCGTGAAAATTATTCGCATTTGATTATTTTGTGTATTTGTTTAAAAATATTTTTTATTGTGTTAAAGCTTCTATAATTATAAGTATTTTGAATTTTATAGGAAAAATGGCTTTTAGAATTTACAACAGACAAATTGCATACAAATCAGCATCGAAGCCTGCAGAATCTCATCCAGCTCTTTGTTTTGGACCTCAGGAAATATAGATATTCCTAAAAAAATAATTTTAACACGAAAAATTCCAAGCTTAAGATTGTTTTAAAATTAAAACTAACAAGTAAGAAAGCTGCTCCTATGAGAACCGCCTTTAGCTCCACCGTTGCTTGAGCTGGGAAAGTGATGCTCAGGGTAAAGGCGTGCAGGAAGTCATCCCAGCCGTGCGAAATTGTCCCCACTTGCGTGTATCCGTCTTTTGTCATAATCTATTTATTTTTTTTGCAATTTTTATTGATTTATTAAAAAAGCATTATTAAAAAAAAAACTACCTTAAAATCAGCATCTGAAAACATAAAGCAGCCGCAAACATTTGGCCCTTGCAGTCTATAAACAACTTTGCCGCTCGAGTCTTGAATGAAGAATTCCGGAATCATTAGTGTCCATTCCTGCTGGACGCGACCAATAATTCTTCCGCCGGGAGCATAGACGTCTAGTTGCTATTTAAAAATTATGATTTTTTTTTTGTGCCGTGGTAATAAGAATATTAAAATATTGCTTACCTGCAGGCAGCAGGGACAGCAGCACATTGAAGCCCCTAAGGATCTCTGAAATGACAGGGACTCTTGGCGATTCATGTCAAAAAGCCGCATTGAAAAGGCCCTCGAACTACCGCAGCACTGTCGTTGTGATTGCGAAGACTGTTCTGCTGCCACAAAAATAGTTTCTCCGGATCGCGATTTCACCAAATAACGATTTTCAGACTCCACTGATGACAGCACTGGAAAGACAAATAATTTTTCATTCAAATCAGTTTATAAAAGTTAATTTAAATAATTGATGGAGAGGTAAATGCTTTACAAAACTATGCATGGTTAAAGTTTAAATTAAAGATTGTTATAGCCTTTGGCCTTATTTAATTTTTAATAAAAAACAGAAAAAAGTTTTATTTAATTTTTCTGTTAACATTCTTAAAATCAGGGTCACAAAGTCATAAATTTCATTATATGATTTTTTTGTTACTTACAATCGACCAGTTCTATTGTTTGCTGAATGAAGACGTAATCAACTGGAAGTAAAAAATCTAGCCCTTGCATAGGGACATAGCGACTTATGTTGGCCATTGACCACGGGTTGCCTTCAACTGTTTGTAAAGTTTGTTAATTGAAATTCTCAAGAAATTATAATCAAAAATGTCCACTCACTTGTGGCCACGCCAGTTGACCCCGAGTGTCCCTCTTCGCTATTTTCATCTGAAAGCCGCCTCGGCTGCAGGGTGATGGGAGGACCACTACGCTCAGCATTCCGCTCTCGAGCTAAGTCTTGCGCAAAATTTTTAAATTAAAATTCCTGGTCTCTTTCAATTTGCAGTAATAATAATAATATTAAAGACGCGCATTATGAGATAAGCCGGGCTGACCTGCTTCAGACGGGGGTGGAGTGAGGTCGTTGACAGAAAAAGCTCGCTCCTCATATCGCAGGTCGTCGAGGTTGCCACTATATTCGGAGAGGTCGGTCATTTTCCCGGCGGAACTCTAACGCCCTTAAAACAAAACGCAAATCTCTCAAAAGCTCAGCTTTCAGTCGATCGTGTCACGCGCAAACAATTTGAGCAACTCGGTCCTAAACGGTCTGATAGTGGATCAGCGACACCACTATCGTTCAAAACGGCTGCGATAAGATAAAGTTAAAACTGCTCATCGCTCAATTGGGTTTTATTGTCCACCTTTCCGTTCATTAACGCCCACCAAAACTGTAAAATATTATTTTTAAGATAAAATAAAAGACAAAAGCGGCGTTTGTTTTCAAGATCAAATTTATTCCGTTTTTTCCTTCATCTGGCTTCACTTCTTGTACACAGAATTTAAACATATTTTTTTGAATTACATTAAATACTTATTTTGGATTTTTTTAACGTGCATATATATGTTTTTGTTATGGTATGGTATGGTCCTGATGTAATTTCGTGCGGCTTTTTATATAAGTTTCCAATTTTTTCCCACTTCAATTAAAAATGAATGAGCTTGAAGGAAACAATATGACGTTACTTTCTGTCGACCTGTATATGAATTTTTTTTGAGTTTAAAATAAGGCTTTCCCATAAACGAGTCTGTATTTTATGTGTTAGTGATGTCAACGGGGCAGGATGCTGCAGGATAGATTTACCTCTCGCGTGTTCAACAGCTCATTTATTGTCATTTTTCCTGTCATTCCTCTCTGCTGAATTTATTATTTAATTTATTTTTATGCGCACAAAAATAGTTACAGGTGCTAACTTTAACCAAGTATTTAATCAATGGCTCAGCCATTAAGAACATGCCAATTCCTCAAAAATACAATTTTATGTAGTCTTTTGCAATTCTGCAACTGATCCACGGATGGAATATGATGCGAGTAAAATATTTTGAAGACCAAGAATATATTGCTTTTGTCCAAAGAAAGCAGAGCCTACATTTTGTTTTTAATTTAATTTTTGGACCTATTTTAATTTTAATTTGTCTTAAATGATTTTAATATAATTTTAATGATTTTAAAGCACGTGCAAACAATCCATATCATTTTCGTCTGCAGAGTTTCACTGGGATAAAGCACATAAGTTATTGACACATTCACCAAAGAGACATCATTTAATAATTCATGCATTTTTAATATAATTTTTATTTGGCCAAAAGTGAGTTTTGTTTTTGGAACACCTACGATGAATAAGTTTGAAATATAAACAGTACACTTTTAAAAGACACCGCGTTAGTATACGACGCAAATAAATTTCCTTTTTTTTCAAATTTTTAATTTAGCCGTGTGCCTGTTGAAGAGTTTCCCCAACCATTGGGTTCCAAATTACAAGTGGAGCATCTAAAGAGGTCACTGCATTTTTTTACATAAAATTCTACAGGGATTCCTTGATCTTTTTTACCAAATTTAACAATCCATTCACAGAGAAGAGCTTGAAGGGTGAGACCTCGTCAGCGTACATCACTTGTAAAACTCGACGTCAGCAAATCTGCGCACGAAGTATAGATCCAATCTGAGTCTCGCTGAATTAATTAAAAAAAAAAAAGAATGTGCACTCACGTTTTAAGTGCTGCTGTGTAGTAACGGAGCCATCTCTTAAAACAACTTACTGAACAGACCTATTGTAATTAAAAATTAGCTAATGCTTTTTTTCAAAATTTCAATTCGTCACCTTTTCTCTAAGGAGTGCCCTTTCAAACTTGAGCGGAACTCGACAAGCGCCTGCCTCATTTTCTCCAAACTATAGGCTGCGGCTAACCTTTCCAAAACTTGTTCCTGAAATTAAAGGTTTGAAATTACTAGAAGTTCATATATTATTTTCTCTTTCAAACGAACCTTGATCTTCCTGATTTGGGCGGGGTCAGCGGTGCCTTGGTGTGCGCCAGTGAATTTGACAGCCTCGTCCACAATCAGGTCCTCCATGGCCTTGAGCTTCTGATCCATGTTCTCGAGAGATTTTGGCTCTCCACTGTGCAAGACCATCGGAGTGCTGCGTTTTTTCTTCAAAGTGGTGGCCAAAGCAAATGTGCGGTAATACCGTTCCATCATTTTACGCTCCTCGTCATCCATCTCGTCTAGGTTCTTGCCGCGCTTGTCAATGCCGAAATACTGACTCCAGTCAACTGACTTCTTCTTAATCACCTTCTGTTTGAGTATCAAAATTGATTTATTTGAATGAGAATTGAGATTATAATTGAAATAGTTTAATTGGAATTAAATTGATTTTAGAATTGTTGAAATAGTTCGTGGTTTATATTTATAAAAAGGTAAGGATCAGGTAAGGATGAATTAAAAAGAAAAGAGGAAAGTTATATACGATTTCAAATTTATTGTTTATTACAACAAAGAAAGCCAATTTTATTATTTATTTTAGCTGCAGAATTATTGGGGAAAAAGTATATTAATACATTTAAAACAAAGAAAAAACAGTTGAGCCTTGAGCCAAGAAATTAAAAAAACCAGGAAAACTATCAAGATGTAATATTGTCGGTTGCTGAAATTATATCAGGCTTTCTTTACCTGTTGCGGTTTTGCGGTGCTGCCAGCGCTGCCTGTGGTGCTGGCAGCAGGTTTCGCGGTGGTCGCCACCGCTTTGTGGCTGCTGTCCGTGGCCGACGCCTTCTTGTCAAAGATTTCCGCCAGCTCGGCTTTGGTTTTGTCGTCGGTCTTTTCGTGCAACGGGGCGCCGGAGCTACGTTTTCGCAGCGTGATTCGCTTGCTGGGCAGTTGGTACGCAGGATAATAAGAGTCGTCTTCGGCGCTCCTTTTCCTGTAGCCCTCAAAGTGGCCGTCGCCCCAGGCCATCGGCGAGTTGTAAAGGTCATAGCCATAGCCGTCATAGTTGCGCTTCACTCCATCGAAATGTCCCTGACCCCAGCCCATGGGAGAATTGTAAAAATCGTAGCCGTCATAGCCACCGTAGCCTCCATATCCGTCCTGCCGTTTTTGTTCCTTGAAAAAAAATCGATTTTAATTTTAATTTCAAAAACAAAAAAAAGTTATTTTCATATTCGGAAATAAATAAGTCATCAATTCTAATTAAAACTGTCAGTTCTATCTGGTGCCATTAATTAAGATGGTTTTCTGCCGCAAAATAAATTTTGTCCCTGCAAGGATCCATTAATCTGCCACACTAATGGCGATTAACGCGCCTTACTCTGCACTTTTCCACGTCAGGCAAATAAAGAGTGAGGGCGCGTGAAAATCAATATAGAAGCTGCCATAATGAAAACCATTAATCATTGCGAGTCGAGGCGGCTGAACAAAAGGTGCGGCTGAACTGTAACCGCGTGGATGATTCTTGGCTCCGACACCAACCACCCACACATTGCACTTTATCACACCTTGCTATTTCATACTCGTAACCAAAGAGATAAGCGATATGAACGCGCAGTTTGAACTTCAGTGAGATATGAGATTTTGCAAAAGTTATTTTCCAAAGTAATTTTCCTTTGTTCCTTTCTATGTTGAAAACAAAACTTTGAATTTCAAACTGTTTGAGTTTTCTATTTTTCCAAGTTTATTATTTTACTTCCAACCCACTTATCGATTTTTTGTAAGTCCCTTTCTTATTCTGCTGAATCGATGCAAATTTTATTCATTCGCTCTGTAGCAACTTATTTGCATTTGGCTCCGTGTGACAAAAAGCGACCCAAGCATGCAAATTACCTGTTGCTCCTCAGTCTGGTATTTATCCCAGAGGGCTGCCAGCAGGCGTCTGTACTTGCGCTCGTCGTCGGCGGCAGGCGAGGACCTCTTGTGGTGCTGCCGACCTTGTTGGTTGCGTTCGCGGAACATGGATGCGGGGGCGCCTCGCTTTTCCTCCGTCTCTTCGCTGTAGTCCTCTCCCTCGTCGTCCGAGTTGTCGTCTGCAAGAAAATTTGTATGTACACTGGAGACGAGCGAGTAAACAAACAGAGACAAATGGAAGGCAACACAAAGGCAGGAAAACGAGCAAAAAGCTTTTGTATCGACTCTCTGTTATTTGTATGGCCGCGGGAGGCATTTGACAAAGGGAAAATGGACTAGTGCTTGCTCTCGAGGCGGAAAGCAAAATACTCTTTGTCCTTTTTCCAAGTTAAGTAGATTGATTCCGCCATTTTCCGTCTGTAAATAGCATCCTCCGATCGTGTCTGATGCAAAGTGGAGTGAAATTGAATTTTCAAACTATGCGTTGAAAAATCGAGGTTATGCACCCAGCTCCACACGCGAGTCGAGCAGGTTGCGTGAAACTTCTTGACCAAATCTCAAAATTAAATATTCGTCTCGAGAGGAAATGCTTTTCGCAAGCCTCGCAGCAAACAAGTTATTTTCAACTAACCTTGCTCGCTAAGTACGGCAAGCATCGCCTGCTTAAGCTGCTCGGGCGACAATTTGCCCTCGTGACGCTCCCTCTGGTAACCATAGCTACAAAGCATAATATGTATAAAAGTTAATGTACGGTCGTGTTACAGAAGTGCCGTTATTATGCTAAACGTCGCGACTCACCCAATGTCTTCGGGCTGACCGTCGTCGGCGATTAGCTCGACCGAGTCTTCGTCTACCTGGTTGTCCTTCTTCTCTAGAGGGTACCTAACGTCCAGAGTTGAGAAAGTAATAAAAATTAACGTTTCGTGATCCTGACCTGTACCGGTTGGCGTGTTGGTGCTGCGAGTACTGCGGTCTCTGTTGCAGCGCCCTTTGTCTTCTGTCGAGGGCCTCGAGGGCGCCCCTCAGACTGTCCGTCCCGTCCTCGGAAGGAATTGAGGCCGCTTGTGCGTCCCACGACGCCGCAGCCAGCAGCAGCATGGAGGCGAGTAGAGCCCGCTGCATAGCTAAGCGGTTATTTCTCTGCAAACAGGGACGGAAAAGGTCAAAAAAATGTTTGCTTTTCCCGTCAGCTATCAATTCATGAACACCGGAATCGATCTGACCGGGCAAGCCGGCAAGGCTCCGACAATGGGAGTTTGAAAGCAAGTTGGGATTTTGGCTTCTTGCCGGCCGCTCAACTGCTCCCTCGAGAAAGTTTTTTGCGATACGCATCACGGGATTATCTCGTGCCGTCCAAGCGCTGGAAGCCGAGAAAGCTTATTTTCCAAGCATATAGTGAAAGTGCACACTATATAAAATCTAGATGGTCCTGAGAGGTTACATAAACGGCGGCAGCACTTTCATCGTTTGTTGCTTTTCTACCAAATGTTTTGACAAGGTAATAAATTTGGCCAGAAAATTTGGTGTTTATTGAATTATTTATTACATAAAATCTTCTTTATTTTTTAAAATTAATTCTTAGAGCCCATATTTTGTGAAATGTTGAATTCAAATTTAGTATGGTACACGCCATTTATTTTATGTTTTATTTTGTTGTTGCCTAACCAATTTTGTATTCTAACCCTATAAAAATTAGAAATTATTTAATACGTATTTTTTTTTAATTTTAAAAATTAATTTTTATTAAGAAATTGTAAGAATTATTTAGTATAATTTTCAGCATTTTCTGCAAAAATTTCCAAGTTTCTTGGTTTATTAAACACAGCAAAGACAAAATTCTATGAAACGCGTAAATTAATTGTATTTTCTTTTGTTCTTATGCAAAGCTTCAAAGCATTTTAATGGCTTAACTTAAAAGCTTACTTTATACCAGGTTAAGCTATGAGGCGCATCCCTTAGGGGCCATAATCTTACAATTAGTCATAGTCCGCTGGGTTGAACTCCTATCTTCATTGTAACTTGTTAGCGCCCAGGGGTTAGATTAAAAGAGGTTAGTGCAATTTAAAGGCTTGTGTTCTGAAGCAAAATTACGTACGACGTCTCTCTCGTTGATTTTGTGAGCCAGTGTTATGTTAAGTGATTCACTCATTATGCTTGAAAATTTTTTATCCTTGCTAATTTATTTATTTTAAATCTCTGCCTGAAAAAATAATTGTTATGTCGGCCGCTCTTTATTTAAGGGATTATTTAAGCACCAAACTATTGGGCTGCGGAGATTTTTCTGCTGGCGCCTCAAGATGCGGAATATTCACAGTCGCTTACGAGTGTTAATGCAGAAAGCTTTGTTCCGACTTTTTACTATGCTGCATTGCCGCAGGAAAAGCTTTCTAGTGTTTCTCTCTCGAATGATTCCAATTTTATGATATGCCGTGACGACAGCCGGAAGAAGATTCTCGGCTCATTGTCGCCGCTCGTGAGAGGATCCAATTACATAATTCGCTGCATTGGTTGGTCGAAGTGGCGACGCAACTGCGGCGGCTTTTTGACCCAGTGCCAACTAGACTGGCGCCACACCAGAGACGGGCAAAAAGATTTTATGCTATCGCGCAATTCATCAAAAGACTGGAACAATTTGTTCTGCAAAACGCAGTTGCTTTTTTATCTCTGCGCGCGCGTTTCCTACTTTTCTGCGTGGGTGCCAACTTGCGTCATCAGATACAACAATACGTTTTGTACTTGTCGCGCAATAAGGCCTTTTCCATTTTTTTTCTTGGATAATAATGCCGAGCTTATTACAGGTACTTGGAATAATTGTTTTTGTGATATTATATCAAAATAATTGTATAACATTTCTTTATTTCAATGGGAGAAAATTAAAAATTAAAATTATCACTTATTACTTATTATCATAGAAATTAATATATATAAATTTCCGAAAGTTATTTCTGCAGGAAAAATAATAATTTTAGCGTCACATTGGTGACATTTTCTCATTTTCCAGTTGCTTTCTTTCCATTAGGCTCAGAGACTCGCTCGCATATTGATCGCGTGCAGACGTCAATTCCTCTTGGGTGAAAATAAATCGGGCTGTTTATCGCAGCGGCAAGCAACGCACCGAGCAGAAAGTAATGAGAATATTGCGCTGCGAATCTGGCACTGGTCGCGCCGCTAGCCCGGCGGGATCAACAGCAGGAAGGACGCACACAGAGCTGATTTACGAGTGCAGAGGGTCGCTGGCGCAATAATGCAAATCCTGGCAGCAGCACAATGGGCTCATGTAATGTAAAAACGACGCTCGCAGCACACTTGGCCGCTTTCCGAACAGGGTAACAAGGATGAAAAGCACACACGCGGATCATGTGACTTTTCCGCCGGCAAGCCAGTTTGATTAAGGTTTGTTTTTCCGTTGAAATCGGAGCTACCAATTACGTGACAGAGATTCTGAAAGGAGAAGATTGCTGAAATTTGATGCTGTGCAAGTTTCTATTTATGCACAAGAAAGGTTTGGAATAATTCATTTTTAGAAAATCTTTCAATAAGAATAATTTCACAAGATTTGTCTTATTTTCAGTAATTCTAAAAGACTAAAATATAAATAGGAGAATTTGATGTTTGTTGTTTAATTACATTATTTGCAGCAAAAAGAATTTCCAATTCAATTATAATGAGATAGGAGAGGCTTTTAATTGCAATTTAGCTCCAATGCCCTCGGCAAAATAATCAATATCGTTTTATATTCTAATTCGAACTATTTCACTTGATTATGTATGATGCCTTCTCCGGTTTTCTCGCCTTTGCCCTACACAGATCAGCGAGGAATCCACTTTAACTCGAGAAATTTTCCGCAGTGCTAATGCTAATATCGAGAATAATCTTAATGATGAAGTCATTCACAGAAGTCGACCTTAATCGGCCTCGCCAATCTCGTTTCCTAGCGCGTCTTTCTCATCGAATCCAATAACCCAGTTCGCCGGACGGCAAAACCCATTGACATCGTAGAAGACGCTGCTCATGCAACCGGGCGGGCACGTCCGTCGAGCGGGCTGCCTACGTCTTTCAACACAAGGCTGAAATTCCTGCGTCGTTCATATTATATTCTCGAGTGCCTCCACTAAAGCCGCTCGCTAAGTGCGTCGGCGAAATTTTCTCGCATCTCTCGAAAGCTCACACAATGGCTGTTGCAAAAACGAACCGAAAGGAGCAGGAGGAAATTAGTCTCGGAAACCGTGAGAGAGCGAAATGTTGATTTCATCAGCGGTTGCTTTTAGTGCTTCCTTAATTAGGCGGTCTTCTCTTTGCCCGTTCTTGCGAATTCGCGATCGATTACTCCAAGAAGTGAGTAATGGCGAATGTGAGATGAAATCTCAAAGCACCCTCTGGCTTGGAATCTGCGCGCCGGAATGAGATTTACGTCAAAATGCAAACTTCCTCTCCAACCACTGCCCTGCCCCTGCCAAATCCATTTACCTAAATTTTTTTTCATGTTTTTTTTCTTTATTATGAATTCTATTTCGAGCCTATAAGTTTGGACTTTTGTTGGTACGGCAAAATAATGTGCTTAGGCAGAGGAAGCTGCTTTTGACGGATTTGTGAACGAATGCTGTGTGAAAAGATATGACTCTGCGCAAAGACGCAGAGACTTAACTTTGTGAATGCCTCCCGCCCACCACGCACAAGAATAATAGTCTCCAGCGACACAAAAGTTGGCGACATAAATTTTTAGATGCACGCTCGGCACGTTCTTGGCAAACTTTTCTCCAGAGCTTTTCACGCCGCATTTCCTGGAAATTTATTGTTTCGAATTTTTCAGCAACCCTAGGAAAAATTTTACAGTAATCTGATTTTTTTGTTTTTTTAAAAATGCGAGACCGCAGAAATCATTCAGCGAGCATTCGTAAATATAAATAACGCCCATGTATAAACGATTTTGCTTGAATTTTATCGAACCAGAAATAAATTCCTTGACTTCCTGAAAAGTTTGCTTTCGCTTTAACTATCCTTGGGAAGGAAACTTTTTTGATTGCAACGTCTCTGCATTCTCTTAATCATAAAACTTTTCGATCAAATAAAGCTGAGACCTATGTCAACTTTGCCAAAACTTAACCGACCCAACGTATAACAAGATCGAAAAATTTGCCTTTAGCAAACCCTAAATATGCTCTTGAGAAGTTCTCCCTTCCCTATAAGAATCTAAAGTAAAATATAATTTTATCTTGGAATGACACGAAAATTAATAAAGGCTTTGGGTGCTTGTCAAATTCCGCGTTATTCATTTGTCACTGTCGGCCAGCCAATTAATTAAGGACTGCGCGCGTGGGCGAATTGCAAACGAGCCTCGTCAGCACCCAGGCGAAATCGAGTGGCCGAGAATGATGACCCTTCTCTGCATGGCGGCTATTGATCTTGCGCCAAGCACACGCATGATCCAATTAAAACGCGCACGCCTTCGAAACCATCTGTTGATCAGACGCCGCGGAAATTCGGACTCGATTAGATTGACAAAAACAAACAGCTGGACCGAGAGGGACATAATTACAATCGAGGCGGTGGAGAGAGGTGGCCGTCGCCATGGAAACGAGATATATATCAGGAAAAGGATGTGAAGAGAGTGCCGACCGGGCACTCGATTACTTGTCCACCGTGAAGTACCTGTCGTTTCGAGTATCGCGAAATAAAAAATATAGCTGCTCCTAATATCATCGTGATTTTCCTTTATGGATTCGCAGGGATGCTCGTCAATCATAATCCTTCCAGTTTCTATTCAAGTTTTCTTTTTGTATCGATCCAGAAATTATACTCTTTTAAAAAAAAAATGTCAAGAATTTTTTTCCCTTTTTAACATTAACAAAAACATCTTCTTCAGAATCATTTGGTTTTTTTCAATTGTTATATTTTGTTTAAAAATGTTAATGGGTCAAGGTTTTAAGATGCAAGTTAATTGGTACTCGGGAAGTGATCAATGAGATTACATTAATCACTGGTACACCTCATTTTTGTCATATGTGAGACTTTCGTTTATATTTTTTTTTTATCTGATATAGACTTGATGACGCCTATAGCAACTTGAAAGCCTCTCACAATCAGCAGTACACGCACAGCCTAATTGCAGTGTTGTATTTGGTCTGAACTGCAAAGTTATCAGTCGCAGGTAATTAATTTCTTGATTGACCTCTGCCGCTCGATTTGACGTCATAAGCGGATTTTTCTCGAAAGAAATTCTGCCTAGTAATATTTTCAAATAATAAGATCCCGAGATCATTTTCCAAATCCATTTTGAGAGGATTTGCGAACGGTAGGATTATTTTATATCCTTTGACGTTTATATTTCGCTCGCAAGTTTCTCCCAAATGCCAGAGTTCGCTTGAAAGTGACAAATTCAAGCAAGTGAGCTTTTACGGTCACAGTTCCACCATTTTCCACTGAATAAATAATTTCGCCCGGCACTGGGAAATTTTCGATCGCCAGCTTGTGAAAAGCTTTCCCCTTCCGTTCAGAGCTGCATTTATTGCAATAAGCATGCCAATGAGTGCCAAACCGTTGCTACTTTTGACGAAATGTTTGCATTTTGTTGATAAAACATCTAGCTGAACTTCATAGACTTCTCAAAAGCTGCAAGATTTCAAAGACCGACTTGGCAACTGAAGTGCCAAAGGCTGGAAAATCTTAATTAAATCAAGGAGTTCCTCTTTGAACCACAGGGTTTCACATGCAGTCCTCAGAGTACTGAACTTTCTGAACTTTGGGATTTTATTTGAGTTGCAATCTGCTGGACGTGACTTATCAAAGTTTTAAACTGCACAAATTAAAAATTAATAAACAATGAATAGACTTTTTACTGTAAAAATGACAAATGAAAAGTGTAAATTTTTTAGCATTTTTTTTAACTTGGATTAAAATAAATATGAATCCAGCAGTTATAAAATTATCCTCATTATACTACTTATAAAAAACCTATCAAAAGGAACAAGTAAAATGTCATTCAAATCATCATTTAACTTTGGAAACAAAAGTGATTTTTTGATGATAGGTTTTCTTGAAAATTCTAAACATTCTGTGAATCACAAGGTTTTAGCTTATAGCGGAATATAAATAAAGAATTTTTTTACGTTCACCCATGACGTGACATCACATGACTGATAAGCTCACATGAACTTTTATTTTACGATGAAGTGTCACTTACAATCAGTTTTTGCTAAATTTATCAAAATTATATGGACCTTAGAGATTTAAGTGTGTCTAAGCATTTATCTCAAACAAGCCGCTGCATTTCAAGAGTGAAAAAAAAAAATGCAAATATACGTATTAAAAAAACAATTTCCACTTTTTTATGATTTCCTTCAGTCTCCCTTGGAGCACAACTGACTTTCTTCGCCAAAGGTCGGGAGCACGCGATCTTTTGACTCTCACGCGACGCTATTTTGATAGAAAAATGCGGCTGCATATATTTATTAACTTTGCAACCAAAACACCGATCTAGAACGTATATTCATCTTATTTCCATAAAATTAGTGACACTTTTTTGTGTTCGATTGTTTCAATCAAAAGATGGAATAGATCTGAAGTTACATTTAATTTGAATAAAATTTTCACCATCGAAGGAAGCAAAAACCGCATGCATTTGTATTAGAATCGTCACCTTTGAAAAGATGCATGGACGAGATTGTGATATGAAAAGGAAAATAAAATAAAAAGTGAGGCGCCCTTTGTGATAACAAACGAGTTTCTCTCTCTTGACAAATTGCATGCTTTTCTTCTGACAGCCCACTTGCTGTTCTCGCGCTCGACGAAAACAAAACTTGAGCCGATTTTTTTTAGCAACCCCTTTTTCAGGCCAAACGTCCTGTGATACCGGCCAATGATTTGTACTTGACCCCCCAAAGGACACACTTACCCGAGAAGTGTTGGTTGTTTGCGAGTGGTCGCGGGGTCAGTGGCGTCTCCGCGACTTGTGGCGCGTAGGTGGTGGTGCGGCTGCTTTTAAGCGGGGCTGCAGCCCTCGCTGCTGCTGCTGCTGCTGGGCGCCACCAATCGATAGTCGTCGACCTTGCGCCCTACACACGGAAATTTGTATCAAGCGGCCGGCTGCGTTCAACGCACACGCCGAAAAAGGGCGCTCCATACTCGGCTTAGGGAATTAAAAATTCAGTGAGGTACAAAAATTGACAGATATTTATAAAATTCATGGGACAATCTACCTTTCATGTATGACGGATAATTTATAAAAATATAATCGCACAAAATCAACAAAATTTAATAAGCAAAATTTTCATTTATATATAATTTTTAAGCTGTCAGCATACGCGTGTAAAAACGTTCCTCGCGCATTAAAGTAAATTATCAATAGCCCTTGATTCAGAGCCCTCAGCGAGTTCCAGGGCAAAAAAGTTTAATTTATTAATTGAGTTAATGTATTCAATGCAAAACGGGACAGAGCATTAAAATAAATGCTGATTACCATCTGCTGGTCAGGTTGCTAAAAACAACAAAGTTTTTTTTTATCACAGTTGAAGAATTCAATTAGTTCTCTTTCTCTTTAAAATCACTACAACAGTTAAATCATTCTGTGCCCGCAAGAAAGGGGATTTTTTTTTTTTTAAAAAAACCCTTTTAATTAAAATGAAGGTCAGGGTGTCAGCGTTTATTAATTTTCGTACTCTGATTCGTAAGCAGAAGACTCGGACTTGAACTTAATGCTGGTCTTGTTAGTAAAGAATCCCCGTCCCTGCCTTGGTGCCAAAACAACAATCGTTTAATAAAAAAATTTGAATGTGCCCTTTAAACTTTAAATGTATTTATGCTTAAATAATTGATTGTCACTGCTGATAAAATGAACCCATTTTTTAATGCATCCTCCTGTTTACTCCAAGAAATCAGCGTTTATACAAGAATACTGCTCTCGCGTCTGTTTTGAAATTTTTATGAAACACATTGTCCTAAAAAAAAAAAAAAATTAAGAATTAAATTAATAAATGGTAAATGCTTGTTGTAAACCCTTTCTTCCCTTTTTTCCAATTTAGAATTTCTGTATTGACCGAGATGAATAAATAATAATAATAATAAAATAAAAAATAAATTTTTTTAGTGCCGTTTTATCTTTAATAAATTGGGAACGGATGATTCACGAAATTCTCAAATCACGGTCACGGTTCACAGGTGGCGCGGCAATGCACTTATTCAGTGATTCAGAGGTTTCCTCTCCTCTCGATTTCTGTGATTGCGACAAGTGAGTCATTGTACCACAACATTTTGTTTAGGTGAGAAAAGTTAAGACTGCAGATTGAAGTCAACAACACCGTCCGCGACCGACCTTGCACTGACTGGAGGACTGAAAAGGGTCGGAGTGCGTGTGGCATGAGCTCAGACATGGGCGCGTGTCTCTGCATTGCTAAATTAGACGAGACTGGCGAGGCCCGTGAGGAGGCCGAGGAGCAGTTGGACGGGGCCTCGCCAGGACTTTCCTTGCAGCCGCTGCTGCAGCAGGAGCAACCTGCTTTGGGCGACACGTCGGATCAACTTGCGACAGTAGCGACGGACGGCCGAAAAGTTTGGATGTCGAACCGTGAGGTTGAGCATATTCGGAAAAATCTGGACGAGATGGTCGAGGTCACGGACTACATTTATATGGAGCGAATAGCCGCGGAATTGAAGGATCTTGGAGCAGCAATCAACCCTTCAGACTATTGCACTCCTCAGGTGAGCTTGCACTTTGCTTAAAAAATATCAAAACCTTAACCTATCGGGGATTTTTAGATGAAAGCAGATGATCAATGGAGAAAGGATCTTGCACGGAAGTTCTACTTGGAACTGCAATACCTAGAAATGGAAAATGTTTATGACCTTGTCTCGAAGATCTGCGCCAGGCTTGATTACCACCCTGTCAATAGGTTCCTCTTGCCACTAACTGCACTTCCACCACCTGTTCATACACGGTAACCACCTCGTTGTGATTTAAACGATAGAAATATTTTGTGAATAATAAGCTCCTTCAAAAGTTCATAAATTAAATAGAGGAACTTTGAGCCTTCAATCAAATTTTTAAATTTGGTTACTTGAAAATAAATTTCTTTTTTAGACAACTTAGTGAAGATCCAAATATGATGATGGGTGACATTGACGTTGGTGATCACAGTGAATCTATTGGAGAAAATGTAGCAGGACCCACAAACATTATGACTGAAGAACAGAAGCGGATGATTGAGCGTAACATCGATACATTGGTTGATAACATTTCCAATGCCAATCTGAAGGATGTGATAAGGTTTCTGGACAACTTTATTCCTGAAGATGATAAGGCTGTCTTTCTTGTAAGATGATATTTTTTAAGAAACGCTTTAAAATGAAGCTTCTTCTTTTCTATTTAATTAGTGCTAATCAAATCATATCCATGCCAAAATATCACTTATTGGACTTTGTTAAAAATTTTACTTTTTATTAATTAATCTTATTTATTTAAAATTAGAAAATATTATAGTTTTACCATTATTTATTGAATTTTTTTTATTATAAATAGAAGAAAAAACTAGTCTTGTTCAGGCTACTCTGCCATATATTTCAATGAAGAAATACTTCAAAATAATTATAAATGGTTAAAAAAAAGCTCCAAAGAGGCAAGCTCTGGTCCTTGTGAACCATTTTCTCTACTTATAAATGTGATTTTATTTAACTACCTTTATTTTTCAGTCTGACACAACTGATCTCAGGAGCAGAGCTAAATCATTTTTTGAATTTGTGCCATACATGTTGTGCGAGGATCCTTTCGAGCAGTTGTCCGTCGCATTCATGCGGACCAAGAACGATGTTGTCACTAACGTTCTCAAGAAGGAATTTCCTCTTCCAACAAGGACTCGTGACAATTCTCCAAACTCGAGGCAAGTTTTTCTTTAAATTATGCCACTTAAAACAAAAGATGCATGATCCTCTTTGAATCATGGAATGGAATTTTGACATGTTGATTAATGCTTATAGAAGTCCCAGTGAACCGCAAGGAGCCAGGGCCTTCCATTTCCCTCCTGATTATTTGGAAGAGATGAGCGAGGAGAGGAAGCAGGATTTCAAAAACAACAAGTTTGATGATGATGCTGCAGTGCTTGTGGAGCAATCATTAGCATTGGACCCTGAGGCCAGGGATAGACTCGATTTGAACCGATTTAAAATCAAACCAGCTCGAATTCGAATGGATAGCAAAGGAATTGGAAAACAGGAGGTAATTAAGTTCTGCATTAGTAAAAATTGAATATTTAAGTATTTTTCATAATAAAGGAAGTTTATGATTGTGGCACTAATCCTAAAGGGTACGCCCTGATTTTAAACATCCACAATTACCCTGATTATGATGGCGATGAAGAAGATAGAGAGCGCAAAGGCTCCCAGGTGGACACTTTGGCTATGACTAAGTTGTTTAACGAACTGGGTTATATTGTGGAACTGTACCCTAATAATTTCACGGATAATGTATCGCAAGAAGTAAGCTGACCTTTTTATAATTCATAACTTTTACTAAGCAAATCTTTCAGGACTTTAAAAAAGTCATCACAAGATTTGCTAAGAAAAGAGAGCACTTCCACGTGGACTCTTGTTTTGTTGTGATCATGGCACATGGAGAGCAACTAGAGACGAGTGGACGAGGAAATGTAATTATCACTTCAGACAACAAACCTGTAAGTGAAATTAAAATATTTTTAAAATTAAAGTTTTAATAATTTGTTATCAGGTACCTATTACATGGATTAGCTCTCAATTCAGTGCAGAAAAGTGCCAGCTTCTGATCGGAAAACCAAAAATCTTCATGTACCAGTGTTGCAGGTGACAACAAGCATCATTTTATGAGAATGCTAAATTAACAGATTCAAAAATTTACTAGCAAAATTGGAAAGGTTAGCAAGGTGTGCCAGTTTAATTTTATCTTTCAAGTAGCACACTTGTGGTTGATTTAGCATTTAAGCACAAAGCACTGCTTATTATTTTACTTGCAAATCGTTACTCATGCATTTTGAAAGCTAATTGCTGAACTAATTTTGCATTATTTAAGCAAGTGCACAAGTGGCTGCACAACTTACTTCCCGAAATTGGGTTATGGGCGGTGGGGTCACTTGTAATATTCTAAAATAAATTGTGTGATAATTAGTGAAATCACCATACATTGTTAGAAAAACATTTCAAATTAACAATTTACTGGCATGAACACCAATTCACAAGGCTCGTAGATATTTTTTATAATGTTTTCTGCTGAAACCTCATGATTTTATCTTACCGTAATATGTTGGATTACAAAGAAAATTCAACCAAAGTTGTATACAAAATCCCTGCTACAAAGCATCGTCTAACTTCCATCAATATGCTTAATTTTCATCAACTTTAATGCACAATATTAGGGTTTCTAAGCCATTTAGAAAATTTAAGGTGCTAGTATTTGGAATCATACAAATATTTCACAATTTTGATATATTACAGGGGACGAACCAATATTTCGAGGCAAATTAACCACTATCACAAAGGGCCTGCTACTCCTTCGACGGCCAAAACAGATGGCAAAGGCTCTGTGCCAGAAGGTGAAAAAGTTATATCAAAGAAGTTTGAGAGGCAGATTGATGACATCCTAATTTGCCATGCTGCTCCCCAGGGTATTTCCTTTTTTCAGCATACTAAAATAGCTGTTTATTAAAAAAATATTTTGCTTCAGGTTATGTTGCCCATCGAGACACCAAGGTTGGCTCTACTTTCATTCAAGCCATAATTGATGTGTTCGTCAAACACGCTCATGAGAAACATGTAGTGGGTATGATGAAAGAGGTATACACAACCAGCTTATTGATTTAAACATGAATTAATCAAAATTTAATATTTCAGGTCGACAAATTGATCAAGAGTCAGTCAATTTCGCAAACAGTTTCAATTGAGATCCTCGGTTTCACAAAGAAACTCTACTTACATCCCCATTTGTACGACAAGAAAAACTAAAGATTAAGCTCAAGACATGGCTGTTAGTTGCAACGTTTAACAGAATTGCTCAAGCAGTGCAATATTTTCGCAAGTGCCCTTATAAAATCCTGCCACTTGTCCAGCATTTTGTATCAAAAATTTTCTATCAACATTTTCCGAACAAATATATGAACAACTCTTTTGAGAAAACACGAAGTACACTAACATCGTGTTGCCATTCCCAGTGAATTAAGAAACTCTTGTGGTTTTAAAGAGCAAACATGTGTCAATTGCTTGTGAAGTACCCCCCTCATAAGTGAGATTTTTGATCTTTATTTATTTTTATAAGTAACCAATACCAACTTCATTGATATTCAACAAATGACATGTTATTGAAGCAAAACTACTTTTAAAAAGGTCAAATTAGATATAATTTTTGGAAAATTTTATACCCCAATGACATGGTTCTATGCATTTTGACTGGAAATTGTATCTTAGAAATATCTTTCTCTAGCATGTTAGTTTGTGAAAGAAAATTGGCGACTTATCTGGAGAGAGAGAAAACCATAGTGTCCTTCTTTCACACTAAATATTTGCGTTAGTCTAGTAATATTTCACATTTCTAATTGGTGCAGCATTACCCTGAGTGGGCTCCCATACCATTTTATTTTAAGATTATATAATATACATCCAACATCCATCATGAATCTGATATGCTTTCTACGTATTCATAATCAATATTGTGAATCATTTTAGTTTATTATATTGCACGCAAGCTAGTGTATCGTTAGTACTACATTGAGTATTTTAAGTGTCTAAGCTTTTTTCTATTTTTACACTCATACACCCTCATATTTATGGTTTTTAAAGCATTTGCTCTGACTATAACCCTTTTGATGGCAAAATAATTAAATGTTACACTTGGTGAAAGTATCTAGATACAATTTACTTTGAAAAAAAGTGAAAATTTATATCCATTTTTTCTTTTAGTTCTAATCCACCATACTATATACGTACATACGACCGCAGTGAATTCCCCAGAAGTGCTTTAAAAATTAATGAAAAATTTGTAACAGAAAAAAGTTAATAAATTATGCAAGACCATTTTTGTCTTTGGAAAATTTAGATAAGTGCCTTTATCGTTTCAAATCCCTTTGCTAATAATTTGTTGCATGGCCCCTTTCAATTTAGACAGTGTTTGCTTAAAGATAAGATTGACCACGCTTGGCAGCCTCTCAACTCTAATAAAAAAATAAGGAGATAAATAAACCCATCAATTTCACAAGTTGACACCGTTGCCCCGTGCTTGATTCATTCTGTTCACAACATCTGCATGATGCGAACCGTGTGTGTTCCTTTTCTTGCAGTTTTCCTCATAGCAGGCGCGGCCTGCCAAGAGCCTCCAAGGGTTGATCTGGACAATTTGGGCACTTTGATTGGAAAAGTGACCAAAACGCGCAACAATCGAACTTTGCACACTTTTCAAGGAATCCCTTTCGCCGAGCCTCCAAGTGGCAAAAATAGATTTCAAGTAAGCTGATAGATAGCACTTTCCCTGCTATGATAGTGTTTCTCAAACTTTTGTATGTTATAAGTTTTATTTTTCCACAGTCTTAAGTAAAAATTTTAACATTATTTTTTATTAGACTTTTCAAACTTAAAATTAATTGCATTTACATTTTTTTTTTTAATAACAAAGCGAATTTCACAACGATTTGATGTACCGCATAATTTTGGTTACAAATTGAGAGTTTATCAACATATATAACACAACCGGGCAATGTGTGTCCAAATATATCATTTAGATATTCAAGAGAAAACAAATTGATTTACAAATAATATTTGCACAGCCGCCCATCACGAAGCAATGGAGTGGAGATCTGGACGCTACCAATCCTGGTTTTGCCTGTATCCAACCGGACTACGCAAAAATTGTTAGGAAGCGTCGGGATTTGGCGTGGGATACTAAATTGCAAACCAATTTCTCCCTCGCCGATCCGGAAGACTGTCTCACTTTAAACGTCTACACGCCCGACGTGACTAAATAGTTTTTAATTATTTTAGAAGAAATGTGAAAATGGTAAAATTCCTAATTCCAGCTAACTCATGCCCAGTCGCTCCCGGTTGTGGTTTTCTATCATGGGGGTTCTTTCGTGATTGGCGATGAATCACGCTTCAGACCTGATTACCTCCTCGACAGGGACGTCGTTCTTGTTGTTCCCCAATATAGATTGGGACCTTTTGGTAAATATTAAAAATATTGTTAAAAAATAAATTTCTTTTATGGTTGATCAAACTCCAGGTTTCCTTTCGATGCAAAACGAAAAAATTCCTGGGAACGTGGGTTTATTGGATTGTCTTGAGGCGCTCAAGTGGGTTCAGGGCCACATATCAAAATTTGGAGGCAATAAGGAAAAGGTCACCGTCTTTGGTCAAAGCGCTGGCGCCTCGATTGCCAATTTTCTGATGCTGAGTCCTTTGACAAAAGGCAAATTTTATATTGCATACGCCGAATAAAATTAAATTCATCCAAGAGTAGGTCTGATGCATGGCGTGATCATGAACAGCGGTTCAGCGCTAGCTTCGTTCGCTCTGGACAAAGATCCGATACCGGACTCAAAACGCATAGCCACTCTATGCGGTTGCGTGTTGGGAGATGACGATCGCATTTCACAATGTTTGCAAGACGTGCCAGCTGAAAAGTTGCTTGGAGCGTTTACCACTTACTCGGTATATAAATAAATAAAAAAGGGTTTAATTTATTTAAATTTTTTTTTTACTAAAAAAAATAGAATTTGGGAGGGACAGGTGGAACTTTGCCAGTCATTTCTCGGCCTGACGAGCCTGAAGCAACAAAGTTTTTGCCTGATGATCCGGTGGTGCTTGCAGAAAAAGGCAAATATCAGGCATTGCCAATGCTGGCTGGAGCCGTCAAACATGACAGCATGTTTGTGGTCAACAGTGAGATAAATTAATTAAAAATGGGTCTCAAATATTAATTTAAAAATTTCAGTAATACACAAAAACTTGAGTCGATTGAATTTGACCAACAGCGATAACTTTGTAAGGAACAAGCTTACAAGATATATGATTGAATTTGCAGGTAAAAAGAGCATTAAAATATTTTGGAATTTTCCCTAATTTTAATTGAATTAGGAATTGAAGACAGAACTGGAATGATTGAGGATGTAATTGAGAATAGGTATTTCTCATATGTTGATCAGAAACAGAGAGGAAATTTTACTGCAATGGTTCCTGGAATGTTGGACGTGAGAGGAGCAATTTAAAAAAAACAGAATCGGCTATCTCAAATCTTTTGTTACAGTTTACCACTACTATAATGATGAAGGCTCCTGGTCTAAAAATGGTCCAGTTGAACTCAGAAAACGCTAATAGCTATTGGTACACTTTTAACTACCATGGTCGCTTACATATTCCAGAAAATGGGATCAATGACCCAGGTGGTCTTTTTACTGAGGGTAAGTCAGTCGGTTTTTGAAATAAAAGTATCGAAAAAAATAAACTAATAATTCACCTAATTAGGAGCATGTCACAGTGACGACATGATATACCTGACGCCAAGGCTGGAAGACAAGTTCTCAGTGGAGGAACTGACCTTGTCAAATATGATGATTGATCTGTGGGCTAATTTTATAATTTCGGGAAACCCAAACGAGCCTAGGCGAATCCTCACGATTCCAGACTGGCCCAAATACGACGTTAAGGACAAGTCATACTACGAACTTAACAAAAGTTTTAAAGTGATGAAGGACTATACCAAGGAATTCACAGCGGCCATTCAAGACGTGACACCGAAGGGTTCTGCTGGTTTTCAGACCCCTGTGATGGCCAATGTCATTTTAGTGGCAATCGCATACTTTATGAAATAAAACTTTTGGTTTAATTGTATTATAATGAGATGTTTGTTTTATTCAATGATGATCAAACAAACACTTTTCGTGGTTATCAAAAATATTTTGGCTGTTAGTACAAGAATTTTTTAATTTCAAATTTGGACATCCAATAGTGTTTTTTGTCGAATTATGATCCTAGCTCCTATAGCAAAGGCACTCTATTTTAGTCCTTATGATATTTTAAATTTTGAGTAACTGTCTCTTGTTTGAATATAATAAGCTTAAGACATAAACTCTTTCTATAATAGACTCAATCGCAACTTCAAAAAGCTGTTCAACGGAATGTGGCGGTGGCGGCAAACGGAGAAACTGCCCGGCGGATGCAATACAGCAAAAGTAGTAAAAAAAGAGACAATGGTCAGAGAAGTCGGAAGACGGATTATAAACTAGTGTGTATCAATGAGGCACAGTGGAACGTTAATATTTACAAAACCATGTACATGCAGCCGACTCCGAAACAATGCGTTCGGAACATGAGGGTAAAAAAATGCAGGCTCTTCCTCGTCGATTAGTCAAATTGCAAAAAATTTTGATCAGCTAAAAATGTACCTTTCACCGAGCTAAAATTTTAACTTCCTAGAGGGTAGATGATTATGTGATTCGAGGAATTCGCTCAAGTGTAGAAGCAGCCTGATGTCTCAACGGGGACACTTTAATTTGCTAGCTCAACATAGTTAGCGGGCAGCATGCCCTGGGCACCTGTGCGCTGGACAGTGCCCGTCATCCAGCCCTCGTCAATTGGGGTGCAGCCAATTAGAATGTCACCGTCAAGGAAGGAGACTTCGTCAGCATCCTGTGCGTCATAGTCATACATGGCACGGTACATGCGCTGGAAATGAAAACAACATTAATTGCTTTGATGTTACATACAATTTCAATAATTTGTTTTTAACTTATTTAAAGTAATTTAAAAAAAAATATCAAAATCAGAATTTCTATTGTGCTATTTAAAAAAAAAGAAATCACACAACATACTCCTCCAGACTTCTGCTGATGCTGGTGGTGTTGTTGTTGTTGTTGTTGAAGTTGCTGTTGAAGTTTTTGCTGCTGAAGTTGCTGTTGTTGAAGTTGTTGCTGTTGGAGTTGTTGTTGCTGCATCCTTTGCAGCTGCTGCTGCATTTGTTGTTGTTGATAAAGTTGTTGCTGCTGCGCTAATTGGTGCATTCTCTGCTGCTCGAGCTGCTGGGCTGATGGCTGTTGCTGGTGGTGGTAGTGAGCCGGTTGCTGCGGTTGATGGTGGTGCTGCTGAGGCTGGCCACCTGGCCGCGCACTGCCATAGCTGGACGGAGGGTATTCCTGCGCGATGGAGCCGTAGTACTCGTTGACAGGGTCAAGGTCGGCGATCGAGCCAATCTTCCTTGTCGGCAAATTGTTTACTGTGGATTAAAATATTCAAAATAATTTAAAATGCACTTAAGGAAAAATTATTAGTCTTTTTTTAATTGAACCTATTATCCATTTTTCTTTGACCAAATTAATTTTTGTTTTCTACTTCTTTAATGTCTCATTACACTTTTTTTTTTTAAATTAAAGAAATGAATTTGCAAACTACAAAGCAAGAAGCAGGTAACACTTAGCAAGGACTTCACCTGCGCCTCTGTCGGACGTGTAAATGACCGTCTGGGCACTCTGCCGCACTGAGTAGGGGCTGACGTACTGCCTGTTGCCCTCTTGGCTGGCGATGGGGTCGTAATCAGCAATGCGCCCGGGCTGATAAGCAGGCACTTGGTGGTGCGGCTGCTGCGGCGGAGGCGCGTGTTGCTTGGGCGGCGGCGGATGGTGGTTGTTGGTGGCGGCTGATGCGTGGTGGTGATTGTTGCTCGACGGGGGTGGCACTGGCGCGTGCTGCTGGCCAGGGTGGTGCTCTAAACCAAGCAGGGTTGATGGAAAATGAAATTGCGAATATGGATTTCTAATGAAGATCAAATCACGGGACTATTTTCAAAGCCAAGCCGGGATTACACTACATTTTAAGCTCTTAAATTACCGTGTGCGTCTCCGTTTTCCTCCTTTTCCCGTTTCAGCTCCATGATTGCCTTCTTTTCCAGGTCTCCGTGATATGCCACATTACTTTAATAAGATAAACATATAGTTAAGCAATTTGATAAAATTAAGTCTGTCATACCTGATGATTTTTGTGTTGGCCCTGATTCGCAAAATCTCTGGGTCGTCAGCAATCTGCGTCACCTTCCCCTTTGCCTTTTCAAAGTCCTCATGGTACTTGACCTGAAACGATCCATTTAATACCAAATATAAGGCTATGCAACAATAGAGTTTTCAAATTAGCAATAAAACATAGCTTTCATTAATCTTTGTTTATTTTTTTATCAGAGGCAGCGCAGCAGGTGCGAGTCGATTCTCACGAGAACCGACTCTATGTCTTTGTTTTGACGTGCGCGCGACACCCGCGAAGAGGCTCTTTTAATTGAGGAAGTTATCACAGGGAAGATTGTGCGAGCGTGATCTCGAGAGTAATTTTCACGATATGCGCTAAAATGCAGCGTTGATGACGGACGTGAGTGAAATTTTAATTAATGCAGCTTGAGACTTTTTAAAGGATAATCTCGATTTCATGCTACAAAAGAATTGTTTAGCAATAAAACTTTATGTAGTAATTACGTCTGTGAGAAGAACCATTTTGAAACTATACACGTTTAAAATATAAAATTGAATTAAAAACTCGGAGAGCAATTTCTTGTCCGGTTTCTATTTATTAAAAAGACTGAATCATCATTGACACACCACCTAATATGTAAAAAATGATGAATAATCGGACTTTCCAAAGCAGCGCAATTGAAGTTTTGTCAAGAATGAAGAGAGAAAAGAATTATTCTTACATTTGACTGGATCTTAGTGTTCTCAGCTATCCTCTTGTACTCCGGCGTTTCCGCGACCGTTGTCGCCTTGGCCTTGGGGATGTGCCTGGGAACAATTGCAAAAAATAGTCATTAGAACAGTGGCTCCTTTCTCTTATTCCTTTGCCTATTCTAGTCGTTGCTCTAAAAGTCCGGCACAAATGAATTATATATTCCGAGTGGGATGCTCGTCGCGTGTGGGAATCGTGGTGCGTGCAGTGACGTATACGCCGGCCGACAATCAAGAAAATTTGCACTTCCGACTCTGCAGCATGGTTTGGCAAGAGGACTTATCGCGGCAATAAATCCATGGGCAATTTTCGAGTGCTTGTTTGTTGTGACTTTAACGTCCTCCGGCGCTCTCGGCTTGATTGCGCTTAATGGATTGAATACTTTTGCTCCAGTGGTTAAGATTCTCACAGCTTATCTACGTACTAATTCTTAAAAATAAATCAACATACGACGAGTAAATATTTTTTTCTCTAAACTCATTTCCATTACTATGAAAAAATGATGACTGAATATTTATTTGCGGACTTTCTCAGTCCTCTAATACGCAGTTTGTGTGCAGTAGGCGTAATGATTTTCCAAACGTCTGCGACACGGCAAGCGGAGGTGATGTCAGTGCAGAAGAATTTATGAAAACAAGTCACTCGCTCGACCTACATGAAACAATCTGCCTCGACCCGAGCAGCACCAATGAGCTGGCGTTGCAATGCACGACAAGATTGCGAACAGTCGAGCCGGCAAAATGATAATTTTTTCCTCTTATATCTCAAATTCAATTGCAAAACAAGCATAAAAAAGTAAGCAGGTGGTCATTCCATCTTTATCGGAAGTAGCATCGAAACAGGAAGACGGAACTTTCGTAATTGTCCGTCCGCGGCTGCTCGGCAAATAATCGTGAATGCGAGTTGGCGCGAGCGACTTTCCCTTTCAGGCAGTTTGTTTTCCTTTCCGACCAGCCATAGCGAACCGCGCGAGACCAGTCCGGAGAGGTCGCGCCGTATAGAAAGTTAAAAAGGGTCACGCTGGTCTTTCTTTGCGCTCGGATGATGTTTTTGAGCCGCGGGGCTTCCGTGCCGCATTAGCCGAGTTGCTTATTGCGCGCACCGAGACGGGATAATAACACCGGCTCGGCTTTGTGCCCCTCGCAAAACGTGAACCCTGTCAGTGCTGCGGTCAATGCGGAATCACTACAAATAATCAACTTGTGGAGGATGAGGCGGCCGAAGGGGTCGATGCAGTGTGGAATTTTGCGTTTAGCTTCTAAGGCAGAGGCACAATTTTTTAACCTAAACATGCGTGGACCTGCTCGCAAATTCTATTTTTAGCTCAATGCGCTCAATGTACACATGTCATTTTTTTTGCAAAAAGCTTTAATTATGTTATATTTTGCAAATATAAATATTATATAATACCATTCCAAAAATTTTAGCTGGGATTTTTTTTTTTTAATTTATTGACTGAATTTATTATTTTTTCCTGCCAGCGATATATCATACGTTTTTGTAAACAAATTGACGGTCAATTATCTTTTGTTTATACAATTCCGTGATTTTTTTCATTATTATTTTAATTTATTCATGTACATTTCAATTACTTATTTTCTTCCATAAAATAAAAATATCATATTCGGAGAATTTTGCGTGGCTGTTAAAAGTGGCAAAATATGAAAATATTATTTCAAAATTATATCACACATGTGACTTTGTTTGTTATTTTTTTAAATTTTACCGTGAGAACAAAACGGTAAATCTCATTTGAAAATAAAAAGAGGAATTTCTAGCGCTCTATTTTAAGCAATTATTTGCAGCAGCACAATTAGATAATAATTAGAATCAATTAGAGCCGTAAAATTTGAGAAATTCCCACAGTCGGTCACACAAGCTCGTTTTTGCGTTATTAAACAGCAGATATTAAGTCAAGCTCGGTTCTTTTCACAAAAGACACGTCAAGAAAAGTGGAAAACTCGCGGTTGCGGCGCGGGTGGAGCGGATTCGGTTTCGCGTGTGAATGGACCGCAGCAGCCTCTCTGATATCAAACTGCACTTTCACACCTGGCGAGCGTGCCTGCCGACCTGGATGTCGCACCCTTTGTGGGTCGCAGATCGCAATAGAGAGGGAGTGGACGAAAAAGTCATTTTTCGACCACGTCGCGAGAGTTAAAGCAATCGCTTCATTGATTGAACCTGTTTGATTAAAGGCGTTATTTAACTAAATTATGGATTGAATTGAATCAAATTTATTTTGAGTTCATTTCCATCTCTGAATTTATAATTTCTTATTGCTTATGCTTACCAATATAAACTTTTTCCATTATTTTTGTTAAATAATTTGAAAAATCAGTCCTGACCTTTCCTATAGCTCAAATGGGTTAATTAAGGTTCAATTAGTTACTTTAAGAAATGTGAGAAATTATTATAATATGTCATATTAAATATTTTTAGTTTTAACAGATTAATAGAATTCTCAATACGGTTAAGTTTATTAAATAAATTAAATCAATAAATTTTATTTCTTGAACAGAGAAATAAATAGTTTTATGTTGAAGAAAAGTTCCACCCAGGCGATATCATCGGTGATTTTTAATAGTTTGATTTGCTCCGATTTGCTAATTATTATTTTTCAATAAGAAACAATAAAGCTTTTTTTACTTTATACAGTCAGTGATATAAATTTGTTGTTGCCAACTTTTCGGTTTCAGTTTGCAGCTGCAAAATATAGCGAAACAAGTTCTCTTGAGTTAATATTTAAAGTTAGTTTTAAATTTTTTCTCAATTCAAAATTTTGTATTGACCGAGAAGAATAAACAATAATAAATCACATATCTTGAAAGCTGCGAATTAAATAAAATAAAAATTAACGTTTAAAGAAACGACCTTAATTGTCCGAACTTCAAAAAAATTTCACGCCACGCTCATGCCTTCGTTTGCGTCAAATTCAATTACGGCAATTTTCCAGCAGCAGAAACGACTGAAGTGAGCAGCGAGCGAATAGCCCTGATCTAGAAACAAACGCGCGGAGAGAAGAGAAAAGAATGAGAAAAAACAAAACGGCGATGCGGCGCACACTCGACCCCGGCGCTCCATTTACAGGCTCTGCGGAGGTTTTGCTTTTGGTGCCGCATCGAGTGATGGTTGTTGTGTCTGCCCCAACAGAGCCACGACTCGTTTTCAGAGTTGCGGTTTTTGTAACAGAGAACATGTGAAACTGAGAAAGACCTACAAAAATATTTGCTGGCGTTAAAATCGTGGTGCTGCAAAACCTTATTTAAACTGCCTTTGAAAAATGAAAGAAAAAATTATTTAATCTCTTGCTCATTTTAATTAAATTACAAAGTTAAGAAAAATTTAAGGAAAGTTAAACATTGAAAAAATAAAACAAAATACTGCTTTCTTTAACGACAAACATTAATTTCACAAGGGAAGGGATGCATGGAGGTGGGTATTTTTAGACTTAAAAAGATACGCTTGATATGGTTGCTATTACATTGACAAACCATTGGAACGCTTGGAATACTTTATGGCTTCTAAATAATTTACTACCCTTGGAGTTTTTTTATATCTCACTAATTTGTTCCAACATTTAGCTGCCGGAATTTCTGAAATATACGAATTAGCCTCCTATTTACAAGTCGGCTCATTTTTCACCCTTGGCCCTCCCTAAATAGCCGTGCCGCGATCGGATCTGAAATGCTGGAAATAGAAGCGTCTGGAGTGTCGATCGCGCCTATTATTAGCCGAACCGATAGATACCCATCTTGCATGAGAGACGAGGTTGCTGTTTGCTTTCTGCTCAAGTGGCAAAAACGGTCCATGGAGCAGCCGAATTGAATTGGAACCGCAATTGGCGCAAACGGTTTTTTCTTTCCCTTCTGCATTACGTCAGCGCCGGCGGTCTTTGTTTCGCCACTTGCGCTCGGTGACGTCACTCGCGCGCACCGACCATCTGGAGTGCTGCCGAGGCCAAAGGTCTCCGCAATGGTCCTAATACTCGCGGCGGTGAATGTCAGATAAGGTCAATACGCTTGTCGCGAGCAAATGGTGCTGGCATTTGAAAAATTCGTTAAGTCGCGGCTGCCGAGAGAGGTGCTTATTGCCCAACGCGACGAGTCGTTTTATCACCTCTGGAATCTCCTCTCACAATCGGGGTGTGGGAGCCGCCGAGAGCGGCGAAGAAAGGAACAGAAAACCCAGGGCAGGGCTTATCTAAATTCACCCAGGAATTTCTAGGGATTATTCAATTTGAGCACCAGAGGATGTCTCGTTTCCCATCAACAGATGCACCAGAACAGGGGGGAAAGATCAGCATTCTACATAAACAAAGATGAATAATGATATTTTATTCAGTGCATTATTTTGTTTCTTGACCTAAATAATATCAATAAAGATGCACACTTTCAAGAGAAACACTTGAAAACTTTCCAGCATTTTGAATTTTTGTATAGCTGGAAAAAGAGTCTAATTTGCATCAAAAAATATTTGATGGATTAAAAATAAATTTTATTACTATAATAAGATATGCTTAAATTTTCTTCAATTTGAACTCATTAAAAGCCTACATTATTGGCAATTTGAGACTAAGAAATTATTATTTTAATTGGTCATTGTTGAGAAAATTTGCCTGGGTGGGATCGTTTGCGTTGAAAGAGTTAACGGTGAACCGCAGGCGGCTGTGAGGACGCCGAGGACACGCCTAATGAGGGCCCCCTCAAACCATTCATCGCTCCAGAGACAACCTGGAGGATGCTTTGGTTTCGCCCCCGCCCAAACCGTATGGCTTTTTTATTTCAACGCGCACGGAGAAGGACAAATAGCTTTCAGCGTGTTGACTCTCACAATTGTTAAGGTGTTTCCCCTGTAGATGTCAAAACTGTCGATTTGAGAAATTGAACTCGCTATGATTGTGAATAAAAAATAGTGACATTCTGACCTTTATTATTTAAATATCATAATAATACAACATCAACGGATTCCTTATCCAGAAAAAACGTCCGAGAACATTCTCTAATTTTTTTCCCTTACATGCTTTTTGATCGAGAATGAATTAATTCAATATAATTGTGGTTAAACGACCTTATATTTAAATTTCATGTAAAATATTTTAAATATTTTTTCTGATTTAATATTCTGGTCCGCCTTCAAAATGACCGCACCAACCACCAACGTTGATTGCATAATGAAAAGTCCCCTCGTGCGACGCAAGGGAATTTCATATGCAGTTTCGAGACGGTCTCGGAGGCTCTGCGCCGTTTGACTTCCGGAGGGCCGCGCCTTATCGTGTTTAATTTGAGTGCGAGCACCTGAGAAAATGCCAAGTGTGTGCGCGAGTCGACGGTTCCGAAATTGTTTGTTATATTTGCCATCCTTTACCTTTGTGCATGGGAGAGAGCAACGGTTGTTCCGGCAGACGTTTGCATTTCGGGCGACAAGAAATGAATTTTTCAACAACAGCTGCATGGGGTTCAACGCCCCCTCGCCAGCATGACTTTTTAGCGATTTCATTAACAAAACGGTTCCACCTAAATTTAAATTTTTTAATTCAGAAAATAATATTTCGTTTTAATTTTTACAAAAAAATTCTAAAACGCGTCTGGAGGAGAATTAGGCCAATTGAAAGAAAGACAAAAGCCGCTCAATTGTCAATGTTGCAACTTGGTCAACAGCCTCTTTCATAGGCTTCCGATTAACATACGTCGGACAAACAGGTTTGTTTCTTTATATATTTTTTTTGTGAGAAGTCGATTTTCATTATTTATCCACAGGCAGCCGCGCAATTGCATCGCGGCGTCTCTAAAAGGCAATCGAAGCCCCGCTTTTCCATTCCAAAAGCAGCCGCTCTGATTGTCGGAGCAGAGCAGATGTTGCGTAAACAATCAATCGGCCCCGTTCGAATCACGCCGAAAATGGGAAAATAATGCTGGTCAGCATCTCTGCTCCCGATGCAAACATCTGTTCGCTGCGAGAGCGACGCGGAAAACCGTTCGGTTTCACTTTCGCGCGGCGAACTCTGCGCTTATTTGCTTGGCTTGGGGTGTCTTTTGCATTGAAACGCGATCCGATATCGTGCGCATTTCCCATGTCGCCATCCGTCGGCGCTGTTGCTTGCACGTTTCACGCCTTCCTCCGACATGACTGCGGATGGGGTGTGCATTTTATTTTAAAATTCTGTACACGTAACTAGCGCGGAGGAAAATAATTCAGGGGGAAAATTGACATTTTAAAAATTTTCAAATCTGTCAAAAACACAGTAATAAGCATTGTTCAGAGCTGCGGTTTGCACTAGTAGGTGGTAATAAATGTTGTCAATAAAAGCACCCCATGGCCCTAATCTTGCGTCATTTGTATGTTATGACTCACATTGATAAATTTGTTTGCTATATAGAAAGTTCAAGCGATGAATAATATTCGTTAGCATTGCGTATGGTGAGCCAAGTTTATTCCAGTTTTTAAATAAAATTCCAAAGAGACAGTGAAGATGAAAAGTCAATTAAAGTTATATTTTGTTAATAATTTCAGTTTACATTGCCGCATTTGTGTACATTCATTTAGAAAACAGCAAAAAAAAAACATAAAGGTAAAAGAAATTAAAAATTATGTATAAGCTACAAAAATGATGGGTGATATTTATATCACAATCAGATAATTCAGATATTATGCATAAAGGATTTTAGAATTTATTAAGATTATATTTTTATAAAGAGTTCGTCTTTCAAAAATATCGATTACAATTGATTGTATTTATTTGAGCTGGTTTGAGCCTTCTGATCTTGTCATGTTTTCTTACTATTACAGAAGCAGCAGATTCACGTTTTTTTGGAATCTTGAATTTTGTATTTTTAGGTTTTTAATCAATCAAATTACTTTTCAATGTTATTGATTGTTATGATGGATGGACTTAAGTTGAAAACCGGTTTGAACTAGGACGTATATTAAAAATTTTATATTTCAATTAATCTGTCCAGAATGTTCACTTAACTTGTGAAAAATACATTATTTTACTTATTTTATAAAGACATGTTTTGAAACAATATTATATTTTGCTGGAGAATTTAAAAGGAAAAATTATAAATATTTCTTTTGTTAAAGCGCCAGGAATAACTTATCAAGCTTTGAGCTTTCGGACCAAAGTAAAATAATTGACTTCTCATCTCCTCGTGACAGTCACATGGTCAGATACAATAAACAGCCCAATTTAGACCACAAAGCAAACACTTGAGCCGAGCGCAGACAAAACTTGTATAATTTTAAGTCGGTGCACAAAACGTTCGCTTTGATCGGCACCCGCAATATTTAATTTGAGGCGGCGTCGACCGGCATTTGATAGTGCAGGAGGGAGCGAGATAAAATGGCAAACGATACTTACGCCTCGCAGTAGGGCTGTTTGTTGAAGCCTTTGTAGGTCCGCATGTTCAGCGTCATGCCGCACTCCTGGCATTTGAAGCACTGCTTGTGCCATATCTGCAATCACACAATGCACAGGGGGAATTAGAACAAAACAAAAAAGAGCAAATCTTCCTGCCGCGCCATTCAGCGCCAGCACCGGGGGAGCGTTAATATTTCTGCGGCTTATTAATTAGAAGCGACACCTGTTGCGTCACCACCCGGCGATAATTTGTTTTCCTCGCAGCATCTCTGCATTGGCGAGTCAAGTGAGGAAAAAACAACACGGGTGCATGTTCAACGTGTCAACAGGCAAATTGTCTCCGCGAATGGAATGCGGAGTGAAAGCCCACCTAAGGAATGTGCACGCCGGGTTTGTGTTTATTTGAAAAGCCTTATTTCGAAATCAGGTGTGTCAAATGTAAAGGGACAGAATCTTAATTTAGATTTCGGTTGCAAGTTGCAAAAGAATTTCATTCGCAATCTTTAGAGTGAGATTAGATAATTTAAAATTTAGCTCTAATAATTTTACAAGTGTTAACAAGTAATTATTGGCGCTGATTTCAATAAGCACCAATGTTTAGTAATATATTAGTTTTCACCGTTTTCACTGTTTTACGATCTTTTAAAGGATATTATAAATCTCTAGAAAAGGAAAATAATATTTTTTACCTTACAAAAATAATATTTTTTACCTTACTATTCCAACAAATAATAAAGTTAAAATTTAACTTATCTCCGTAAATATACGATTCAATACGATTAATTTTTGTTAAATCCAATATATGATTTTTATAATTTTTATTGAGGCGTAAAAGATATTTAAATTAAAATATTTTCTTCGTGATATGAATAAAAATATTATTTCGAATGATGAAAATTATTAAGACTACGGACTAAACTTGAAGTTTGTTTAGAACTTTTCATTTTCAAATTCTTGATTGTAAAACAAATAAACAAAGTTCTCATCCTTGACATTATTTCATTGTGCAGAATTAACTGCAGCTACAACAATTACTCAAATTCAATGTCAATTCACGGAACAATTTGCTGAAGTCATCAAAACAAAAGTGAACCTTTTATCAACAGGGTCAGTAATCGCTGAGCACGTCGGAAGAACCCTGATTGCGCCTCAGGGCCCGGTTTAAAAAATTGTCCAACAATTTTCCTTGTTTTTCTCTCTTGCTCTGGTCAGGCCACCGCGATACTTATTTTTCTCTCAAGCTGCATGTTTGAGAGAAGTAAAGAAGAAGACGAGGGCGGGGCAACCGAGGAAGATGCAGCCAAGGTCACAACATCTTTTCTATTCACTCGTCTTATCCAGCAACGGCCTAAACTAGGCTCATTATCCGCGTACTTTTCCCTCCGCGCATCTCCATATTTAATTCGGTCTAATCTCGGAGACGCACTGTGGCGGAAAATCGTTCCTGGAAGTGGAACAATCGGATAGAAACCAAATACATGACAAATAAAACCACCTCTTGCGTGTGATTTCGACCGCCGAAAAATGCGCTCGTTTAAATCACTCAACCCTTTGGCAAGGATTTTTCGTAGAAATTGCTCATTACGGTTTTTGTTTGAAAAGGAATGTTCATGTTTGGCTTGAAAACGATCATACGAGCCCAAGAGGGACAATAAAAATTAACAACTCGTGAAATTGCACCTAGAACGGAGTTTCGAAAAGGGCGTTTTTGGATGGATTTTGTTGGCGGTTGACCTGAAATGCCGAGATTTGGGAATAATTAGGTGTTCCTTTGAAAGGGATTCTCATCACACAGGGCCTCCTCACCTTATCTAGACACTTGAGCTCCTCGATCGGGTAAACAGTTTTATCACACCTCGCGCACTTTTTATTCATCGTCCGCGGCTCGTTTTTGGCACTCGGATGGACACTTGGCTGCTGGCCGTTCGCCGCTGTCCTGCTGGAGGGTGTCGACGGGAGTGGCGCGACACGACAGAAAACACTACTTGTCCACTTCGGACGGAAGTTTCCACTATCTGAGAAGTGAGCCGACTGAAGCAGCGAGTAATTTCATAAACGAATTTTTCCCTGCACTCGACAATGGAATGGAATCGTGTGTCGTGCCGATTGAGGGGAGGGGAGGCGGTAGGGGTGCCGCGAGAGGAGTCTCGTAGTTCGCTGACCTTGTGCTGAGGGGGCAGCATCGGTAAGTTCGTCGATTTCTGTCGGCCGGCACGCCCACTTTTCACTTTCCTCTTCCTCGGTGTTTTCATTTTTCATAACATAAGCGACCTTAATCTTCATCGTCTCGTGCGCTTTTCCGCTGGAAAATGCCGGCGTCCGTTTTGCTCGGCAATATTGCGGTCAATGAAATGGCACGTGAGTATAAACTTAATTTTCTCTTACGTAAAGGCGTTCTTCTGCTTGAAGTTGTTTATGTTTGTATTGTATTCTACGTTATCATACACAGAAAAATATGCGGCAATTGATATCTGCTTTTTTATTTTTTGCAGAGGAGGAGGAATGGTCCGACGACACAAAACTGTTCATGCCGTACGACGTGGAGCAGATCTTGCTTGCCGACAACGCTAACTGCGTGGCCGTGCAGACCTTTTTAAAAATGTGCAATCTCCCGTACAAGGTTGATTACCGCAAGAATGCTGAATTCATGTCTCCATCAGGTTATATTATAATTATAAAATTTTTTTGTAAATAATGAAAAATACTAATTATATACAGGCCGAGTTCCTTTTATTCAGTGTGGAAAATATCTAGTGCCGGAATTGGACCACATCGTAACTTTTGTAAACAACAAGGTAAGTTTCTTAATCAATTACATGTCATGTCCTTCAAAAAAGTCACTCTTATTTTTATTTTAGGGTAAAAGCCTGACGAGTCACTTAAGCGACAAACAAAGATCCGACATGAGAGCAGATTTGTCTCTAATTAACAATGTCCTAGTAAATGCGGAGGTATGTTGTTTAATTATAATGTTGGTCAAATTAATTAACAAATTTAAACTTTTTTGTCAGCTTTATTTGACTTGGGTTGAGCCTGTTACTCTGAAAGAAGTGACTATTCCACGCTACAGCTCGGTGTACCCTTGGCCACTGGGCACTATCCTCAGCTACACTAAAAGAGCAAAGGTTATTTCGAAACTGAAAGCTTTGCAGTGGTACGACAAAAGCATCGAAGAGGTAATATTGACTTAAAATCATTAAAATAAAATAAAAAATTGCCAAAAACATCAGGTTTACAGAGAGGTGGACAAAGTGTGCAGCAACCTTGCTAATCGATTGGAAAATAATCAGTTTTTCTTTGGAAAGTATGTTGATTAATTTCGATATATAAAAAGAGTTCTCATTTATAATTTTCAACAGGCCTACTGAGTTAGACGCCCTTGTCTTTGGTCACCTGCACACTATCTACACCACAAAACTTCCATACAGCGGTCTGTGGGACACGGTCAGGTCCTATCGGAATCTAATTTCCCACACAGACAGGATCAACAGCTTGTATTTTTCTAAGAAGGGCTAATTTTGTTAGTTCACAGTATTATTAGGTTGTGACAAGTCTCTGTTTGACTTGCTTATAGATCTATGCAATCGTTGGCCAATACAGTAAACCAAAACTGCAAATTATTTTAAGTTTCATTAAATGCGCATACTTAGATTAATTAATTTGTTCAAAATATTCAATTTTCAAAGATTATTTTTTATAAATATGAATTTCTTTAGTCAAAAATAAAAAAAAAACTATTGATAAGATAAAGCCATCTCACGCGGGAAGTAAATACAGAAGCAATAACATAATTTTCATCATTTTTTATTTGCCAGTCAGTTGTACATTAATTTTGTTACTAAATGCATTCAATACAATCGTCTTTTTAGACATTTGGCCCACACACACAAAACTTGTTTGAGAAACTGCTACATATACTGTTATTGCTCAGCACAATTGGTATGGCAATGGTGCACCAGAGCTTCATTTGATTCAATGAAACCATGATCCAATGCCACTGAAACAAAAGAGTCCAGACGCAATTTGATTGCTTCAAAAACCGTCTGGACCGAGAACAAGCTCATCAGCCAACACGCAGGAAATGAAAAGTGGCCAAATGTCAACATTGTTAGGCGTGAAAATCCCTTAACCTTCATTTGAAGTAAAACTGTAGCGTTGTCTTTCTTAAGCTGCCTTGGAAGAGCACTACTCTAGCCAATTACGCCAAAGTATAACTACCTCGGAAAACAAGGCAATCGAGCCATAATATTTTTCGATGACATTACTTATGGCTGTAATTATTAAATTATTATCTTAATTAGAGCATCATGTTAAATAATATTAATCCTAAATTTTTTGTGGCACAAAGAAGTTGAATTTTGTAAAATATAAAGTACTCAGTCATCACGAAGAGAGTTCTATAGTATTGCACTTGAAACAGCTCAACTGCTGTGACTGTAGGCCGTGTTGGTGTAGGGCCCACTGTAGAGGGAGCTGCCAGAGGTGGAAACATCCTTGTGACTTCTGCGGCGGCGGGCACACAAAATGAGCACCGCCAGGAGCACCAATAGCATCAGCACAAGCCCGGCAATTGCCACTGCGAGTGCAAAGGTGCGCTGCGAAATGCAAAGGCTGTCCGGGTCGTCGGGAGACTGCGGGAAGAAAATCATATATTTAAAGGCTCAGGATTTAAATAATCTTTTATACCCTCTCTCTGCTGACTTCATCCAAGTTGTTCAGGTTGCTGGTGTCTGCACCTTCGTTGACGTAGAGGCCACTGAAGACCTCGATGGTGGCGGGGCTGCCAGCATCTCCGTTGTCTTGTCTGCGACGTCTGGCACTATTGGGCGCCTTGCTGCAGTTTGGCACCTGGATTAAAAAAAATTAATTTTTTTTTTTGCTACTTAGATTTTTTTAAATTTACCTCACAATCACCAATAGCCTTGTTGCACAACCGGACGTGGCACTGGTAGTAGACTGACGAGGTGTATGGGAATTTATGGGCAGGGAAACTGACATAGGCCTTGGTCATTTCGTGGCTATAGGTAAACTGGCCCATAATTTCATGGTTCAGAGGGCATCTTAAAAAAATTGTTAAAAATTGTTTGTTTTTCTAAATTTTTAAAACGCATACCCTTGTTTGTCCAAGAGGCGCTGTTCACCCCACTTGAGACCGTCCCTAACCATGCAGTCGGAAATGGTTATTCCGAACTTGTCCTGTTCGTCGATGTTGATGATCATGGACAGAGGGTCTCCGATCTTGATGTTCTCGGGGACCTGTTTGGTCGAGCCATCTCCGGCATAGATTCGCATCATGACGCCAGGCAGAGAGGCCGGGTCAACAAGAGCTGCGGTCAACTGCTGCTGACCAGTGGCCCTGCAGAATTTCAAAATAATGATGTCAGAAATATTTTCAAAAGACCTTGTAAGAAAATAATAATTACGTTTTGTTTGCAACGGTGACGATTGGAGTTCTCTCCCTTGTCTCGTAGCGACATTTGACTTGGTAGCCTCGACCCTGGGAGGTCACAAGCTTCAGGTGAGGCTGCACAATGATGGTGTTGAAGTACTCAACGCCGCCATCCTCCTGCAAACAGATTAAACAATTAAATTTTTTACGACGCGTCAATTAACAGCGCGCAGCTGTTGTAAAATAAACGCATAAAAATGAGTAATTATATGTATATAGTTTCAATTTCCTTTACGCAAGAGTATATATGGTAATTCAGCAAAGGAGGAAGAATCCAAATCGCTTTTCACATCTGTATGAGGTTTCTCATAGCAAGCCCACGCGTGTAAATGCACTCTTTTTGCGTGGCCGGTAATTTACACGTCGGTCGGGCGTTAAAATCTCCCATGCCATTTCCAAACAATAAGAAAAATAGCCGCAACTGGATGTGTGCGTTTTCAACTCGGGAGAAAGGGAACAAAGCAAACAATAATATCTTGCGTAGCATCGTCGTAAAAAGAAGCCGCGCACTTTCGACCGCTTCTCTCAAACCCTTTCATTTTTTTCATTCAAATCAATTTGATTGCTCTGCTGGTTGAACAGACGAATCAAGTGACCAAAAAAAGATAAAAAAAAATGACTCAACCATTTTCAGCTCGCTAAAAGATGAAAGTAGCTTGGAGTTTGTATATATCTATAATATCAGCACCGAAATCAATGTGTGCGAGTGAAGTGCATGCTGGCTGAATTGGGGTCATCAATTTCTAATTAGCATCAACAAGAGCTTGTGAGAAAGGTCGAGACTCGCAGTCATCATTGTATTGCAAAGCGTAAAGGTGTATAACAAAATTGCTACTATGGGTGATTTGATTTTAGATTAGAGATATAATTCAATACTTTTTAATTCATAAGAAACTCACCGTGTCATTGCTCATGGTGTTGCAGTAGCTGAGCGGCAGTCTGTAGCTCAGGGGTCCCACAACGCGCACAAACTCTACCAGACAGGAGCTGTTCTTGGTTAGTCCCCTGGGGTAGACCATGCCGCTGAATTGGCCTGGTTCGGCCACCAGGCCCAGGCGAGAGGCGTGCGAAGGTGTCGGAGCGGGGCTGTTCGCCGGGATGATGGTCACCAGCATTTCGTCGTTGGCGCACTCGACGCGCACGGTGTCCAACGCCTCGACCACCTCATTGGGAGAAGGTGTCGTGACGGAGCCTTCAGTGGTGGTTGGGGTCAGGCAGTTAACCCTGGTGCTCAGGCTCAGCACCTGAAAAATAAACAGGAATAATAAAGACACGCTTTTATATGTATTTTTAATACATTTTTTTAAACGCATATTTATACAAGGAGAAATTCGCCAAAGGACATTAAATTAAAAATTAATAGAGAATATATTAACTTAAAAAATTATTTTAATTATGAACACGGACTCCTTCTTTAAAAATTTCTGTAAATCTAAATACGGAGAATAGTATTAATATAGGTGCTGAGATACTAATTTTAATTACAAACTACAATTGAACGATTGGAAATAATGATCAGTCTGTCCACTGTCCAGTCTTTTTTTAATTTATGGAATGATGCCGGCAGAGATTAAAAGTATGTTTGTGACACAGATGTGCTAATGTGATGCATTCAATTACCAATCCAGTCCGATTGCGTCAATTATTTTTATTGTCCGCGACCAAAAATGGTCTACCACACAGTTACTCAGCGCCTAGAAGCTGCTGTGGTTTGTTTGTTAATGCATACTCTTCACATACTCTTGTTCACGCAAGTATACGCCTATACGGTAAAAGTGCATCTCTCGCAAAGGATCAGCCTGAGAAAACCAGCAGCTGCTACCGAGAACTCATTATTCCATTGCGCAAAGACAGCGTCCGGTGTAAGAAAAGAGATTGAATTTAGAAAAGTGGAGTCGCCGGCACGCAGTCCGAGAGATAGAAAATAAGCGAGCAAAGGCCGGAGGAAAAGTTTATGCGCCGGCAGTGACAATTTCACTTGTTGCAATCGCGGGTGAAAATGGGAAGACCGCTTTTGAGTACAATTTCGATGCAGAAAAATATTGTCATTTAAAAACGAGCTGTTAACAAAGTCACGTTATGACAAACAACACTTTAAGCGCAGTTTGTCGGCCCACGTTTTTCACGGTTTCGCCAAAAGATGTATGTGAAAAACCAAACTGTTATCTCATTGTCGGCAACTCGAGCGACATTTAATACACTCCTTTTCTTCTTTGTTCCGCGCCGCAATGAGAATATAAAAATAGCGGGCACGCGTGTGAGCCGGTAATGAGATTGTTACGAAATCCGACACCGAACGGCAAAGGAATTTGTCTCATAGCGGGTGCAAAAACTGTACTATCGTAAGAAAATCTTCATCAAGTTTTCTCCTTTCGATCCCTTTCTTTCTCCCATCGCAAGTAAATAAGAGAAAAAGAGAACCGCACTTCCTTTTCCTGCTTCATCCTGCTAATCAGCATATCAAAAACTCTCCACACACGCTATGCAGACGTGAAATTTTAGCCCAAGTTGAATGTCGACGCGCTCTGTTTCTGCTCGAAGCTCATGGCAAACGACCATCTAATCGTACATGAGCATTGTTTGCAGAGGATTTCAGCGCTCTTCCTCAAATGTGCCAAAATAGTGATAAATTAAACTATATGCGCATTTAATCTTTCCGTCTTTAAAAAAGGAAGAGGTCGGGGTTAAAATTTTGACGTCTATGAATCAGGGTAAAACAGCAACAACTTTCAAAAGTGGACCTCAATTTTTGCAATTATTCCACAACTTCTCTCTCTTTGTCATCACTCTTGTTCTTGAAAATGTTGAGTGCCATTTCAAGCGCACAATTACTCGCAACGTTCTCTTTGCTTTGTGACACAGGCAGAGCGCGAAGGCAATTTTTCAGAAATGAAAGTCCGCGCGAGTGTAACTATAACTTTTGTTTTTAAGAATAATATTATATAGAAAGAAACGGAGCGGCCGCTTGTTGTGGTCACGACCAACAATATCCTTTCACACGCGCCAAACACGTTGAACACAGTTATCGTTCATTAACTGGCGTGCAGCTGCAAACGCAACCAATTGCTTTGGAATTACGGAATCATTCGTAACACCGACGGCGAAATGTGTGCAAAGGTAAAGGGACTGGTCGGCTCGACCCGGTGCAAAAAGTGAAAGAAACAAATTTGAAAGGAAGTAGTGGATTATCTACGGCCCTGGTGCACACATTGTGTTGGAGCGACAGGATGTAAAGTGCACGTTGGCGTGGCTTTCGCAGCTTGGAGCTTGACCCCTTCATTTTATATTCACCAACTTTTCAATTAATTTGAAAGGCCCAGGTGGGATTCGCAAAAGTGTTCCATAGGTCGGTTGTGAGTTGTGAATTTAAACTGTATCATTAAAGAGACACTTTTTTACAACACCTGCTTTGTAATTTTCCACTCTGGTTTTCACACTGAGAAACAGTTAAGAGCAATAACAAAAATTTAGGGTTTTGTGAGAGACCCGCCCAGCCCGACGTGCTGAGACGCACTTTTCTAACTGTTTTTCAGCACGCGACAATCAACTTTATGGCGACAATCTTCAAGCTTACACAATTAGTAGAATTATTTTTATATAGCTGGAAAGTTATAAATAATTATAAATAAACTTTTTATAATTTAAAAAATGCTAGGATGTTATAGAAATTGTTTTGAAGAGGAAAAAATCTTTACGAAAAGGTAACTGGATATATTCAAGGAAAATCAATATGAAAACCACAAGAAAACCCACGTCGATCCGTATGCAACGAGTTGAGTTTCCTCCAACATTTTTACACACATCTCTGAGCAAACGTGTGCTCAGTCAAGGCGGCGAAATGCGCTGTAAAATAATTATCACTTCTTGAATTATATTAATAAATATTGCGTTCAAGACCGGCAGCAATATCATTCGGGCTTGGTTAAAAGAAGCGTTTCACTGGCGAGCACGTATATATGATGTGTGTGAGATTCAATATGGCAATTACGGAAGAACACATACTATACACTCGGCAGAGCTGCGGCGGCGGAACCAATAAGACGCAGGTCATCGTCCTTTGGTCCGCGCGTCATCGGCCCCGAGACGAGCTCGCCGTCCGGCTCCAAGATTCAGCTCCAGACACATTTGCTGTGCGCGACCCACGCGTCTCGATGCGCTTATGGGACCTTAGGATGCAGTTATTGAACTTTGCCTGACGCTTTTCATTCTAATTAGCCGCGTGCGAAGCAATGCATTGAACTTGGTTTGGCTTGAACGCTTTTCTTTCACACGCGGACATTGAAAAGAAAAATAATGTGTATCGTTTGCAATTTCCGGGTTCATCGCGCAGGTCAGTCGAAATTAAGCACTTGCTCTTGGCTCTCATTGCAATTATTCTCTCGAAGGCTGAATTTAAATAAGCAGCTGCTTTGGCTTTAAAATAATGGATGCATTATATTCTCAAGTGGGCGTCTGATTTATTGTCTGATGCTGTTTTAGTCAGCGGCTGGTTTTCCTCGAGCCAAAAAAGCCTAAAAGTTGCGACCTTTTTGTGACCAAGCCCTGCGGAGTTCCCGACTTTACAGTTAGGTTCAAATATCACTCTTATCACACATGCCCATTTAAATATTGAAAATAATTCCTCTGAATTCAACATTCAACCAAGTGTAGAATTGTTATCCAGCCGATTAGGTGCGGAAGGACGAAACTTTTTTATCCGCTAATTACGAGTGAATGTGATGCTCCGATGGAGCATCACCTCGGAAACGATGCCGCAGATAGATTTTTTTTCTTTTTAAATACAAGGGCGCTTCAGACAATTATTATAAAAATAATCTCTCGCGCTTCTCCGCGTCTGACTCATCGTTTCGTTGATTTTTTCGATGCACGTCCTGGTGCTTCAGGGTCACTCCAGACAGCACGGGGCAATTTGGGAAAGGAAGTGCCTTTCGGAGAACATCCTGACTCTTTGTTTTCGGCCCATATACAAATTGAAAGCCAGGGAAGGTTTTTCTAATTAAAAGTATCTTATCTTAAAAAAAACTTTTTTTATTGATTTCGCAACAATACAAATTTCACATTTGTTCCTTATTTAAATTAAAGAGTAGTTTTGTTTTATTTAGTTTGAAATTGGCAAAGCAAGGGCATGTAATTGGCGATTTCACAACAGCACAAGCAGTATAATTGTGCCTAATAAGTCTCATTGAAACTAGATAAGGCACTTGAGCGACAATTAAGCGCAATTTTCCATTGTTCTGGCCCGAGTCGCGCATATTAAATAATCAAAAGTGGTTTTGCAGCTGCACTTAAGTGCTCATGACAACCCCGGTGCCTCATTATTCCGACTGAATTCTGCTACGATATTGTGCAGTCAGCAGTGAAAGTGTCTCTGGCCACAGAGGCGCGCCCATTGTAGGTGTCGGTAGGTAGACACGGCGCATTGTAAATTTATTTTAACTCGAGGGAACGCAAAGGATTGAAAAAATGACGTGTCGGCTGCGCGAAACGTGCGGGAGTTGTAATGAAATAGAGTGCAATTTAAAATGGATCACTTTCGATCTGACAATAAAAGGAGCCATTCACTTGATTAGTCTGCTAAAAATAAATTATACCAGAAAATAAACTAGTTAAAAAAATAAGAAAATAGTGGAAATTATGAAAATGCTTATTTAAGAATCTAAAGAATTATCTTGCTTCCTTGAAAATATTTTTGTTATTTGTAAATTGAAGAAGAGGCAATGGAAATTATATTTTATTGCACACTGATGCCAATTATTTAAATACGTAAGGTGGAAAATTAAATCATAATTACACTTAGCGCTGTGCGTTTGCACAATTATGATGGTGATGTAAGGATAAAACAAGATTTGCATCAAAAGTTCTGCTGGAATGATTTCAATGTAAAAAAGATGATTCAGCGCGATGGGTTCGAATTTAGGATGCATGCAACAGGTTCAATATGTTACTCAACACATTTTCAAGTTAGCAGAGCAAATAAATTTCGCACTCTGAAAAATAACATAAGGCAGATATGTGTATTAAAGTCACTGCCAACTGTGTGTAAGGAGATGATTCTACTAAAATAAAACAAATATACTTAAAACTTGAATTTACAATTTTAATAAGGCCAAATGTGATAAAAATGTGATGTTTTACGTTTAGAGGCTGGTTAGAGGGACACCTTTTATAAAGCATGCAAAAGTCTTATGAGCACTAAGTAATTTTAGACAAGGATGACCTTGCAGGAAATTTAGAACTGAAAACCACTGTAAGACAATCAGACCCTTCTCCACCCTCTCGTTTATTGTCCCACACGATTCCTGGTGCCCAAAAAGGACTCCTCTGAAGGCAGTGGCGCGATGCGGCAACAGTCGCTAAATCACTAACAAGAAAATTATTGCGAGCGTGTGCGAGTCACTTTTCAAATTGAGCGTGAAGGTTAACAAGAATGAATCGCCACAACTCAGTCCAAAAACACCACGCCCTGAGCTAAGAACTTATTTTAGGCTCAATATCCTTTTTCTGTCTCCAAGAGCTTTTTCCAAAATTTTTCAATGAAAAATAAAAAATGTTTTAATAATAAAAAGATTTGAAATGTTTGCATCATTTTGTTGGTGAAAGGAAAAGGGATTTGCAAATGAAATTAACTCTACTCATAAAAAATACTATTTTATATTTCATTTAAAATTTCAACTTTTGCTTTTAGAATGACAAACGATGCACCTTAAATCACCAGCAAGAGCAAGAACCAGTTTGCCCGGCCGGCGATGACATTTTCCAAGAAAGGTCGCGCCGAGCAAAAAGCAGCCGGGATGTAATTTACCTCTCGTGCCTGAGCACAAAGGGTTTCAATTTATTTTCTCTCTTCTGCAGCACTCCGAAGTCGAGTCTGCGGTGGAGTTCGTGGATGGCGAGAGATAAGAATGCGGGTTGCGTGACTCACTCAAGCGGTTAGTGTCATTGCATGCTGAATACGTTAATTGTTTGCTGAAATAACAGCATCTTGTCCCAGGTGCTTAATTGACTGTTCGGCGTTGAACCGTTTGGATTTTACTGATACGAGTAAAATAAAATTAAACGTCTTTAAAACAAAAAAATTCGGAATAAGAAAAAATATAATACATTTTTGTTGGAAGCATATTAGCTGTTTTTAACCCCATTAATTAATTTATGATTAAATTTTGATAATTTATCAACCTACAAAGATTATACTTAAAAATAATAATATTATTATTATTGTATAGGATTTATATAAGAAAGAAAAACTGCACATTTTCATAGCAAAATGAAAGCGCGAGTAGTTTTCAAATGCGAGTCAAATAGCAAAAAAATACTTTCGCTGCGCCTTCAAACAACATTTCATTTTCATTTTTTCCCGCTCGTCACCGCGGCACGTCTTGATTAAAATTCAAATCGGCGCCGCTCAAAATAGGACGTGGCTAACGAGCCCGAAAAACAATGCGAGTCAAAAATAATCAAATGCAAAAAAAGAGATATTTTTCCTCTAAGTTCCCACACAGAAAAGCAAAAGGCGCATGAAAAATGCAAGCGAGGAGCAGGGAAGGTCGCTCGTAGGAAGATTTTGCAGGGGCTGAGCTTTAGGACAAGAGCGTGGGATCGCGGCGGCAAAACGCACACACGGGTCGGCCACAAGCGGTTGCTTGGGTGTCTCGGACAGAGAAAGTGAATTTATGCGACACCAACAGCTGCCGATGATCGTTATTGACTTACGTCACAAAGTCACATCACTTTGCGAGAGTTTTCATTACATGTATACGCACGGATTTCGTTAATTGCTTTGTCAACATCCTACAAAAAAAAAAAAAACTCCCAAGGTGTTTATTACGTTATTGTTGTTTGTTCCTGTCACCAGCGCAGTTTCTTGTTCAAACATTTATGGAGAAATCTCTCAAAGAGATAAATGAGGAAGGAATACGTTTGTCATTCCTTTTGGCGTGTAGGAGTTAAATTTTTTGAAAGTTGATTTAGAAATTAACTTAAAACAGGAATCAACACCAAGTTATTTTGGAAAGTGCAACAATCGTATTTAATAATTTAATTAAATAACATTCAAAAGCATATTATGATTAATGTGAATGTGAATTAACTCTCTTAAAAGAAACAAATAAAATTTGATAAATAGAGAGTTACGTAGAACTGATTGTAATTTATTATTAGATAAAAGTGATAAAACCTTGTAATTGGTACTAAACAATTGAATATAATTTTAATTATTTATTTTGATGGAAAAAATGAAATTAGGAAATAATTATTTTTATTTTCATTATTGCAATTAAATTATTACTTTTAAGTAAATTGATGAGAGCTTTAAATTATTATAGCAGATTTTGCAATGATGATTATTATTGCTATTGCAATCTGATACACATTATTTAAATTTATTCAAATCAGTATTATTTTTCCTTGTGTAGATCTTTTGATCTAGTGGACTGTCAAGCTTCTCTCTGGGCAAACAGCAGTTTCTACGCAAGCTGCACTCTGTAATTCCAGTCGACACGCGCAATTATTTTATCCGCAGAAAAATACGGGTAAGCGATACGCGGCTCAAGTAATCAAATTCCAATAATAATTATATAAAGAAGTGCGTTATTACGAGTGCGTCAGGGCGCGTATCGCTTTCCGAGAGTTTTCAGCTCCATCGAGTTCTCGTCACGGATATAATTTTCAAGCGAATTCGCAATTGTCTGCCAGGATCGTCTGAACCTCGTGAAGGTCGTTCAGATGAAAAGAGACAAAACGAAGATGCAACCCTGATAGTGACATCAGCAGCATCAAAGGGTATGACATAAGCGCGACGCCGGCTTTGTTGCGCGCCAGGGTACGCTCTCAGGGGCCTCTTGGCCGGCTCAGGTAAGTCGCCTACGCGAGGCCTTCGCATGACGTCACCTCCCTCAAGGTTCCTGCATGTACTGGCGACGAGTACATATGCATGTTCTCGGCTTTTTGCTGTTCGATTGTTCGGAAAAAAAGTTTTATGCATACAATGGGCCTTTGTGCCGCCAGAGCAGAAATGAATATTTTTGCCGCTCAGAGAAGTTCTCTGATATCCTCGAGGCAATAAAGTATATTATCTTTTTGAACAGCGTTGTATAAAAAATTATTATTCTGCACACGTACGGGTCGTGGCAATATGAATAGTGCAGCGGATGTGGCAACTGAGATGAGAGGACAATAATTTCTCCCGTGCTTTCGATTTCTTGTCGATAAAATTCTTCAGAAAAATCCATAATTTGCATTTAGTGTTGCAGATTAATTGAATTTTTATTACTCTCTACTAACTGTAAAATTATGCGAATAAATTGTTGTATCAATCAGATCTTGATTGATTTACAATATTCCTTTTATAGAGAAACAATCAATAGAGTTTTTTGCGCACAGATTAAATACTTAGAGTTGAATGTAGGGCATTTCGGTATAAACTTGATTTTCTGGTTGCTAAGGCTGTTCAGTTCAGCTTCCAGCTGACCATGCGGAGATATTTTGAATTTTTATTTTCAAAATCAGTCTTTCAATTAATTAATTTTAGATAATATTTATAAAATTTAAAAAACATTTCTTGGAAATATTTTTTTTTTAGGTAACGCAATTATTTGCAACATAAAAGATGAAAAAATCCAGGGTTAAATTGTTTTATAACTTGCTTTCCGAGAAACACTGTCCCAACTGTTTTTTTTTTACATGTCTCGTGACATAACGTCTTAAATGGTAATTGCAACTGGCACAGAGTAAAAAATGGCCACAGCATTGTGATTGTGCAATTAAGCCGCATCCCACACAAGCTCTTCCTTTCCACTCAAGGTCCGAGCGATTAAATGGCACATTAAGGTGAAGAGATGAAACCCACACTCTCTTCCTAGCACGTCATTTCGCTTTTCAAATATACAAAGAAGAAAAAAATGAGCCATCTTCACTATTTTACGGAATAGAAAACGTTCTAAGCTAGGTCAATTCCTGGAACACGACTTGCGAATAAAAGCTGGGAAAGAGAATCAGAATTTTTGTGGCGGGTTTCTACGGGCAAATACCTCGTTAATTGGCATCGATTTCGAATTTTGATTATATTTATGCGCAGGTGTAAAGAAAGAAAGAGATGATGGTGGTCTTACCATGCAGGAGTAGATCACAGTTGTTAGCAGTTGGGCCCTCATATCTGCGAAAGAGAAAGCACAGATCATTCAGACGCTGCTCGCAACAATAACGCGCGCTTATGTGCATTTATTTATGAGAGAGGAATTGGGTCAGATTTGTGACTATTATCGTCGTCGCGTAGCGTGCGAGCAAATTTTAAGTAAAAAAAGAAAGAAGAGGTGCTGAGTGAGCTATCAAAATGCAGATTCGACCGCGCGCTGTTGACATCACGAAAGTGAAACTGCGGAGAGACCGGAGAATGAGGCGAAACGAAAAGTGAAATTTGAGAAAAAGATGAGCATTCTTGCTAAGCGATATTAAATTTTGGTACAGCTGGTCAGTGATTTGCTATCAAATAAAAATTAAATAAAAAAATTTTATAAAACCTTGCGTGTAGAGATTTTATTAATTGAGAACAAAATTATGTTTACCTAGGCAAAAAATACATTTTTATAGATAATTATTTTTATTTAAAATGAGATTATCCGCAGAAATACTCATTAATTTGTAAGATGATTATGAGTTACAACATTAAAATTAATTATTAGCTTTCATATTAATTCACAGCATACATTAACTCCTACAACTCTAAAGCAAAAAGCAAACGCTCTATTTGTTCATTTCTGATTTACAGATGAAAGTGATAGAAATTGAGGCAATACACGATTATATATATTTTTTAAATCATCTCAAATTTGATTTGATACAAGACATTATGTCTAGAAACAATGTTGATATTCTTCAAATTAAATTTAAAAAAAAATTATTAGAAAATAAAAATTAAAAAAAGTTATAATCGATTTTAAATCATATAAAGTTTATAATAATAATTTAAAAAAGTTAATTTTTATTTTTTAAATAAGAATCTTATTTAAATATTGTTTTATTTTCTTTAAAAAATCATTATTTTGCCTTTCAGAAGCCTTTAAAAGTAAATCACCTCCACAGGAGCGAAGGCAATCAGCAGATAGGTTTGGTTCAGCAAACAACATGTTACATAAAATGCCGCCTTATGATCTGTGGGACGTCCTTCTGAATTTTTAATTGCATGCATATGAGATTCGATCAACTTAACGCTCCGTAGCATTTCCACAATTTCTGTGGGCGATTCGGAGAGAAAATGATACTCTTTTCCTCATCGAGACTAGTTGATCTTTACGCTTACAGGAATGCCCACGTATGCCTGCTGATTCAGAGCTCAACCCCCGCACGAACTTTACTTGCAAACGCTCATGGGTAAATCTCATCCAACCTTGTAGGCATACTTTAATGGAGTCGATTAATTTTTAACTGAGCGATAGCAATTAAAGTAATAATCAATAAAACTAGTCTGCAAGGGAAAAAATAACGTGAATTGTCTACTGAAATTAACCCTCCAGGAAATTATTTTTAATTAATTTAGATTATTCTTATTATAGAAACAATCTTTGATCGAAATAAAGGAATATTAAAAGAATATTTTGATAATGAACTCGAATGCTTCAAATCATTAATATTAATTTTTAACCGCTTCCTCTTGTTGTTTAAAATTTTTTGCAAAAGAATGAAAGTAACACGTCAGCCGAATGAAGAACTGCATTGTGAAAAGTCATGAAATGGTAAACGCTGAAGATTTATTGCGGAAACAAATCGCGAAATTACGCGCATAATTAGTTTGCTCGCAGAAGTAACGCCCTGGGAATTCCACGCTTCACCACAAACGTGCAACAAAGCGCGTGATTTATGGCACCTCCAAAATATTTCAAGAATAAGATAAATTCCCCAAAATAAGTTAAAAATTTTAGAAAAAAAAATGATACGCGATTATTTCGCCGAACGCAGAACCAAAATGCAATGGAAAGTAAAAGGGACCTTGAGGCGGACGGCCCACCAGCACCTGACCACTTAAGGGCGCTCACCTGCGGTTTTTCGATGACTTTTCGGCCGGTTCGTTTGAGCCACACGCGTCTCACAAATCGACGGTCACCTGTCGCACATGGACAGACGAAGGAGCCGCGCAGTCCGCCTCAAATCATGGCAAATTCGTCGTCGGCTGCACTTTCGACCGAGTGCAGATCTCCGTCCAAACAACACTCGCTCCCAAGCACAATGCAATGGCTGCGGCTGGTGAGGCTGGTCGACCTTTTCGGAGACCTGAGTGAGCGATCAAGAGGGGAGAATGACGTAGGCAGCAACAAGCGAGCCGAGCCTGAGATCTGGCGCAGGTAATCTCAGGTAGAGGGAACCACCGTACACCTGACAACTGAGCTACTTGAGTCCGCGCGAAACCCAATCAACTTATTTTCATTTGTCAAAAATTAAAATTAACTCTGAAACTAAAATTAAACTTTCTATAAGAACATGAAGCTGCTATTTTCATTTCATTAAGAATTATTTTACTCAAAAAATAAATTAAAATTAGTTTTGATGTTTTTTATATTATATAAATGTCAAAGTAAATTGATTAACGCAAAAAATTAAATTGAATTGTGTAGCTAGGAGGATTTTTGAAAAATAATTATTTGTTTGAAAGAAATCAATAGAAATTTAAAAGTCTCGGACTGAAAGGAAACTACCACTAACAAGAATTTTTCTAAAACTTCTGAAATCAAAAAGAGCTCATCCATGGCAGTGACTTAGTTTTAGTTCTAGCCACTGCTCTCTGTAGTTTTGTGTAAAATACCTATTAAAGTTTGTGTAAAAGAAAAAAAATAAATTAATTTTAGGCATTTGGATGCTAAATGATTACTTTGAAATTTTGAAAATATCTGCGAGCATAATCAATGTGGTAAAAGATATGCAACTTGCACAGCAGGAAAGTTGAGCAGGTTGCATCGTTGTAAGAATAAGGTTTCAGAACATTTGATTGCTCTGTATTTTAAAAAAAAAAGGTACAAATGGTTTATCCCAGTGAAATTTAGTTTTATAACAAGAAAAAAATCAAATCTTTTGAAAATAACATATGATACTATAATTTACAAAAACTGAAATAAATAGAAAAGATATTACAGATTGACGCTCAAAAACTCCAAAATGCCAATTATTTTCCGCTAAGAGCTCCCATGCATGACGAAATCATCCTCTTCCTGTTTGTTACTGTCCTTGATATATGATAGGTGAAGCGCCCGCCATGCTGGAAAAATTAATCAGAACACGAAAGTGCCAGAAAACCTGCACGTCTGTGGAGCGAGTGGATCAAAAACAATCCGCTGATAAATGCTGATGAAAAATATCAAATGAAATGAGAGTACTTTGGAAAGATGAGCCACGTTTCCACATTGATTGTTATTATCAGTCTGCTGGCAGGAGCCTTAATAATTGTGAGTTCTATTAGTTCTCCTATACAAGTGTTTCAAAAAACAATTAATGAAATAAATTTGCAGTTTTATGTTCATTCAGAGCGTTTTGAAGAATCGCAACTCGGAGAATATCAGCAAGATTTGAACATTATTATAAAATCTAACAGGTCTTCTAATAGAAAAGGTTCTCATTTATTTTTATTGGAAATAAACAAAATAAACATATGTAAATTTCAGCTCGAATGATTATCGAGAGCATTAGATTTGAACGGCAGACCATCCAAGAGTACAGCAGAGCAATTATTGTGCGATGCTGCGGCTACGATTCTTGCATTGACATGCCCGTGCGACACAAAAAAATAATCATCATCAAAAGGAAAAGAAAGCGGACTGTATAAAATATTCAATATTTTTTAATTCATATATATTTAATTTGGCCAATAACTTTCATTAGACTACGCAGACAGTAGAAGGCGGAGAGGGAGAAACAACAACGCCAGGGGAAGAAGAGTCCACCACTGAGGAAGAAACGACAGCGGAAAGCGATACCACCCCTTCCGTAGATTCAACAGTGTCGGAGGAGAGCACAACGCTCGACCCCAACAGTACCACTACAATAGATCCAAACTCCACGACCACTTTTAACCCAAACTCTACTATACAACCCAACTCCACGCTTGCCCCTAACGCAACCACCAACATGATCAATTTAACAAGCACCACTGTAAATAAAAATATGACAACTGTGAGCACCACTGCAAAGCTGAATGCGACAACTGTGAGCACCACTATGACGACGCAGAAATTAACCTCAACCACCACTAGTAATGTGACAACCACCCAAACGGTAACCGCTACCAACAGTACAAACACCACAACTGTTTCTACTACACCGATTCGTATGATTCACCATTTGAAATTTTTATTCATTGAAAAGTTATTTTTACTTTAAAGCGAACAATTGTTCTTCGGAGACTTGTCCAGCAATCAACTGTTCTGTCGCCAACCCTAACCCAAGCACCGGCGTAATTTGCCTCTCTCTTATACGCATTTCCGTGTTCTAAATACCTTTTTAAACGCAGGAAAATTTGTTGATTCAGGTTTTGAAAGGAAACGGCAAGCGCAAATTTTTTTTTTTTTTTTTTCACAAAAATAATCATTGAAAAAAATTGGCAGCTATTCCATCAAGAATGATATTCAGTACGCAAGAAACGTGTAACAGGGTTTACAAAATCGTTGGAGGGTCTGCTGAGGTGACTTTTAGTTTAATTTATTTTTTAATTATTCTATTCTCATTTTTAAAGGCCGATTTTGAGTCTGCTATAAGAATATGCTGTCTCTTGCAAATGAAAGTGCTTTTTCTGGACAGTAGTGACAAAATCAGCTGCATTTCTAGCATGCTCAATAGTAAAAAAAATTATTATAGATAATTTAAATATAAATTAAAGGCGTCATGAAGTCCCATTTTAATTAAGTGTTTTTTAAAGGCATGCGTAGCACGTCGTGGTATGTGTGGACAAGCGCGAGAAGAAGAAACTGCAACAGCACATTTGCTTGGTGTCCGCAGGGAGCGTCAAATCCAGTGAACAATACTTTGTGGTCTCCTGGCTTTCCAGTCGCGTACAATTATACTGTTCATGGAAGCCTAGCGCCTGATTGCGCCAGCTTGAACATAGAATACGTCAACAACACGGGGGTCACAACTTTTGAAAACTCGGCCTGCGATTTCATGAACACAGTCGTGTGCGAGGTAAGATTTAAAAATTTGTTAATTTAAAATATTTAAACTCATAATTGTGTTAATTTTTAGAACTAGAAGGAATTCAAATCGATCTGACTCACAATAAGTTATTCTTAAGTAAAAACATATTTATTCATCACATTTTTAAATATATTCTCAATTTTTTTAAGGATGCACACACATTTTTTTCTTTTACATTAGATTACTGTATATATAATGTAAATAAAGAGTCTTATGACAAGTCGTAATTTTAGTCAACTTACGTTATTTTTCCATTTTAAAAATCTTTACAAAAACACGACACAATTTTATTTTTCCTTATAAATCTTACACTACGCATATTTCCTTGGATTCAGCGCCAGCGTCAAACTTGTATCTTCAGGGTTCACCTTCCTTATTAAGAAATCGTAGAAAAACATGTTGAGAGGCCGGGTGTAGTGAAACGAGATTGCGCTGCTGGAGCAACATCCAACATAAGGACCAGGCTAAAAAAGGGATATATATTTTCACAGCAAAAGATATTTGTATAAAATTCAAACTTTTTGAGCGGTGGACTTGTACAGCTGGTACCTCCAGTAGAAATTGTCCGTTTCACCCCAAACACTACTTCTGATTATGCCCGAGTGCTGCGAAAATCTGTTCTGACCTAAGTGGTCCCTCGAGTCAATCGCCGACACATTGGCGTGTATCAAACAGTGGGCTAATATTTTAGTTTTAGATTTTTTTTCCTTGAATTTCATAAATTTTAGATATTGATTACAAATGAAGGGGTCCTCTTCGGACGTGGGTTTTACTCTACTGCAGCCAACTTCTTCGTCAGAACGGGGATCGTTGAGCAAGTCAATGAACTTTTGGACGCCCACCCTACTGAGTACGTAGCCTCCACCGCCAGCCATGTAAATCTGGTCATAGGGACTGCGTAACTGCTCGCCGAAAAACAAAGGCGCCTCAGGACTGAAGCCCAAAAGGAAGTTTCGCAATGAGTCAACATTTACAAATCTGAATAAAAATCAAATAAAAAATAAGGAAAAAATGAGAAATTAGAAGAAGAAAATGTATACGTATCGTCGTCAGCTTTAATGATCCAGTCGTACTGGCCACTGTAATTCGAATGCATGTAGCGAAAAGCTTTCTTGACCTTATCCCACAAGCCCGATCGCCCTGATTTAGCGTTGACCTTCACCACTGGCAGGCTGTCGTCTCCTTAAAATTGGTTTTTCCACTTGTAATTACGTAAAAATAAAAAAATGAATTTTGAGTTAATACTGCGTGTGCCGTCGCTGATGAAAACGAGACGGTTGCAGTGCCTGCCCCAGGAATATCTTATGTACTGCGCCTTTGAATTATGGTTGTTAGGGTGGGTCATTACAAAGCACAGCACCCTGATGCGCGACGCCAAGTGCTCTTGGTGTGTGCGCCAAAGTCCTAAAATTTATAATAAAAATAATAGTATTATAAAATCTTAGGTGAGCAGTTCTTACTTTTTCGGAAGGTTTTTGGAAGGTCTTTGATCTCCTGCAAGTATGAGACCACTTTTTGAGCGTGGCTCAAAACATAACTGAAAGCAATAATAAAAAAATTATCACTAAAAAACATTATTGATCCATTTACTTTTCTTCTGATTGTGAGTTGCGACTTTTTTCAGTTGTGAAAATTGAAAAAATTGCACCGATGGTAAAGCCAATGAGAAAATATGAACACATGTCGCGCTGAACGACCATTTTCAATTTTGGTTTGTTTGGCACTGCTGCGATTGATGATGAGAGCGGAATACTGTCACGAAACAAAAAAGGAGGATATGTGACAGAAATGTAGGTCGGTCGGGGACCACGAGCAATAACCAGAGAGAAAATATATAAATATTTATTTACTCTGCTTGCAACTGAGCAAGGATATTGTGAAATTTTTTCTGCACAATATTTTTAATTTATATTAATATTAATTATCAAAAACACTGAAAAAACCTTTGCACCTTCTCGGCAACCTGAAACTCATACACGTCGAGCTGGTTGCATAGCTATCAATGGCAGGGGCTTTAAAATGCGTTATAATATTATTAAGTACAAACGTATTGAGCAGAGAAGTTTCCTCTGTTTATGATAAGTAGTATAAATAAAAGTTAACAACAACATGCTATATTATTTTGTTATAATTAATCCAAACATGCCTTCAATATATTATCTTATTTTCAAGATACCTAACAATAAGTTAAATTAAAACCTTTTTAAATTGTGAAGTTATTTTAATAATTAATATAGGAAATGATCAATGAGACTAAAAATAAAACCTTTAGAATAATTAGCATAATAATTGAATCATTAAGATTCATTATTTTATTATACAGAATTCTTTATTAAAATTTCGTATCAACAAATTTTTTTCCAAGAAGCAAGTAGCTGAAATTGAAAAATGTAGCACATGATAATAAAAAAACAAAATTTCCACGATGAGCACGCAGTATGAGATTTGTTATTATTTTTATTTTTCTCATTGACGTAGCTCTCGTGATCAGGAAAGTTCGCATCAAATTTCATAAAGTAGCCCGGAGCAACTCTTTAGACACGACTGGCAGGTTCGCCGCGAGTCGCCGGGGCAATTTGCGCGCGACGTGGTTTCTTCAGATAAGGCTCGCCGCTGGGCCAATGGTGAGCAGTTTCTCTCGCGAGCGCCCGACCACCTCTTGCCGTGTATAAAAGCTGCGTGGCTCAGGAAAAAAGGAATCACATCTCGCCGAATTTGCCAGCGTTGTGATGTTTTTCAAAACGTGTGCCCTCATACTCGTCGTCGCTGCCATGGCTCAAGGTAAATAAACAAAAATATTTATTTGTTTTCCTAAATTTGGCGACATAAAAATATAAAAATGATGGTGATAAAATAATATTTATAAAATTTAATTTGTATCTAAAAAATGTTTCATTTTGCGTTTTAGGCAAGCCTCAGAGCTACAGCTCGAGCAGCAGCAGCTCGTCCAGCTCGTCCGGCGGTCCTGTCTACTTCGGTGGTGGATCATCTTCCAACTCGTTCTCCTCCGGTGGCCAGGGATTCCCCGGTGCCAACTTCCAGTCCTTCGGCTTCCCTGAGTAAGAAATAACTGCGCCTAATTTTTTTCCGTTTAACTCGTTGTTCTTTCTCTCTCGTCGTGCGTGTTCAGCTTTGGTGGGTTTGGATTTGCAGGCGGATTTCCTCAATATCCGCAACAGTTCCAATCGTTTGGATTTGGCGAGTAAGAATAAAAAGAATTTCAATACTAGTAGTGCAAATAGAAACAAATTGCGGATTCTAAAACTTTTCGTTTCGCCTCTCTCTCCTTACCATTCTTTCATTTTCAATATATTTGTGTGAAAAAATTCAAACAAAAAATATCAGGTCACGGGCACAAAATCTTCCATCTATTCTCTGTCCTCTCTTATTTAATATTTTGTAATACACATATTTGTTTTGGGATCTTTGGGTCAAGGGTCCAGTTTCTCACGAAATAAGGTTGTTATTATTTTTCCTCGTTGAATAAAATTAGTCGATAGGGAAAATGACAACAACTACATCGAAGGGCACGCACACAATTTTTTAGTCATTTTACGCACCTGGTGTGCGGTGCCCTGTTTGTTGTGGCGGCGAGGAGTTGCTAAGAGGCTTTTCAAGGCTGTGAGCGTCACCGCTGCATGAGGAAAACCATCATCAATTTCATTACCTGAGCGCTGCGAATTTTAAAATTATTCTTTGCATTCCGACACGGCCGATGGGTTTTCCGAAGGGCAAGGTGAAGGAGTTTTAAGAGATTAGGCCCTAATTAATATGCTTGGACGTTTGTGAAAACAAAAATATTTTTCATTGTTATAATGATAATGACTCTCGAGAAGTCGAGAAGTTCGTCGCCCTTTTTGATTGACAAAATGTGTGGCGCACGCGGTTTTAGACAGGAAATCCACTTCCCAAACCAAATATAATAAAATCTCTCTATCTTTTTTTGCATGTTGACCGCTTTTAAAATTATTCAAACACACAAATATGTTCATATTTACTTATAATAGCTAAATTGTTTCTTAAAGCTATGGCGGTGACCTCGGCGTGAGGCTCGGATCCGGACCCGGCGTTCAATCGGTGCATGTCGGCGCCAGCCAGCAAAACGTTGGAAACGGAGGCTCCTACTCTTCCTCAAGCTCTGGAATTGACAGCAACGGAAACGTCCACTTCCACGCTGAGAAGGGCAAATTTTAGTCTTGAAAAGCGATCTTGAATTGTGGTGCGTGCGTATGAATGAATCTCACTTGATGGTACAACGTTAAGATAATTAGCCATTAACCATTAGTCTTTGGTGTAAGCTAATCACAAAAATAAAACTCATATTATTTATATACAATTTTAATGTAGCATAGTTTTCTTTCCGCATTTGCCGCTTCAAGACAAAAGATATTTTTCATCTCTTTTACGCACAACTTTTCATAATGAACATCGTAATTACTATAGTTATAAAGCGTAATAAAGCACAGGCGGTTGCTTAAATATGACGTCAGTGGTGACCTCAGCAATGAGCACTTAAAAAACAGACGCTGGAAATCACAACGTTGTATTTTAGAAACCAGTTTTTAATTAGTGCTGCCGTCATTTGAATGATTGGTGAACTCTCTGACATTATAAATTTCTGCAAAGATAAATTTAAATTGTTTGCAAATAATAATTTTACATGCAGATACATGTTAAAATAATCTACTAGTGGTCTTTATTGAGGTTACTGACCATTGCTTTGAAAGTAGTTTAAATTTCTTTCTTCGTTGTCGGTGCTGACGCATTGAGTAAATTTGCAAGTACATACTCATGAAGTAGTGGTTCCAACTTTGCGATTTAATTTATCAAAGATGTGTGCAGAAACTGGTTTTTGCGTTTAGAAAGTTTATATATTTAGGCACATAGTACTTTCGTGGATAATGATTCGCAAGAGAAACTTCCTGCTCAACAATATACAGAGCGATGAGCGATATATTAGAAATTGAAAGTCTCTGATGTTAAAAAATATGCAAAATAAAGGACATTATGCGAGAGAAGAATGGTTTTCGGTCATTGAAATCTCTTATTTTAGAAGTTAATTTTAATTGTATGCAATCAACTTCAAAATTAAAATGCAGTTTTTGTATTGGTTTTGAAATATTTTTTGTTTGTTTATTGTTTATTATTTTCAATATAATATAAATCAGTTTACATATAAGTTATATCAATTTGTTGTTAAAATCAACTTCACCACTTGCTGCTTATCCACCATAGCCAGCTCCAAAATAGCCACCTGAAATTTATGTTCATTATTAGCTTATAAGACTTCAGATTAAATTATACTGCTATATATCAGAATTAAGCTTACAATATTATTTTAAATCAACCATAATTAAATAAAAAATCTAAAATTCTATTTTTATTTGGAAAATAATCAAATTCCTAAAAATTATGCATCTAAATCTTACTCGAGGACGACGCCGAGGCGCTGCTGCTACTGCCAGAAAAACCTCCACCTCCAAATCCGCCGCCTGCATATTAATAAATAAAAAATATATAATAATGATAATAATAACAATTATGTATTATATAATACTGATGGCTTGGACGGAATAAAAAAAAATTATAAAAAATTATTGTATGGACTTACCACCGTGTCCTCCCTGCAGACCACCGTGACCCTGAGAACCTCCTCCGTGACCAAAACCTCCTCCGTTAACAGCTCCATGACCTCCCCTATGGGGTGCCGCTCCACCAAAGCCGCCTCCGTTTGCTGCACCAAAGGCGCCTCCGCTTGCTCCACCAAAGCTTCCACCTTGCGCTCCTGCCAAGCCGCCTCCGTGCGCTCCTCCTAGGTTTCCACCGCCAAGTCCACCTCCATAACCTCCTGCGTGTCCACCTCCAGCAGCATTTCCGTAAGGCACGGCTTGAATTCCACCTCCAGGACTCGCGTGGCCAACAATACCAGAGTGTTCACCGCCTCCATAGCCGCCGCCGTGAGCGCCTGCACCTCCGAGGCCACCTCCAAAGCTGCCTCCATGCGCACCTCCCAGACCGCCTCCATGTGAACCTCCTAGACCGCCGCCTTTAGCGAAACCGCCATGGCCGCCGCCTCCGTGTCCAATTCCTCCGCCCGGGTATCCACCACCGCCTCCAATTGCTAGAGACGAAGCGGAGGCCTGTGCATTGGAGGCCGCGATGCCGCCTCCTCCACCTCCTCCATAATGGCTTCTGTAGGTTCTATATGGAGCTGATGAATATGTAAAAAAAATTTATAAATTAGAAACAGTTGAAATTTTTATTTAAAAAAAAAGAATGAAAAGAAAAAGTAATTAACTTACTCGCAAGCACTGCCGCAGAGGCAAAAAGCAGTGTGAAAAGAAGTGGCGACCTGATGATGTCCATCGTGCAAATCATGGCGACGATCCGTTCGGTCGTGCCTTTTATATGGACGAGTTAACCTGGCCTTGGTTTGTGCCACCCCTGAAGGAGGTGGAGGAGGACAACTAACTGGTTGCTTTGATGGCAGCGGGAGATCGAAAAGTACAATCAAAAGAAGATACTGGGGAATTCTCATCTCATCGCGTTTTTTTTCTTTCAGTAACAAGCAGCTTTGAATTCAGTCGTGCATTGCCGAGTTTTCCTCGTTCGCTTTTTTACTCTTTTTGCTTTAAGCGTCATACCGCAAAGCGTTGGAGGAGAATTTAAGTGAGATTTAAAATAAATTGCTTCCAGCGGTCGCTTCCACACTATATACAATATTATTGTATGTAAAATATAGAGCGCTACAAATTATAGGGTTTAATAAATTTATACAGTTAATTCTTTCCATGGCACACATGATTTTTATTGCAGTCGGTGTAATAAACAAAATTATTTTATTCCAAAACTGCACTGCCGCTGATCACAGGTATAATTTCTAAAGGCAGCTCCCAACAAGTGAAATTCATAGGATGTCGATTGCGGATAAGTCTATTGAAAAATCAGGAAAAAAAAATTTTTCTTAGATTTAAATGTTGATTAAAAATAGATACATTTATAGAAAGTTTCAAACTCAAAATAATTTTAATAAATAAAATAATAATATATTGATTTTAAGTATCTGAATTTTAAATTTTGTAAATTTCCTTTCAATGTCGATAACTTACTTTTTGCTCCTTTTAGCCAAGGGTGAGTCCAATGTCGGCGCCAGTTCCAAGCCCTAAACCTAGGCCAAGGCCCAAGCCACCCTGTCCCTTGGTGGTATGACCCCCTTTCACCCCACCTCCAAATGTGCCAGCATTGCTAAAGCTGCCACTGGAAGAACTAGAGTAGCTCCCTGCGCCTCCCAACGCGCCCGATCCACCAAAACTGCCCGAGCTGCTTTGAGACCCAGCTACACTACCTGACCCAAAACCACCTTTCGAGATTGTCCCACTAGAACTTTGAGAGCTCGCTTGCGAAGCGCTGCCCGAGAGGCCCAAAAGGCCACCAAGGTTTAAACCGCCGCTCGCACTTTGAGCAGAAGCGGAACTTTGGGACTGGGACGCTCCTCCTGAGTGACCCAAACCTCCACTCCCACTTTGAGCACTGGCACCACTTTGGGATGAACTTCCGGCCAGACCACCCCCTAAGCCTAAACCCAATGTTCCGCTAGAGCTTTGCGATTCAGCTCCACTTGCAGAGGCGCCTCCTGAATGTCCCAAACCCCCAGAGTGTCCCAAACTAGCAGCGTTGCTCCCGCTGGCACTTTGCGCTGCAGCCCCAGAAGCCCCACCGGCGAGTCCCAAACCGAGGTCCAACCCTGCACCACCGTTATGCGACCCTGCAGATGGACCTCCTGAATTTCCTAAACCTCCTGCGTGTCCCGAGCCACCCGAGTGTCCCAAACTGGCAGCGTTGCTTTCACTGGCGCTTTGAGCTGCGGCCCCCGAAGCCCCCCCTACGCCACCCCCATGAGACGCGCCTCCTGAATGTCCAATTTCTGCACCGTGGGCGCCAGAGTGAGAAGCACCCCCATTAAGTCCCAATCCTACGTCTAAACCGGAACTTTGTGAAGAGGCCCCACTTAGAGAGTCGCTTCCCGTAACCACACCGTTACTGCTGCCCCCGTAGCCCAGAGCAGGCTTCGTCAACCCTTCTTTCGAGCCAACTGCACCGATATTAACCCCTCCTGCAATCCCACCCACATGAGAGTGTCCTGAACCACCCTCATTAATATTTTCGTTGTGTCCCGAATGCGACCCTCCACCCAAATTAGTATTTCCGGCTCCTGACTGTGCGCCACTGTTAGCCGCAGACGCTGCCCCTGAACCCCCAACGGTGAGAGATTCAGCCCCAGCCTGTGCTTTGCTGGCACTTCCGCTTAAGTCCAACCCCAAACCACCCCCTATCGCACCGCCAGCTAGACTGGCAGCGTTTGCTCCGGCGTTAGATGTAACTTCTCCACCCCTCGCAGCATCAGCTCCACCAAGGTGGCACCCTTCCAACCCACTGGACCCTCTCACCCCTCCTTGACCCTTAACCCCACCTTTCTTATGGTGACCCAGGCCAAGACCCACTCCTAGGGAGGCGGAACCGGCAGCAGACGACGAACCGGCGGCGCCATAAGGGGTTCCCCGGGCTAGCCGCAACAGAGGGATGTTTTCAGGGAAGTATGCTCCCATCGTGTATCCATTCACTTTTAAAGTGCGAGGTAAAAATTAGTAAGTAATAAAAATTATAAAGAAAAATAAAATATACCGATCGTTGTGGCGGAGCACAGTGCGACGAGCAGCAGCAGATTTTGCCAGGCCATGGTTGCTTTTTGACGCGGCTTTGCAAGTTGGGCACTTTATATAGCCAAGCACCAAGGCCCCTTTGAATAATGCCACCCCTGGAAGGAGGAGTTGAACAGTTTTTTCCGCGATAAATAAGTCAACGCATATACAATATTCAGTTTCATCTTCGCAAGTACAATTCGTGTATGTTTTCCTCCTGCGTGACTTGGATGTAAAGTAATGATCGCGCCTTTTGTCAGGTAGCTGCGATTCAACAATTTCTGGGCACACAGACGTGTTAAAAGGAACATGACTTGCACAGACAAATTCGGTAGTAATGAGAGCTACCAAAAAAAGATAATGTCAAGAACCTGAGTTTTTTTTATTGAAAATTGAGGGAAAAAAATGTATTGCTCGTCTTCCGCAAGATTGTTGAGTACTTGCGAATTGGAATTTGAAAATACTCTCAAGTAACAGAGGTGCTCTGAATTATGCATGAAATCACTGGCAGACGGACAAAAGATATTGTTCAGAAGACACCGTAAAGAGCACAATCGATTGAGAGGCGGCGTCCAAAATAAGGAAAAACCCATGAGAAAATCAAGATGCAAGGTAATTACATTATTTTGTACAACGCTGCTTGTTGTTGTGATTGGTACCGATAAGAAACAAGTTTGCCAAAGCTGTTGACGTCATATGGGCTCAATAAAAAAAATATATAATAAATATCAACCAGATTGTTCTTTATATTGCTGAAATTCATTGCGATTATAGAGTCCATGCTTCGTTTCCCTTTCAAAGTTGTAAAATGACGCGGTCAAGAAATAATCTCTCGAAAACAGAAAGCATTAAATGTTCTTTCTCACTGCAGAAAGCCATGATAGATTCTGTTGCTCCTACGCCGACATTAAATATTGCGGCGGCCGTGAACTTGGCTGGGTTCTCCCACAATAGTGCCTCCACCACCGCCTCATGTTTTCTACCTGCACTGTAATCACATCTGAGTCGTGACTGTGATGCGCGGCCGGTGAGCCTCAAGGGCGATTCTACGAAATATACACGCTGGTGGAACAGCATCTTGATTTTGTTTCAGCAAAATATTGCACACCTCTGTCTTTTCATTCTGCTCTTCTAATCAAATTTAAATCATCACACTTTGCAATACCTCATTATTAATTAATTGTGTTCTAACCCCTTTGTGCGATACACATTCTGGAGAATTCTTTATGCCCGCAGCGTTTTAAACATTTTAATTTAATAAATAAAACGTTGAACTTTCAGAGTTTAAAATTACTAGATATCTTCCATAGTTTATATCTTGACCACGAGAGATAAAGTTCAGCATCTTATTGGGATGTTTGTTTCAAAAGCTTTACAAAATTGTCCCAGCAGGTCGAGTGAAACCACGCAAGGAAACTGTGGTCAAAGAAGTCAAGAAATCCAAATTTAAAGAAAGGACATTAGCCTTAAAATTTATCTGGTTACCAGATTGTGGTTAATGAATTTTGTCATCATATCATTAAAATTAAATTCACCATTTTTGCCCATGTGAGCTACTAAGGAAAATTTAGGGACTTGCAGATAAAAATAAGCAATATTGTTTCCTCGACAATCAAATTAAACTTTATTGGAGCTCCAATAGACAAACATTTGAAAGTACCTTGCCTATAAAAATTAACTACATCAAATAAAAATGTAAATCAAACGATTTTGATTTTTTATATTTAAATAACTTGAGTTGAAATATCTTCATTTTGAAATAAAATATTTAAATATAACACAAAGAATATCTTATTGTTAAATTATTTGAATTAAAGTTTGCAATCAACTTGAACTAGTACTTTGATGGTTACCATTTATTAGGTGACAGTATAGGATGCCATTTAAAAAAATGAAAGCAAGTGTACTGGCTTATATCTCTACGACTACTGAATGAAAATCAAAACCCTTTTCTACCTTTACTGACGGCAAACTTCATTTTGAGTTGAAAGTCATGTTGGTGGTGAACAAAACCTTTGGCTTTTTCTTCTTTCGCTTTGACTGCCCAGATTCTTGAGCTAGATAGAAAGCAAATAATAAGCAGGGTTTTCTCATATTTAATTTTGCAAGTACCTTCAATGTCAGCACCAGAACTTTCAACTTGCTGCAAAGCCATCATGATCGAGTCTCCAAAGCTTTGAGCAAATGATGGTGGTGGAAGCGAACCCTCCAAATCATGTGCTTTATCTTCATCAGAAGCCATGTCAATTTTCTTTGATGTTGGTGCAACTGGGTTGAGTTTGCGACCCGTCTGTACCTTCAACATCTGTAACAGAAAAGCAAACAAATTAATTGTTTTTGCAAAAGCAATATTTGTATTAAAAGAAATGTATAATGTAAGTAAGATAAGTTCTTACCTGAGAGAAGGAAGGACCGGAAGGAACACTAGGGGAAACTGACAGCGCTTCCATTTCTTCCATAAGCGGCATGAAAGACGGATCATCTCTAGTACTGCATTCTGGGAAGTGATCAAGGGACTCGATGGAAACATTCGGCATCGGGTACTTTCCCATTCGTTTGTTCTCCTCTTCCAAGTTGCGTTTCTCAATTCTGCGCTCCTTCCTAGCCCTTTGCTGCCGTTTCTTCTTGCGCGTGTCAACCTGCTCTCTGAAAAACTCCAGCGTTTGCTTGCAGACAACCGGCGGTCTAAATTCCAACTCGACTATTTCAAACTGGCACGTGACCGGAAGATGCTGAAGGTAGCGCAGCCGGTGTCTCATCTCTAGTGTCATCGACTCGGCATCCTTTTCAACGATCAGCCCTTTGATGACAGTCGGCGATTCAGCAAGACTTCCATACATGTGCTCCAACATATGCACATTCAACGCGTGCAAATACACTTGCTGTCCATCTTCAGCTTGGTAGAAGTAGTAGAATTTGCGGCTTTCATCTCTACCTTGCAACGGGAAACAAGCATCGTCATCGTCAGTACTTCCTGACTTAAAGCTCATTTCGCTATTTGGTAAAGATCGCGAATAGCTAAGAATTAAAAATAAAAATTAATATTCTTCTAATCTAAGGACATAACACATACTTTTCATCTCTGAGAGACGCATTTGAAGCTTCGTCCAAATAGTTGCCTTCCTCAACTTGTGCGGTAGCTATGTTCATTGGCTGATTTGAGTTCTGAAATGAAAATAAAAATCAAAATGATGATGATGTGTAACAGAAGAGTGAAGTACCTCAGTAGTAACAAGAGTTTTGCGTTGCTGCAGCAAGTCCATTGCTTGCATTGTGAAGCATTGCTCAGGACATTGCTCTTCAGAAATGAATCGTTCTTGCAATTCCAAACCTTCATTTTTGAGGATATCCAGTACCTGAATGCAAATTTTGATTTAGATTTTTAATTTTACATTTAGAAGGGTGGAGAAAATTATGAGGGAAAAACTTCAACTTTTATAGGCAACAAGATATTTGTCTGCAAGCTGCTTTTACCACAGCAATGAACAAGGAGTGGAGAATAAAGAAGCTTGCAATTACTTTACCAACGACAAATTATCAAACTAAGGTTAAACCCTAGAGTGTACTCAACTCGTTGGACGGAATTCTACATGTTAAATAATTAATTTGTGAGAAATGTAAACAGCACCACACCTCATTGGGTTTGGCAAAAATCAATTTGCAGAAATGTCCCTCTATTCCTTTAGTAGTTTCAGAGCTGTCCTCCACGGGTTGCACAGCAGTGGATCCCTTTTCACGTCTCATCAATCTCAGTTTGACAATGTCACCAACCTTCAGCTCTTGCAGATACACAGCCTCAACACTGATGAAAAAAATATTAAACACAAATATAAAAATTGTACACTCATTACCTTTTCAGGTCATCACTTTTCACATTTTCGTAACAGATTGGGCACTTGCGGGATGACTTTTCACCCAAAGCCAGGTAATGCAGCATGCATGGCCAGCAGTAAACATGACCGCACTTCGTCATCCGCGCAGCTGTAGGTTTACATAGGCAGATGGGACATGACAACTCGGCTGACGTCAAAACTCGCTAATAAAGTTTTGCAATTAAAAATTTAAATTTTACAAACAAAATTCTTACGATTTGTTCGATAGAATCCCATTGCACTAAGGCATCAGCGTCATTTAGGTGCTTGCTGTAGTCTTCTCCTGCTTTCACAACAAACTGACAACTGAACAAAGAGTTATGAGTTATGGAGAAAAAAATTCAATTTTAATAAAATCACTTTGCTTGTAGAAACTGCTCCTTATTGAATCTATGAGGCCCATTTTTGTAGTGGTGTCCACGAATATCTGAGCTCCTCTGTGCATCTTTTGGAGCATAGTGGAAATTCAAAAGATGGTTCAAGTTGACCTTCTTCCTTTCCGGATACAAGAGCAAGTCAAAGTCATCTGTGCGCTCCTTTACCTAATCAAAGATTAAATTATTATGTTAGAAGTAGAAATATATAATTTTAAATCAATAAAACAAACCTGGGAATCCTCCTTTCTATCATCATTATACTGACTGCGAGGCTTTGGTCTCTTATCAAAGGCTTTGCCCCTTCTGTGAAACGATTCATTCTTGGGCAGGGCAGGTTGATTGCCTTCTCGTTTGCGGGGACCTTTGTTGAAGCCTTTAGACGTGCTGGTTCCATCTGGAAAAAAGCCAAGAGACTCATTAAAATTTGTGATAAGATTCATGATGATAACAATTATGCAAGTTATAAAGGGGCCAATTTGAAAATTTTAATTTTGATTTATGCAACTTTGAGCCCAAATTTGAAACATTGAAGTTGCAAAGTTAGCATAAATCATCAAAAATTTGACAAGACAATTTAAAGAGTATTTATTGAACACAACTAGGAGTGTTTATGACAATTTATGTAATTAAAAAAGTCTTAACAATTTATAATTTTTCAGGCTCTCATGACTCCCATATTTTTGGAGACGTTTAAAATCATAAAAAGAATAAGATTAAGATGAGGTTGTTTGGAACTTTTTGTTTGTAATTGCATTAGTGATGGGCACCTTGAATTTTCTTGCAGTCAGAATTACTGGAGCTCTGTTTAGCCGGAGTGAGATTCGACCATGTTGATTTCTTGTCCATCTTGAAGTGTACTCCAGTCAAACAAAGCGATAACAATAGTTGAGGAATAAGCCCCTCCGCACGGAGTCAAACCAGAATTTTTGAAAGGCAACATTTCAGTAAGCCATGATCGAACACCGCGCAGGAGAAAAATTCAAAATATTCTTTCGTCTGTGAGGTTGTTTTGAAAATGGTCGGGTTGGGAGCCTACGACGATGGCGTGTCGAAATTGGGGCTTTGTGCTCTGCGTGCGGAACGTAGGCTGCAGTGTCAGTCACCGCAGTCTAGACGAATCAACTGGAAATTTTTACGATTCCCGAGAAGCGAGGGTGCAAAGCGGAAAAGCGCAAGAGGGTTTTGATAGACCGAAAAGGCCCGCAGTGTCCGGTCGTCCACGTTCAGTCCCGGGTGGCGGAACTATCTCGTTATCTCTGAGCAGCAGGCAGAACCGCTGTGGTGGGGGAAATTTTGTATGTTTTTGTCACTTTTTGCAGCTGACAAGTGTTATACTCGCGACACCAGCGCTGAAAGTTGGCCGAAAGGTTACTTTAAATTGGCAAGAGTTACGGAAGGGAGTTAAAAATTGTAAGACAAAAAAACCAAAAATTCAAACATCTGAAACAAATAAAATACCTAAAAATGCTACCAATAAACTAAAATTATTCAATTATGGTAAAATACAGATCAATTAAGAACAAATATACTTGCTTTTTAAAACTTTTAATAGAATTTTACGGTTGGGGAAAAGCAAACTCCTTACTACACACCCCACCAAAGGCAGCCATCAGCGACAGAAAGTAGTGCGTGGGAGGTATCAGAAGTGCCTTCCATTTGCATCCATAGGGAACGAGACTCGTGATTGCGTTGCGAGGTGCGGCTGCGGAGCGGCATGCGGCGCGGCACTACTTGATTGCAGAGTTGGTGTATTATTCCGCCGATCACGAATCACTTCACATTTTCTTCCTTTGCATAGAGATCAGAGACATCGGCATAGGGGCGGTAGTAATATCAGAGATAGGATTATCGCCCTCAAAACGCGAGGATAGGCGCATTGGGCAGCTAATATTGGATTAATTCGCTGCGGTAAGTGCTGATTTTGTTTGTTTCATCGAATTCTTTTGTGTCAAAGACTCGGCCGACGAGCTGCTCCCCTTTTAAAAAATGCAGTCGCTCACGCCCAACTAGGGCTCCGCTGCTTTCCACCCCAGGGTCGCGGTCGCCCTTGGCTGGGCCAGATCGATAAAAGTGCAGATTTTATTCGTGAAAAATGTGCTGATACGCCTGTTTATTGAATTTGGTGCATTGCGACTGCTTCCAAACATCTTTCGGTATGTGGGCGTTGTCCCTCGGCCTGTCGGCAAAAAAATGCTGCAGGAAACTGCACCAGACGTCTTGGCAACCCCGAGTTTGCGGCATTTAACCACCGCTAAGGTTACATCTGAGTTCATTATCGTCGATGAGTTCTTATTTGGACCCACTTGCGTTGCGATTTTTTTCGAATTCCGCTGTCAAAAGTTGATTAAAAATACATGTAGACGCGTCGAGACTAATTTGACAATTTAGGACTTGTCGCGTCATGGATGAATAAAAACGAGCCTTTTCGGGACCAGTTTAATCTGCAGTGAATTTAAACGTGTTCAGGTCAGCTCGACCTATTATTTAATTTCGTTATTTTCTGGCCATTAAGACAATTTAAATAATATTTATGCAAATCTCCTGTCAGGTCAACAAGGTTCCAGGCGCAAATAAAAGTAGATCTCGCGTCGAATGAGGATTTTCCGTTGTAATGCGGGTAATTCAAACAATTCTATCCTTTTTAATATTCTGAATTTGTCAGCAGGTAGCAGAAAATATTTCAAATTCTTACTGGTTTTTAACCCTACTATATATTGTGAAGGGGGCTTTAAACACGCAAGGTGCATTTTTTGTGCTTAGGATAGGATTGATTATTATATTCTTGGAAATTCAACCCGTTTGATCTACTTTAAGTTATCATTATTTCTGAGACTGCGTCTAATATTGATAGGGTAATAGTATTTTGAAAGTGTTTTGAAGGAGAAGAAAAAAAATATAAAGCTTTTGCTTGCTACAAGTAAAAAAATAAATGAATCGCTAAATTGTTTCTGCTCTTATTGTTAAAATAATTTTTAAACCCCTCTTTAAAATAAAGAAGATTTATTGGCGCCAACATTCATGCAAAGAAGAAAAAAAAATTTATTGCACTGTTTGCTTTTGTCGCTAGCACCATTCTTATAGCACTCTTAAAGTACGCTTAAATGAGCAGCCTTCTCGTGGTCCCCTAATTACAATTCGCATGGTGGAATACTGGGAATAATAATAGTACCGTACGATTGAACGGATCTTTAAATAAGCGAGAAGTACATTATTGAGACTGGGAACCGTCGGGAAAGAAGAGCTGTAGACCAATTCTTTACTTTCATTTTTCTGCGGTTCTTTATGTGAGGCTTAAATAAAACGTCTGCCCAATATTATTTGGTGAGATTATAAAAGACTCGTCTTCTCATGGTATCAAATTACAAGTAGTGCCACTTATGTGCACAGTGATAGTGAGAATTAGGGAGTGTACTGTGGAGGCAAACAGATTCAAGTTCATCTTTTGTATAGTGCAAGCCGAGCTAATTAATCGCGCCGTGAGTGAATTGACATTTTGCTTGGCCCTAAAAGTCAATATGTTGTATTCGCAAGTGACATTTCACAAAATAAACAGGAAATTTGGTCAGATAAAAGGAAAAAATTCATTATGATAAATATTAATTTTACATGAACATGTTTTATCTAAATATAAATTAAAGCAGTGCGTTTTGAATAAAGTTCATATTTCTGTAAGATGAGTCTTTTCTTGTAAACCGGTTGCTTTTGTTTCGGCAAACTAAGTTAATTTTGATACCGCACAAGTTTGTTTTATGAACAGCATAAAAAGCTGGCCGCTTTCAGTTGACTCATCCCGCGCCATTCCATTGTTTCCTTGACCTTTACACATGACTTTAGGAGTCATTTTGACTCATCCTGAGCACCAAATTGGGCGTTGGTTACTTGCATTTTTATTTTATCGCGTTTCAAAAATTGTGATGCGCCAACGCTTTGCAAAAACTCAGTTTTGTTGTTGATGTGGCAGCGGTGCCAACTGCAGTGGCACCATTCGCCGTAATGCCTGTAAGGCTTTGGAATCACTCTCTGAAATAAACTCTGACATCAACCTCTCTCGGCACCAGCACGAGCGAACGACGGGTTTGTCGCTCGCCAATAGCCTCGCATGGAATAGGCAGGAAGCTAATGAATAAGGGCGACTCGTGTACATATGCGATAGTTGTTGACCAACGGCTAAATTTGTCCCTTGTATTAACTAATATGGCAGCCTGAGGCCAGAGGCGAATTATTCCTTTGATGCTCCGAGCAAATAAATAAATATTAAAAATAAATTAAGTTGGAGAAAATATTATATTAATTCTGTATTCTGTACTTAACTGTCGCATCAACTTTATAACTTCATATTTATTGTTTTAATTTTTTATAATTCTCTCTTGAATAACTTTTTAAGTGGTTTTTATTTGTATATGTTAATAGGTCGTGACTTGGGCAGCGTGAAAGATGACGACAGACATTAGTCTTGTGCGTTGGGACCCAAGTCAGCAGCAGGAGTTTGTGGAGGACTTCGAATATGACGGCGGCAACTCGTCCTCGCGGCTGTTTGAGCGCTCTCGCATCAAGGCGCTCGCAGGTAAGAGCTTTGGCAAAACAAAAGATAAGGGAAAGGATGATCTAATGCAATTATTTGATTGCAGATGAGCGAGAGAGTGTGCAGAAGAAAACATTCCAGAAATGGGTAAACTCGCACTTGGTGAGAGTAAATGGCCGCATCGGAGATTTGTATGTTGATATGCGAGATGGCAAAATGCTCATCAAGTTACTGGAAGTGCTCTCTGGGGAGCGTTTGGTTAGTTTTGGAATTTATTTTTAATATTAATAGTGAGTCTATTACAGGCGTTTTTGGGAAATTTAAATTGCATTTTAGTTTATGGCTTGGTTGCGCATTGTCAGTGTATAAAAATTAGATCATTTGTGGTTGAAATAAACTCTATCATTGAAGGCAGAGATCATGTCGTCATCTTGTGGTTATTTTCATGTGGGAGTTGATAGCTAGCTAGAAAAGGGCCTGTTCATTGCAGGCTATTTAATTTTTATGAATGTTTTTTGTTAAAAAATATTCATTGCTATTTTCCCCTAGCTATTTGTGCTGTGCTAGTTTATGGATTTGCAGAAGTACCACTACTGTTACATCGATGAGATTGAACTGGAGGGAAAAATAAAAGTTATCAAGTGTTTTTTATTTTAACAGGAATATAGTTTACTTAATGATTTTTCTTGGTCTTGGTATATTTTATTTTTGGCTTCAAAACTTTTTCATAACTGGAGCTGGACTGGAGTAGTCTTAGACTATAATAATAACTTGTTATTTGGTTAAATTGGTAGAGAGGGCTAGTAGAAGAAATTAGAATGGGACTAAAGTGGAAAAATGAATTTCAATTTTTTTTATAGTAATAGTAAGCACTGATTTGTCTGATATTCCTTATTTTTACATGGATTTATCTGGTTTAGTCTTCTTTTTTTACGTATGAGATATTTTATGTGGTACACACCGCGGTGAAAGAAAATGAAACATTTCTCCTATATTTTTAGCGGCTTTGCATGACCTTGAGTAAAGACTAATTCAACATAACATTCAGCAAAAAAAAAATGCTACAAGCTCAACGCTTGCTGCAAACGTAAATTGCCTAGTAGGAAACGCAGAATATAAAATGATTGTAAATTATTTTTTAAAGTTTTTTTCTGGACCGTCCTTTTGTTTATAGGTTTTATGTGGTTTTATGTATTAAACTGATTAACCATTTCAAGCCCCCTAGGCTTGAAATTTATTATGCCACTAGAAAGTATATTTTCAATTAATAAACAAGTTCCATTTTTTTGAGGTCTGAAAGATAAAGGAATAAAAACGTTTAGCTGATTTTCCTCTAGAGTGCTTGGGTGTTGTTGCAACGCGCTTTTATTGATTGTTGTTGAGAGGCTTGATAGTGAGTAAAAATATTAAGGGTTTGGAATGGTCATCAATCTTATTTCAAACACAAAATTGAAGCCAGATATATTATGGGAGGCGCATATAACTTAAGATTCATATTTTGTTTGGCATGTCTAATGATCAAAAACAAATCAGATTAACTCACTATTTTTTTATCCTGTACTATTATTATTACTTTTAGCATGGTAAAACATCTGTAATAGACTCAAAATTAAATTATTTTTTAATTTTGTATTTTTCAAAAAGAAGCAAGCGTGACTAATACTAACTGAGGCTTAATTTGTTCCGCGATCTAGCCACGCCCTACAAAAGGAAAGATGCGTATCCACTGTCTGGAAAATGTAGACAAAGCGCTGCAATTCCTTCGTGAACAGCGTGTACATCTGGAGAATATGGGATCTCATGACATAGTCGATGGGAACCCTCGACTCAGTCTTGGTCTTATATGGACTATTATTCTCAGATTCCAGGTACTTATTATAGCTTGTTTAAGTATTTTGAATTTAATTCAATCAAAATATTTTATACCTTAATAATGTTAAATTAACTGCATTTTTTATTGCTTCAAATTAATTCCCTGCTTTTCTTTTTTTCTACCTTAGATTCAGGACATCACAATAGAAGAGACTGATAACAAAGAAACAAAATCTGCAAAGGATGCATTGCTCTTGTGGTGTCAAATGAAGACAGCTGGCTACCATAATGTAAATGTGCGCAACTTCACCACTTCATGGCGCGATGGCTTGGCCTTCAACGCACTCATTCACAAGCACAGGCCAGACCTGATTCAGTTTGATAAGCTATCAAAGTCGAACGCCATGCATAATCTGAACAATGCATTCAATGTTGCCGAGGACAAACTAGGCCTCGCTAAACTTCTAGATGCTGAAGATGTTTTTGTCGAGCAGCCTGACGAAAAGTCAATCATCACTTATGTGGTTACCTACTACCACTACTTCTCCAAGTTGAAGCAAGAGACAGTCCAGGGAAAGCGTATTGGCAAGGTTGTTGGCATCGCCATGGACAATGATCGCATGGTTCAAGAGTATGAAAGCCTCACCAGTGACCTCTTGAAGTGGATCGAGTCGACTATAGACAGCCTGGGTGACAGAAATTTCATCAATTCTCTTGTTGGCGTGCAGTCGCAACTTGCCCAGTTCAGCGCCTACAGAACAGTAGAAAAACCACCGAAGTAAAATTTTCCTGCTTTCATTTACTAATTTTTAACTAATTTTTCTCTTCAAATTCCAGGTTTGTGGAAAAAGGCAACTTAGAAGTGCTGCTCTTCACTTTGCAGTCTAAAATGCGAGCCAATAATCAGAAGCCGTACATTCCAAGAGAGGGCAAAATGATTTCCGACATAAACAAGGCCTGGGACCGACTTGAAAAGGCAGAACACGAAAGGGAATTGGCCCTCCGAGAGGAGCTGATTCGGCAGGAAAAGCTCGAACAATTGGCAGCTAGGTTCAACAGGAAGGCAAGCATGCGTGAGACCTGGCTCAGTGAAAACCAGCGACTTGTCTCTCAAGACAACTTTGGCTTTGACCTGGCAGCTGTCGAAGCAGCAGCTAAGAAGCACGAGGCAATTGAAACAGATATTTTTGCATACGAAGAACGTGTGCAGGCTGTTGTTGCCGTCTCACATGAGCTTGAGACAGAAAATTATCATGATATTGAACGCATTAACGCCAGAAAAGAAAATGTCCTCCGTTTGTGGAACTACTTGCTTGAGTTGCTGCGTGCTCGCCGCATGAGACTGGAGATGTCTCTGCAATTGCAGCAGAACTTCCAGGAAATGATTTACATATTAGATTCTATGGAAGAACTCAAACTGAGACTCCTGTCGGATGACTACGGAAAGCACTTGATGGGCGTGGAAGATCTGCTCCAGAAGCATGCCTTGGTGGAAGCAGACGTCAATGTTCTTGGTGAGAGGGTCAAAGCTGTGGTGGAGAACTCGAAACGCTTCCTTGACCAGGAAGCGTTGGCCGAAGGTTACAAGCCAAGCGACCCCACCATTGTCATTGAACGCGTCCAGCAACTGGAGAATGCTTTCACTGAACTTGTCCGCCTTGCTGTCGAGCGTCGCATGCGCCTTGAGGAGAGCCGCAAACTGTGGCAGTTCTATTGGGACATGGCCGACGAGGAGAACTGGATCAAGGAGAAGGAGCAGATTGTGTCCACGGGAGACATTGGTCATGACCTGACGACCATTAACCTGCTTCTGTCCAAGCACAAGGCGCTTGAAAACGAGATCACCAGTCACGAAGGTCAGTTGGTCGCAGTTGTCAAGATGGGCGACGAGTTGATTAACCAGGGACACTTTGGAGCCGATCGTATCCAAGGACGTCTCAATGAAATCCAAGAAATGTGGCAGCACCTTGTGCAGCTGTCTGCTTTCAGACGCAAGCGCCTCGAGGAAGCCGTCGAGTTCCACCAGTTCTTTGCAGATGCAGATGATGTTGACATTTGGATGTTGGACACACTGCGTTTGGTTTCCAGTGAAGATGCCGGAAGAGACGAGGCCAATGTCCAGTCTTTGCTGAAGAAACACAAGGAAGTTACTGAAGAGCTCAAAAACTACGCAAGCACCATTGATACTTTGAAGAGCCAGGCTCAGCAGCTTGGAGAGCAAGACAGAGATTCGCCTGTTGTTACGCAGCGTCTGGACAGCATTGATGGCCGCTACAAGGAGCTCTTGGAGCTGGCTAAGTTGCGAAAGCAGCGACTTTTGGATGCTCTGTCTCTATACAAGCTTCTCAGCGAGGCTGATGGCGTTGAGCAATGGGTAGGAGAGAAGAACAGGATGTTGAACACAATGGTGCCTGTCAAGGACATAGAGGACGTTGAAATCATGAGGCACCGTTATGATGGCTTCGAAAAGGAGATGAACTCAAACGCTTCACGTGTGGCTGTTGTCAACCAGCTAGCCAGGCAGCTGCTTCATGTTGAACATCCCAACTCCGAACAGATATTGGCTCGTCAGAATGAGGTGGGTTTAAATTCAAAACCATTCAAAGTTATTTAGTTACCTATTTTATCAATAATTTTATTTTTATAATGTAAAAATTTATTTTTCCTACAGCTTAACCACGGATGGGCAGATCTGCGTGAAAAGGCAGAAAACAAGAGAGAAGAGTTGAGCTCTGCACACGGAGTGCAGACCTTCCACATTGAGTGCCGCGAGACAATGTTGTGGATCGAAGACAAGAAACGCATTCTCCAGAGCACTGACAACTTGGAGATGGACTTGACTGGCATCATGACTTTACAGCGTCGCCTCTCTGGAATGGAACGCGATTTGGCTGCCATCCAAGCCAAACTGAACTCTCTGGAAATGGAGGCTCAGCACATTGAGCAGGAGCATCCCGAAGAGGCAGCTCTGATTCGTGAACGTATTGGCCAAATCAGCCAGTCTTGGGAAGAGCTCACCCAGATGCTTAAGGAGCGTGATGCTAAGTTGGAGGACGCTGGTGACCTGCACAGATTCCTGCGCGACCTTGACCACTTCCAAGCTTGGCTCACTAAGTCCCAGACTGAAATCGCGTCTGAGGACAGTCCCTCTTCACTTGCCGAAGCTGAGAAACTGCTCAGCCAACACCAAGGCATCCGTGAAGAGATTGACAACTACATCACTGATTACACTACCATGATGAAGTATGGTGAAAACATCACAGCGGTAAGTTGAACATAACTGGAGGATCATAATTTTATTTACACTTAATTTTTATCCTTCTAGGAGCCGTCCACGCAGGATGATCCTCAGTACATGTTCCTGCGCGAACGACTGAAGGCATTGAAGGATGGTTGGGAAGAACTGCACCAGATGTGGGAGAACAGACAAAAACACTTGTCTGAGTCTCTTAATCTCCAGATGTTCTTACGTGACGCCAAACAGGCTGAAGTACTTCTTTCCCAACAGGAGCACATTCTTAGCAAGGTTGAAACGCCGGTGAGTTTAATGAAAATATATTGTCTAGATATTAGTAATATCCCTTTATATGTCAATTCACAGACCAACTTGGAGCAAGCTGAAAGCATGCTGAAGAGACACGAAGCCTTCATGACAACTGTCGAGGCTAATGAGGACAAAATCAATGCCGTCTGCCAGTTTGCAGGCCGTCTCTGTGATGAGGGCCACCCAGCAGCAGACAAGATTCAGAGCAAAGCTGAAGACATTTCTGACAGGCGAACAGCCAACCGCCAGAAGGCCTTGGCACAGTTGGAAAAACTGCGGGACCAATTGCTGTTGCACCAGTTCCTCCAGGACTGCGAAGAACTGGGTGAGTGGGTACAGGAGAAGAACATCACAGCCCAGGACGAGACATACCGCAGCGCTAAGACCGTTCATTCTAAGTGGACAAGGCACCAGGCATTCGAGGCTGAGATTGGGGCCAACAAGGAGCGCCTGAGGAAAATTCAAGAGTCTGGCCAGGAGCTGATGAAGGAGAAGCCAGAACTTGTTGACCTGATTCTGCCCAAGACACAAGAACTGGGCGCACAGTTCAATGATTTGGAAACCACCACAAAAGAAAAAGGCGAACGTCTCTTTGACGCAAATCGTGAAGTCCTTCTGCACCAGACCTGCGATGATATTGACTCGTGGATGAACGATCTCGAGAAACAAATTGAAGCTGATGACACTGGCAATGACCTTGCGTCAGTCAACATTCTCATGCAAAAGCAGCAGGTAATTATGCATTTTTTTCTAATATCTAATATATTTTTATAAAAGATGGAAATTTGTAACTGAAAAATGCAATCTATTTTTCCCCATTCACAAAAGTTGATTTAATTTTTGAAAATTTGTTAACATTATTCAACGTTTTATCTCCTTGCTTCAGATGATTGAGACACAGATGGCCGTCAAGGCTCGCCAAGTGTCAGAACTCGAGCAGCAGACCGAGTACCTACAAAGAACAGTGCCTGAAGACAAGTTAGATGAGATGAAGGTGAAGAAAGCACAGGTGGAGAGCAGGTTTGAGAGGCTCAAAGCCCCTCTTGTGGAGAGACAACAGCAGCTCGAAAAGAAGAAGGAGGCGTTCCAGTTCCGCAGAGATGTGGAGGATGAGAAGTTGTGGATCGCAGAAAAAATGCCACAAGCCACTTCTTCAGACCTTGGAAATAGCTTGTTCAACGTGCACATGCTGAACAAGAAGAACAAATCGTTGCGCACTGAAGTAGACAACCACGAGCCAAGAATCCAGCTTGTGTGCAGCAACGGCCAGAAATTGATTGATGAGGGCCACGCTGATGGAGATGAGTTCAATGAACTCATCAAGGAGTTGATTGCCCGCTGGCAGGAGCTGCGAGATGCAGTCGAGGAGCGCAGAATGAAGCTGTTGCAATCGGAACGTGTGCAGCAATACTTCTTTGATGCCAGTGAGGCCGAGGCCTGGATGAGCGAACAGGAGCTCTACATGATGGTTGACGACAGGGGCAAGGATGAGATTTCTGCCCAGAATCTCATGAAGAAGCATGACACCCTTGAAGTGACTGTCGAAGATTACGCCAACACAATCAGACAACTTGGAGAAACTGCCAGGCAGCTAACCAGTGAAAGCCGTGAGGATAGGTATGCAATCAAAGAAAATTTTGGAATTTTTATTAAATTTTATTTATGAAATTTTAGCGACCAAATTGCGCTGAAGCAGTCTCAAGTAGAGAAGCTCTATGCTGGCCTCAAAGATCTGGCAGGTGAACGAAGAGCTAAGTTGGATGAAGCCTTGCAGCTGTTCATGCTCAGCAGAGAAGTTGATGACTTGGAGCAATGGATAGCTGACCGTGAAGTTGTTGCGGGTAGCCACGAGCTGGGTACCGATTACGACCATGTTACTGTAAGTCATCAAATATCTTTTTATATAATTATGTCTAAATTTTACATTTAAACTTGGAACAACATAACTAATTTTGCGCTTTTTCTCTCCAGCTTCTGTGGGAGAGGTTCAAGGAGTTCTCTCGTGACACAGAGACCATCGGCTCGGATCGCGTCCAATCCGTCAATGGAATAGCTGACAGCCTTATCAACTCCGGACACTCGGACAGTGCTACAATTGCCGAGTGGAAGGATGGTTTGAATGAAGCTTGGCAAGACTTGCTTGAGTTGATCGAAACGCGCACCCAAATGCTGGTTGCCTCTCGAGAGCTGCACAAATTCTTCCACGACTGCAAGGATGTGCTCGGGCGATGCCTAGAAAAGCAGCACGCAATTTCCGACGAGCTTGGCCGCGATGCTGGCTCAGTGTCTACCTTGCAGCGCAAACATCAAAACTTCAAACAAGACCTGCTCTCCCTACAGACGCAAGTGCAATCCATCCAGGAAGACTCTGCCCGTCTGCAGGCCTCCTATGCCGGTGACAAAGCCAAGGAGATCACCAACAGAGAAGCAGAAGTTGTCAGCGCATGGACTGCCCTTCAGAACATGTGCGAAGCTCGCAACCAGAAGCTGGCTGACACAGGCGACCTCTTTAAATTCTTCAACATGGTGCGCATTCTGATGCTCTGGATGGACGATGTCATCAGACAAATGAACACATCAGAAAAAGCAAGGTAACTGAATTTATTTATGTGATCTTCCATTGTGAATTGTGACTAATTAATGGCAAGTAGAAAATTTACAATTTGGGATACAAGCTGAGGCCTAATTTAGTAATTTTGCCTTAAGTTGATAATAGCTTCCAGTCTGATGAAGATGCCTTGTGCCGTCCGATGGGTTGGAAGGCTATTATCGTGCTATCCCTAAAGAAAAAGGAGATCTCTGTATGACTGCATCGAGTACTTGCAGTCGTCTCGTTCCCCTCCTAACACTCCTACGCCTTTGTTAAAATTCATAGAATTAACTTTATTTATTTATTTCCCATTAATTTTAATTTAAAACTTCTTAATTTTGAATATGCCTTATTTTGTGTATTAAAATTTTCAGAGATGTGAGCGGAGTTGAATTGCTGATGAACAACCACCAGAGTCTGAAAGCAGAAGTTGATGCAAGGGAGGATAACTTCACTGCCTGTATTTCGCTTGGAAAGGAACTTATGGAAAGAAACCATTATGCTTCCAATGAGGTAGGTTTTTTATTTATTTTTTATAACTAGTTTACAAGACAATAACTAAAAAAAAATTAAAATCAAATTTTTCTTCATATCTTTAAACAATTGTTATTGGTTATTTTAAGTACACTAATGATGCCAAAAAATTATCTTTAGATCAAAGAGAAGCTTCTGCTTCTTTCAAGCCAGAGAAACTCTTTGCTGAGCAGATGGGAGGAGCGCTGGGAGAATCTGCAACTGAGTAAGTTACAACCCAGCAAAACCTTAATCACAATGATTTCAAATTTCTGATTTTTTTAAAATTATTTTCTTGATTCTTTTCAGTCTTGGAAGTGTATCAGTTTGCTCGTGACGCAGCTGTTGCAGAAGGTTGGCTACTTGCACAAGAACCCTATTTGCTAAGCCAAGAACTGGGGGTAAAACTCTGCAGAACCTATTAAAACCATTTAACTTATCTCCTTATTTTCTTAGCATTCAATCGACGACGTGGAGAATCTTATCAAAAAGCACGAGGCCTTTGAGAAGTCTGCTACTGCACAAGAGGAACGGTTTAGTGCTCTTGAGAGGCTAACCACGGTATGTTGGCTGCAATTTTTTTTATTAATTATTCACTAGGAAATTATTCTATTTTGTGATTACAGTTTGAACTGAGAGAATTAAAAAAGCGACAGGAGCAAGCCGAGGAAGAACAGAGAAAGCAGGAACAAGCCGTACCAGCACCCCGCTCTCCAGAAGGGGTGGAAATTGAAAGGTATGCACATTTTTCATTTCTGTTATTGGCATAAATGGTTATACCCCTTTCCAGCCGACGCGATAGCAAGCAAGCCTCAGAGGGAGAGCACAATGTTAACGGCGACAAGGGTGATGGCGCAGATGGTAAATATTTTTGCTTTTTTTTCTTCTTAATGCAATTTTGTGACAAATCTTTCTTCTTAATTTTCTCAATGACTGAAAATGCTTGAATAGCTTGCAATTAAATCATTATGTCTTTAACTGATCATTTGCTTATTGAATTTTAATTTTAATAACTCTGCGTGATGAATCGCAAGTTAAATTTTTTTTACTGAGTCGAAGCATGTTAGATAAAAAAATTATGCTCATGACTGATGCATGCAAATTTTATTTTATACAATTTTAATGAGTAAAGACTGTCTATACGAATCGATGGAAAAATTAGGTGGCGGGAGTTGGTACTGTAAGTAAGCCATTGATTATGCATGACTGTATTCTGTAGTTCCGATCTCACCGTCCAAGAGAACCAAGGAGTCAGCTCGCTCGAAATCACCCTTCCGAAGTTTCCGTTGGAAGAAAGCTAAGTACCCTGCAACCCCTTTTCCAGCTCTCCAGAGAAGCGCCAGCGACGATGAATCCAACTTTGAGCACTTCAAAGGTAACAAGGAGTATCTCAGATTATCATGCAGCCATTGTGTGATCCGTAGCATGGAAGTAAATAGACTGCTTTCTGAATGCATTGCCCTGTGTTGTCTCTTTCTCGCTTTGTTATATTAAAAAAATACGTTGAATTAAACAAACTTATTTTTCTGCAGAAGGTCAAGGTGCCGACCGAGACGCTTTCGAAGGACTCCTGGTGCGCAAGCACGAGTGGGAGAACACAACTAAAAAGGCCGCAAATAGGTAAGCTATAATTCTGTTAGTTAAACATAATTCTATATTTTTATTGCATTATGTCTGATAAAAGATGAATCAAATATTTATCTAACTTGCAATTTTATAAAATAGTGATACAATTTGCTTTGTTTTGTTCCAAAAATTAAGATTTGACTATATTTTTATCAGGTCATGGGACAAGGTTTTCGCTGTACTCCGTGGGCCGCAGCTTTTGTTCTACAAAGACCAGAAGAGTGCAAAGGCCACGCCTGACATCTACTTCAAAGGGGAAGTGCCTCTGGACCTAAGCGGTGGATCCTGTGAGATTGCTAATGACTACACCAAAAAGAAGCATGTATTCAGAGTGAAGTAAGTTAGTCTTTAATACAACTTTCAATTTTATTTTTATTTATGTTTTATATATTTTTTATTTTCAAGTTAATAAAGTGTTGTTCAAAATTTTGAGAATAAACTGCATTATATGTAAAATTGTTGGAAAGAAACCATTTTTTTTCGATGGAAAAATCTGAAAATTAAAATTGCAGGATCGTGGGAGGAGCTGAGCTACTGTTCCAAGCCAAGGACGATGAAGAAATGAACGCTTGGGTCGCACACGTAAAGGACCAGTGCGAAGCTGGCAGCCCAGCAGGCCCATCCAAATCCCAAACCTTGCCTGCTGGTGAGCGTAAAGATGAACCGAAGAAGAGGAGTTTCTTTACGTTAAAAAAGAAGTGAGTTGGCTCAAATTTTCTATATTACAGAGCATAAAAAAACTACCCAAAGATGAAACTTACTTTTGTCTTTTATTGTTTTGTTTCAGCTAAGCTTTTAGGCAGCTACAGTCTGGTTAAACGACCACCTCGGTAAAATCCTCCTGTCAGCAATATCACTATTTTAGTCATTTAACACGTATTCTAACAGAAATTAGTTAGCGTAGTAATAAAAAGCACCTGTGCAGATTCGATCATTCATAGTAAACTTTCATTGTGAATTTCAAACAGAAGGTGACTGCTGACTCTAGCACCAGATTCGAAGCATTACCTATAAATATATATATATTTAAAAAGCAAAGTTTTTTTTCTTCAAGGAACGTTTTTGCAGCTTCAATTTTGGAGCAAATTTGCATTTTATCAAAGTTTGAAACAGACCTTATGCACGATTCTCAACGAAGGGACCGAAACCCTTGAAATGTTGAAGAGAATTTCGCTTCGATTGTTGGAAATCACGCAAAAAGACTATTTTCGGAAAAAAAGAAGTATTGTTCGCATATTATTCTAAATAGAGCTATGATAATGAACAAGATCGGACTTTGTTGACGAGATATTAAATACCCCATGCAGTGGCAATTTGAAAAAAGAGAACTTGAAACTATATTTATTATTTATTCGATTCTCTATCCTGGCTATTGCATATTAACAGTCGCGCCTATTCCCTGACGGAAAAGTTCTTCTAACATATAAGATTAAATTTTTTTAGTTTTTTTGTTTTTGTGACCTCAAGTGAATGCTTAACCAAAATTTGGTGCCACAGAATAGAAGCATTTTATGTTGTGTGTGGCTTTGGCGTAGTGATAAATTGATGAGCGTAATTTATGTTTCTCCTCATTAAGATTTTAACGTTTCATATTCACGCTGTTTAAACTTGTTGTAGTGTTGATGAAGCTTCAAGAAAATTTCTCCTGGGTGGATTATTTTATGCTTGTATTCTTAAGAATATCAATAAAGTCATTATATGCAGAATTTGACCATGTTTAAAATTTGCACTGATACCTCGAAAAGAGAGAAACCAAAGAATTTCTATGAAGATCTTCAGCGTATAAAATTTGCAGAGAAAACTTGACCTATTTCAAGAGCAAAAGTTAACTGATACTAAAGTGGGGTAGCCGATGATAATTATCAGCTCGAAAGTGGACTCCGGAGGCTACTCTCATTCCTGTGCGAAAACGAATCCATTCTTTCCTAGCCGAAGAATAATCGCATTGTGCCTTTCGAGAATATGTAAATGTGGCGTCTAATGCATTGTTATCACTGCTCTGCGAGATACAGCGCTGCAAGCACGCATGCATGGCGAGGTACCGCTAATTCATAAATGTGGATGTGTGTGATGCTACACCAACCGATTCTGCGATAAGGATGAGGCTGCTTTGGTGGCACGGTTCAAGTTTGCACCGGAGGAGGATTGAGTTGCAATTTTTGTAGTGCGAACGTGTGTGTGGCATCACTCCAGAGGTACTTAAGAAGCCACTTTTATCTTAAGTTCTACAGGTAATTAATAATTATTACTATGCATGTACGTCTTAATGTCAAACAAAATCAATACATAACTGCCATTTATTGGTTCTTTTGTTGTCTTTTAAACGCTTCTTTGGATGAGCATATAGGTTTGTCAAATAATGAGGTCGAGCTGCAGATTGTGTCATATAAAATAATACTTTATCTTTTGAAGAGAGAATTACATTTTTCGTTCATATTTATGTGCGGCCTTAGAAAAATTAATTGGAATTTAAATAATTAGCGCAATGGACGTCAAAATTAATTTGAATGGAAATGTGTGATGCTAAAAATTAAATTGACATAAATCAAACATTTATCGTTTATCGGCAAGGAGCTTTTCTTACAAAATAATTTTTTGATAATATAATGATAGAAAATTACAAAAATTATTCAAACATATATTTAAGAAAATGAAGAGCGTTGTTTAATTTTTTTTCTTTTTAATTTTATGCAAGTAAAATTTATCCCTTTTTCAGCTGAAATGTGAAGTGTAAGAAAGCTGTGTGCACGGTGAAGTAACCCCCCAGCTAAGAAAACCCTTGCTCCTTTTTACTCAAAGTTGCCATCTACTCTCCTGATGTAGGCTATCCATCAACCAAAATATTTTAAACGAACAGAAAAAAGAACATCGTTCCGCATCAGGCATTCCCGCTAATGCCCCCGGATACTCATCTTCCATACCATAACTAATTGTAAGTGGTACATTGTTGTTAATATTAAAAAAACACAATTTGCCGAAAATTTGCGTTGTTTGCACTGACGCATGTCGCGCATCATGCGCCCTATTCTTATCGGTTGATTTCAATTTTCGATCAATATTAATAGTAAAAAATAATAAATTTATCTTAGTGAATTATATGAAACAGGTTTTAGAAATAAATTATCTTTTTTCCAGTCAAAGCTCAATGATGCTCTGTGGAACGTCAACGCAGCCCTCAGGCTTACTGCTAACAATTCTATCATTGTCATTCTATGGAGCAACAGGTGCTGCTCTTCAAAGAGTTGCTGATAATGATGGTAAATAATATCAGTTTCATTTTTAATTCAACGTTTTACATTTGCTGATTGGATATTTTGAGAATATGTAATAAATTAAATTTTTTATAAATACAGGATTTAAAAATTAATAAATTCGTTTAAATTTATATTTACTCCATTCAATCAACTAGCACAAATTTTTGATAAAAAAACAAATTTAAATAATTGAGCTTTATATATTTTAGAAAATATAAACCAAAAAAATTATATAAATTAAAATAATAAAATTAATACCCACTTTATGTTTGTGTTACAGATGTTACAACAAATGTACCAGATCGAATTCACCTCAGCTTAATTCAAAATCGCACGGAGAACTTCACTAGTTCTTGGAACTCCCAGCAAAAAATGCGACAAAATCGAGTTGCTAGGAATACTCCGCGGGAAGTGAATGGCACTTTGCCTCACGGCACACCAAGTGAAAAAGGACCCTTAAATGCGACTGCAAGCTTAGAATTGAATCTAGAAAATGTGAATTTTGAAAGTGAAGCGAATCACAGTGCTCTTTTTATACGTGAAAATGAAACCGATGCGAATAATTCTTTAGCAAGTACAAATGTACCTCGCGCAATAGAGGAAATTCTAAAAAGCCCCAGATTCAAGGCTCTCAACGAGTTGCTCCAATCCCGGTCTGATTTGCGACAATCTCTCGACTCAATAATTTCTTTGTCTCCGGAGGTCCCTAATTTAGTAAAAGGCTTCATAACCCATTCGCACGTCGACCTAATGAAGCCCGAGACGTTGATTGTGAAACACGAGCAGGGCAGTGAGCCTCAAATTGGGCACATTTACACGACGAGTCCCACGGTGGATGGAATGGTCTACGGCGAGTTGCGACCCTTCGCCAATCATGATATTGACGCTGAAGGCACTTCCAATAATTTTGAAAGTGTCTTCACAAAACCTCCCCAGTTCAACCAACACAACCATCAGAGCTCCAGTTTTTACAATAATATCCAAAATATTCCAAATACACCTTTATATAGTGAAGTGCATTTGCCCTCAAACGACAACCACCGTCCGCCCTATTATGGTCCCGAAACAATTCACGGTCATCGCCCTGGTATCGGAATTGTCGAGCAAATTACGATACCAGCGCCGCATCGTCCTTTCCGTCCTGCTTTTTCGGCCAGTGTAGTTTCGAGCACCGTTATTGGCGTCGCAGTACCTCCGCCTCAAATTCAATATATGGAGCCGAGCGCCGAGAGTGAAACGAATCAGGACCATCACTCTGAAGAGTCCGAGTTTGGTCCGGTGCAAGTTATTGAAGAGTCGCTGGAGGACGAAATGGTCACCGAGCTGGTGTCCTCCTCGTCCATACCTTATCCGACCCAAAAACCAACACCCAACCAATATTTTATTTCGCAAATCACCGAGTTGACGACGACGAGCGCGCCTCCGTACCACATTTACAACAGCGTTCCAACCACCATAAATCAGGACCCGGCCGGCAACAACTGTCCCAATGTGACCGTGATTGTTAGTCCGACCATCACCAACAACAATGTTCAAAATATTGCGGCGCCGCCACCCGGTCCAACTTACGTTTATCGACCACCGAATTATCCGCCTCCCAATATCGGAGGTCATTACCAGTACAAACCCCCGGGTCAAATATCGACGCAGGTCATCAACGTGCCCTACGACGACGAGTTAACGGACGACGCCGAGTTGGCGAACCAGGAGGCCACAGTGCCGCCGACCGAAGCTCCCTCCTCCGTCTCGCCTTCTGAAGAGCCGCCGCCCGTCACCGAGTCGACGACGTCAACAGCGGTCACCACGACAGTTCGACCTTCCGTTTTCACTGACCTGGCTAACGTTTTCTTTAATACGTCTAGCCCTGTATTTTGGCTAGCCTTAATGTCTCCAGTCGTTGTGATGCTCTCGCTGATCGTCGGCATGACCAGATACGTCGCGCCGATTTTCAGATCGAGTAGCCACTACGTGACAGAAAAAACGATTGAACACCCCTACGACATTATCATCGAAAAACCAAAGTTAAGACCCACGACGAAAAAGCCACCTAAGAGGAAAAAGAAAAAGAAACATTAGCAATTTAATATTTATTAATATGAAATTAATGTAATTGATTTTAGATGGCTGTAGATATTGTAGAGTCAAAACTGAAATTGATTATACTGGTAATAACGGGGCGCCTTCAATCAATAGAGTGAAGAAATGCTTTTGTTCTAATGCGATCAGTTTCATAACAAGTAAAGTTTAATATTATACATTTTCCTTTTGTGATTTATACATAAATTGCCAACATGTTGACTATAAACGAAATTATATTTCTTTTTGGTTAAAAATTTGTCAGAACTTTTGATTGTAGCTTATAAAAATTCCATACTCCGTGTATCATATTTCATATTACTGGCTTATTTCCTTGTGTTGTGTGTTTTAAAATAAATGCAAATAATTTATTAACTAAAAACAACTTTCCTTTGTAACTTGAAAAATTAAATAAACAAACAAAAAACAATATAATGCATTATTGTATTTTATGCCATTATTAGTCATGATACAAAACAGACATAAAATAAACAACAACCCTATTAGCCTATCTCAAAATATATATATTTGATTATTTAAACGGTTGTGGTCTTGGGGTTTTTTTCTAAAACTTAGAATATTTTTTAAGTAATCAATAAAATCAAAATTTATGTATATTTAGCATATTATGCTAATTAATGTATTAAAAAATTTTGATATTGTATAACAATCAACCCATTTTTTCCTTTTATACCCTGAGGTCCCTGTTTGTTCTCTTGCAGAAAGTCTATAAGAATGAAAATAATTGAATAAATGCTTTACTCAGTTTTTAAGCTGTAATTTGACTTATGATGTTCACATAAAAAGTAAGAAAATAAAGAAAACATAAATTTATTATTTAGAAATAAATAGTAAGTTTCAGGTATTCCTCCTTTCTCATCATCCTCTTTATATGGACGCCACGCATCGCTGGTAGAGGAGAGAATAATCATAAAATTAGTTCTTTTAAAATGGAATGTAATCAGAAGAGCTGACGGAAGATCAGAATGAACTTTTTAGCAAGAAATTAAATCCATCTAAGATATTTTTCACCAGCTTTTGCGGTGTAGGTTCGACTCAAAATATTTTCTTTTATTTATTTGTTGCGTTTTCAAATTAATTATCATCAATATCGATGACTTATAAAAAAAGAAAGAAATTGTGGAAGAATATTCAAATCAAAGTCGTTTGTTTTAGCACATGTAATTTACATTTATTAATAAATATTAGTAGCCATGCATCATAGTTACCCCCTCAAAAAGATACTTTTTCATCTCTCTAGTTACAATCACGGTTTCATCTCTTGAATACCGACAGCAATAATTCATAGAAGAGGAAAAATATAATTTGTAAATTATTCCTTTCACGCAAAACATTGCTTCCTGAATTTTGACAAATGGTTGAAAGTACTAAACATGCGATTGTGAGGATTTTTTCAACAAGAAAAAAACCCCAACTTGTTAAAGCATCAATAGAGGACAAATAACAAAGTTTTTATAGAAAATTTTATAATCGCCACATAAATATCTCAAGAATTGATTTTACATTTTAACACCCATAAATAGATGATTTCATTTAACGACAATAACAGTGACAAATGCAGAGATAAACTATGTATCTTCGTAAAATTAAAAACACTTTCATCCATCAATAATTGGCAAATGGATGTTTACAAACAAGGGGCTCAGGCTTCTGTAAACATCCATTCGCTGCGTTGCAACAAAATTAAATCGCAATTATAAAACATCTCTCTGTACAAAACACCAGATTAGGCAACTACATCACCAGGTTAATAAATACACTGCGTATCAAGATAAAATAAATTTCCTTCTTTAAAACAAAAGTCATGTAATTTTATCTTATAAGCTGTGTAAACATCTAAGTGTGAGCAAATCACGTGTTTTTTATTTGACTAAATTTACAATCAATAATTTAATATGCAGTAAGATGCCAACATCAAAGTAGTGCGTTTAATTACGACAATTTTTTATAATCAAATTCTGTTCCCTCGAATATGATTCCCAAATATGTATCATGCAGTAAAGGCCTATTATTTAAATACAACATGTATTGTGTGTCTTTCAACCCTCCATAATTTCTGATAAATTTACTTCTCGATTCCATGCAAAAGTAGCTGGGCCGTTTTTTTCCAAACATATTTGTAATAATAAGATTCTCTCTATCAATACAAGCGTATTTGTTTGTGCGATTTCCACGCAGATGTTTCTTGAATGAGCAACCGTTTAAGTTCGTTTTTCTGATATAAGAAAAAAAGAGACTTGGAGAAGTATTCTTCTTGCATAATTGTCGGCAGAATTTGAAAATCACCTGTTATGTTCACTTAGTTTACTATAGTTTTATATTTTTCTTCAAAATTTAAACACCAATGTGGTCCACACTGAATTTCGGAGAACAAACCATGCTTGGTTGAAAAGTCCAACGCCCGAAAAAAGAAATAGGCTGGCTTACAAGACGGTTTCATTGGTGCATGCAGTCTTGGGTCCGTTGACGAGCGAGTACTTGGAGGTGCTGCCGTTTTTCCTCGAGCCGCCCCTCCGGCTGGCGGCGATGCCCGTGTTGGTCCTCTCGGCGGCGGTGGTGCCACCGCCGATGGCCGACGAGTTTCCAGTGCCTCTGATAAAGAGTTCCTTGAAAGTTTCGCGGAACTGGCGCGACATGCCGCAGTAGATGGCGAAGTTGATCGGATACGAGACGATGATGAAGAAGTTGATGAACAGGATGAGTCCGTTGACGACTTCGTAGTCAAGGATCTCGATGATGCCCGACGAGACAATGTGCAGCGCCGTGACCACGGCCAGCGGGATCTCGACCAGCAGGAATACGGTCACCACCACGATAAGCATCAGGGTGGTGCAGTTGGAGTCGCGCAACCGCTTGCACTCGCTCTTGCGGTTCTCTTTGAACAGCCGCTCGCGCTTCTGCTGCGCCACGCGCATCGCTCGGAACAGCAGAACGTTCAGTAACACCAGCGAGATGCACGGCAGCATGTGCACGAATATCACCCTGCAACAATTCCAAACAAATGTATTCATTAATTTTCATCGGGTAATTTGTTATAGTACATAATTATTCAAAAGTGAATAACATTTTTTAAGATTTGTTTAAGACTTGTTTGAAAATTTGCTGTTTGTGTTAGCACAACTTATTTATGACCATGAATTTAATACTTGTGGGCTGATTAACTTCCTTATTATTATTTCATTATTATTTTACGTGAGTGTTTTACAAACTGTCAATATGATAAATGTATTTAAATTTTAAAAATGGAAACTGATTGCTTTTTTGTTATAATTTAATTCCTACGTATGATCATGTATGATAATAAAAAATTTTGATAAAGCATTTTTTTTTAAATCTCCTTTCTCATGCAGAAAAAAAGGAAGGGAAATTATTAAATGCAAATTGCGCTGGGTTTTTACGCACTTCACAGATGTCATAAAAATACATACAGAGAAATGTTAAAATATTTTAAACTTAATATTAGGTTTCTTCCTTTCAAATTTTTTAATTTCACGCTAACAAATTTGAAATCATTTTACAGCTACAAAGAAAGATGTACTTTCTTTTATCGATTTTTCAAACATCAAATAGGTTAAAAAAAATGCTATAATATCATCAATTCTGATTTAGTGTCTGAATTATATTATTTAATATTTTTTTCATGCGCATGCTCACAGCGTTAAGCGTAATTTTTTACATTTCGGAAGTGATAAGGGATGTCTATAGTAAAATTTCCACAATTTTTATTAATGTTTTTCTTTGCTTGAAACTGATGTATGCAACTCTGCTTCCATAGAAGCCAAGCAGGTTGCATACTTTCAATTTTGATAAATCTAATTATTTGAAATAAATAAGAAATACCTAAAGCCAAAGTATGTAGTGTAGTACGTGTCAATGGGGATGATGTGGGTGACGAGGTAGGAGTACTCCATGCGGCAGCCGTGGGCCACCTCGCCGCGCCACTCGAACTCGACGGACACGTAGTTGCGGTCGGCGAACCGCGTCGCCTGGCTCAGCACGGCCAGCACTGTGATCCAGCCGATGCACTTCTTCACGCGCGACATGGTGCACCACGTGCGCGCCACCGGCGCGTGACACACGTAGATGTAGCGCTGCACCGCCAACGCCAGCGTGAACCAGATCGACGCCGTGTGGAAAAGCGCGGGGATCACCTCGTTCATTGCGTACCTGCGAAAAAACAAAGAATATCCACATTTTATTATAATGTAGCAAATTGAAGCTGGGATTTTTATCCAAATTTAATATATTATTATTTTACTATATTAAATGAATTTAACATAAGCCACATAAGTATTGAAAAGTATTAGTAAAATAAGTTCTAAATTCTTGTAACCAAGAAAATTTGAATTAAATTGAGCCGGTTTTTTAGTAAATACTAAAAAGTTTCATCGAGGTTACGGCCCATTTTCTTAACTCTTTATATATACTCAAGTTCCAACTTCTTTACTCTAATTAAAATTTATTATATTATTAATTACGAAAAAGTAGCTGGCAAAATTAGCATTTCAAATAAATTTAAAATAGTTTATTTTATTGAGGCTTATAAATGGGTATTTCTCATTCAGCTGGAGTTTTGAAACAAGGAAACTTAAAATAACATATAACCTTTAATTGAAAGGCAAGCTGGATTAGCCGGAAATTCCGAATCCAGCTTGAATAATTCTTATTTGATTGATTTTTTCCTTGATTACCATGGTTACATAAAAATTTCAATATAAATATTTTTTTTTTTTAAGAATTCAAGGAAAAAGATTACAAAGTAAATATTATTTATTATATTGAAAAACTGCTTTATTACATTTTTTTTAAACATTCTTAGTAAAAGATTGATATTTGTCTTGATCTCTACAGCAATTGAAATTTAAGAAATTTAACTTTTGGTGACAATTTTTATCGCTATTTCCTTCCGAGATCGCCGATGACGCATGCCCTGCCAACGCCATCACCCAGTCTTCAATCCCCAGCGCTAGTCTATCTGCATTAGCAACTGCTGGCCTTGCCTGCTGTGCAGTAGTCGCCCGCACTCCCTACAGCCACTCTCTGTCACACACCCCATCCCCTCACCTTCGGCAAAAGCATCATAAAACCCGGACAGCCAATTTGGCAGGCGAGAATTTTAAGTATGAAGTAAATAAAAAGCATTTATGAACGCTTATAGAGTTAGTGTTATTTATTTATGATTTTTGAGATCGCGGTCCGTGATTTCTTGCGCTGGCCGGTCCATGCTACTCCAAGTCTTCGGAGTTCGGGTCGTCCTCATTCATTCGGATGGCAGGGATTGTAGTACCCTCTGATGGGCGAGCAGGTCAAAAGCTTTACCTTCTCTCCCGTAGGAATAGCAATCTCAGTATTGCTGTTGAGCACCCCAATCCTCGTGAAGGCTCGCTTCATGGCTTTCTCCTGGCTTCTGGTGTAGGTTCCCAACACGTTGACCACTTTGATGTTGCGGACTGGCTCGTGGTAGTGCTCAACGCTTGCAATTTCTCCGATCCGGAGGTTCAAAGCTTTGGTGATCCAACTTGGAGCGAAAAGAGCGTTGACCTGGAGACGTGCGAGTGCGCGGTACCTTACGAGAAGACTGGCATCTCCGCTCACTATCTTGGCCATGTCAAAAGGTCGCTGCCGACCCTGCGGCTGAACCACTGGCCGTATAGCACAGGCAGGGGAGACGCAGATCTGAGCTGAAAATTAATTTTGTTATATTTTATTTTCAACACATTAAAAAACTTTTGTCGATGTTCTTACCAACTTCATCCATGACCAAATCACGATCTTCCTTGATTCGTTTCGCAAGCACAACGTCAATGACGACCATTTTTAAAGAATTTTTCAAGACGTTAGTGAATTTGATTCGTTCTGAGACGAAGTGAACGATTGAGAGATCCAACAATTGATTCTTGCTTAACGGATTTTGAGGTTCACCAAGGCAACGCTCAACAATGCTGTCTCGGTGCCAAAACAACAATCAATTTACTAAGTAAACTAGATGGGAATTCTGCTTCAAAAAAATTCACTAAAATAACCACGCTTAAAATCATTTTCCTGTTATACTCTGATGAATGTGGCATTGATACAAGGAAACTGCTCGTGCATTTTCTTCAATTTTAAATTCTACTAAAATTTTGGCTAAGCAAAAAACAAAAATCATTGATGCTTGCCAGTGGGAAATTTTCATGGAAAAAAACTTGCATAAACTATTTACTCTTAAAATTAAATATAAATTATAAAAAACTTGGCACTTCAATTAACAATAATTTATTCCATTAGCGCCAAATAAAATTAAGAAACGCTCTTTGAAGAATAAACAAATCTCCTGTTAACGAAATTGTTTTTGTTAAAGAATTAAGCATAATAGTGCATCATTTTATAATATAACAATTTTTCAGGTTTTAAAAATTTTGATGCCCGTGTTGGTCCTCTCGGCGGCGGTGGTGCCACCGCCGATGGCCGACGAAAATCAAGATTCGATCAGCTGCTTCAAAGATATTTGCGTTTGAAAATTGTTCTTGGTACTTCTTCCTTTGAACTTGCCTGTCTATGCAACAATAAAAAAGTGAAACTTTTGACCGCAGAAATTTGGTTGATCCTGACTTGAATCGCGTTAGGTCGTCGAAAGTAAATGAAAAATTAAACAACGTGAATAAAATTTTGGAAAATAAAAGTTAAAGAGCTGCTTGACACGGCCATTTAGTTGCCCTCAAATTCAATCCAGAGCATCCTGACTCTGACTATGATTAAACCCTGCCGAGACCACAGGTCTTTTAGTTGCGTTAATAAGATTGTTTTATTCACAATGAAACCTGCCGCGCCGCCCAAAAAAAATATATTATTCACATTTAAGTCTACATTATTGATCATAAATTTGGGCAGAGAATGCCCGGTGGTACATTAATAAACACAATTGTAACTAAATAAGTAGCCATGCATCAATTATACAGCACTCTTATTTAGTCAGAAAGATGCTTTTATCTCTATACAATCACGGTTTCACCGGCAATAATAATTAAAAGAGGAAAATCTAATTTACAATTTTGTTTCACAAAAAAAAGACTGAGAATGCATTAGGAATCAACCAAATAATCAAGATATTAAAAAAATCACTCACCAAGCGTAGCAGGCAGAGGGCGGCGAGAGTGGCTTGTAGTGGTTGCCGAAGGTGTACATGTAGAAGAGCCACGGCGCTGGGAAGAGCAGGGTGAACATGTCCGAAAGGGCCATGGCCATGAGCACGACGTTGGTAGGGGTGCGCATGTGCCGCTTCGAGAGCACCACCACGATCAGGGTGTTGGCGATGATGGTGACCACCAGCAGGAAGGGCATCACGTAGCCATACAAGGGCTGCGCGTACTTGATCGGCAGCTCCTTGGTCACGTTCAGGTAGCGCACCGTGTAGTTGCCATCGTCAGGGTCAGTGGCGTTTGAGCCGCCGGACAGCATGTCCTCCCCGGAAAGGTCCATTTTGACCACCAACACTGGGCACTGACCTCAACTACGAGTCAAGCGGCTCACTTCAGCTCCCGCATATTCCTGCAACAAGTGGAAAACGTTCAATTCACAATAGGTCATTTTTTTTAAATTTAGAAGAATAATACTAAAAAAAGAACGGTTTTTCTTATATTTCAGGTTAAAATATGTATTGTGCTTTCATTTAACTTTCAAAATTTTGACAACATGATAGTTAAACACCATGTTTATTTTTCAGCAAATTTTTTACCTTGACGTACCTTTCAAACACATCATTATGTGCATTAATTTTTATTAATTGTGAATTGTGAGATAAAACATTTATGTATTTTAATTTAAGACATATAGACAAATTACAAGCTTGACAATCGTGGACAAAATTTTCTTCTTTCAAAAGTGGGGATTTTTAAGACTAGTTTATTTTATATTTATTTTTTTATTAAAAAAAAAAAAAAAAAAAAACGATAGATTTTCAAGTTTTCTAAGCTACTGTGAAAGACAAGGTTTTTTTTACCGGTTTTAACGTGTTATTAAAATATTTATGATAGATAGGAGCTTTTTTTAAATTCAGAAATGATTAAGAAAAAAATCTATGTTTTTAATGCATTATTTAAACTTCAATTTCAATTTCAATTTGTTTTATTCTCTACATAACAAGTAAAAATAAAATAAAAAAAGAAATGCTCTTGTATTTGGTGCTCATCAGATCAATATAATATAAAACTTCATAGCAGCTTTGTCGATATGAGGAATTTGATGATTAGTGCATAAATCAATCATTTGAAATCCTTCAAAAGAAACTTAAATTTAGCAAATTTCAAAGAGATTTATTAAATTTACAACAAAGAAAAATGTACTTTCGTCGCCTTGACAAATATTTTTCACGGTCCACATCACACAACTGAAGGTCCAAAAGGATCTGCCCAAAATTCTTTGAAAATCTTAGCAACCCCAGGTGAGCACTGGAGCAAGCGATCAGTGCGGCACAAGGACCAATTTCTGCGAGGCACTTTAAAAGCGCGGGCGAAGCCGTGGAATCGCCCCACTTGGCTCGATATTGGTTCCGACGACGGCAACAATACGGCCGTCGTCAACTTGTTCGATTCAAGCGAAGTTTGCCAATAAAAGTTGGGTGTACGCGTGTTTGCCACGACGAAGCAGAAGGCGCTCTCTTTTGAGGGAGAAGTAATTAGCCTGCGTCGCCTTTTGATGTGCCACCGCGCCACATGCAAATTCGACGCGCGTATCGATCGAGGAAAAACAGTTAAGTTGGAACCATACGCTCTTTATCCGCTCCAGACGCATTGTTCGATCGCACTCGCTTAACATCTTGTTGAACTTGATCAAAAACAATGAAACTGGTTGGCTTTGCCGTCTACTTGCAATAATTATAATTGGCATTAGCAGAGCAGAGTGCTTGACGTCTCGTCGAAATCTGGTATTATAATGAGCGACTATCCGAGATGTAATACGATCACATTGGTGAGTAAATATCAAAACGTAATCAGATAAATGTGTATCCGTCACTGGTGTGTGTTTCTCGTTAATTCCTAAGAAAATAAATTCTGTCAAGTTTATGGTAATTAAAAACGTGCTAATTAGCACTCAGAACTGTTTTCTCATTTGTATAGTTTGCCTCTTTAATTATAATCGACAAGATCCCACTCTCCAGGGATTTAAAGTTGCTTGAGGGAGAAATGGGAAATTTATAATTTACATCTGAAACTTTGAAATGAGAGTTGCTTCTTCTTCTTTCTTTTTTTTTTTATTACACAGAACACAGAACTTTGTGAAATTGCACTTTTAGCTGGGGAAAATTAATTTTTTAAACAAGAGGAATTTTTCGAATATCAACCCGCTGCCTGCAAGTGGGTGGCAGAACCAGCGGGGCGAGGCAGTAAAATGCAAATTTTATGGTGACGCGCCTGTTTTCCTGCCAAGTAAATATTCGGAAAATTTGCCTCTCTGATCGTCCGCCGGCATAATACCGTGCAGCTGTGTGTTTGAAAGCGTTCCGCCGATGTGCAGAGGAACTGCGCGAACATTAAAGCATAAAATTATGAGCAGTCGGAGAATAAATTATTGGTGCCTGGGACAGTAAAAGTCCGCGCCGGGTAATGGAGCTGCCGACTTGATCAATAGAGATTTATGCTCGAAAGCAGACTTTATGGTTATCTCTTCGGCGCTCTCGCTACTCGGGTTAAATTTATGAATATTTCCTCAAGCCGAACCAAATAACCTGAGAACATAAAAGCTGTTGAGGCAATGAGTGCAAACGCCAGATTTAGATCAAATTAATTATTTATCCTGGCGAATAACGAGCAGTGGAATGTTGATAATTTCTTTGAAAAAGCATTAACAAGTCTATTTTAGCGCACAAAATTATTTGCTTAGTTAGCCATACCCTTTTATAAATTATTTTCCTTGTAAATTTTAAAATTCTAATTCACCGAATTTTCCTAAAACAAATTAATTAATTTGTTACAGAGGGCAAGTCCCAAAAAATAAAATACCTGAAACACAATTAATAACTAATTGAATCAAATTGTTGAGTTCCAGTTAAATAATATTCCATGTATACACCAGTAAGTTAAATAAAATTTGACTGTTTCATTGAAAAATTTTGGGAAAATGATTAAATTTGCAATGTAGATATATTGCGATCTCATTCTAGGTCTCACTTTAATATTGAAGAAGCGCTTTTTACACGGGTGCAGCCTCTCACGTTTTTATAGCCAAATAAATCATAATAATGTTCAAAATGCGCGGGCTCTTTTGCATTCCAGGGCGCCTAAATATTTTAAGAGCTCGACGGCATTTCGCTCAAATTGCAATGAATATATTTATTGCTTAGGGAGGGAATTCCGTTGGTGCTGTTTTTGAAAGGACGTCAAGTTATTTGTACAAAAGGGTGGCGTGGGTGCACATAAATGTAAATCACTTTCGGCGTCGATCGATTCTGGGAAACGCAATAATTTGCAATAGCAAGCTGGGCTCCTAAATTTTCATTGTTTTCTGTGTTTGGCAGAGAGGAAAAATATGCATAAAAACGGATCATGTAGATGTTGATGGCAAATATATCTGCTGGAGATGAAGATTTCTAAATAAAAACTAAGAGCTCGTTTTTCACATTTCTAGCTTTGAAATATTTAAACATTTAATATGTTCAAATAGCCGTAGAAAATTTGAATATTAAAAAATATTTCCTCCAAAACTTTTTTTACAAAAAAAAAAAAAAAAAAAAAAAAATTGTAGGTTAAAATTTTTTGTTTCATTTTATCTCTTCGTGATGACTTTGGCCTGGGGTCTGATATTTTAATACTTCATTTGTTTTAATTGCTTTGTTATTCGTAAATAATTGTTAACAGACTCCTCTATTTTACTCTGAATGCTTTTTGCCCAACCTACATCAATTCCATTTGTAAACCACTTTACGTAAATGTTATTTATGATGATTGGATCAGTTGAGTTTTATTTTGTCGTGTTTTTGGCAAACGCATTCCATCACACAAATTTCAATATTCACCTGTTGTAATGTGTAAACACCAAACGGATCAACGTGACCAATTTCGGCTGGATGATGTGGAGTTCAATGGGTGGTGTTTAATATTCTAGTTCCAATAATAACACTTCATCCCACGGCATTCAAACCAAATAACATGGTTGCAGCAGAATTCAAGATCCGCCAGCTGCGTGTTTGAACAGAGTATTTGTGTGCCTATTGGTCCGTGAGCAATAAGCGTTTGGGTATTGGAAATCCTCCAGGCTTAAATATGGTCTGCTCTCTCGATGTACACACAAACATCCTAAACTGTCGGCTTTGCTGAAATTTTCGTTTCATTAATGTTTTATAAAGGATAAATTATTATAGCGCCGCTCTCGTGTGGTGGATGTGTGGGTGTCTGTTTTTTTTTACATTTGTACGCAGACGATGATCCGCTTCCGACCATCGCGTGCTTTATCCCAAACATCCACCATAAATTATTTCCTCTTTTGCGAAATGTTTGATGTGTGGCAATGCCGCTTTTGAATAAAGTTTGACCCTTTGCAACCTAAATGCTATGTATGGCAGAGCTCGCGATGAATCATTTATCCAAGGCGGAAAGAAATTTAACTGGTCAAAATTGCTAATAAGCTTGGGGCTTATTCATGCAACATAATATCACTTTTCATTAAATTTTCAATAACCTTAAATGTAGGTATATTCTCATTGAATTTTGGTATTTATTCATCAACGCATCAAAAGGCATTACAGATTTTGATTTGAAAAGGAATTAGAGAGCTCTTTCAAATAAATTTAAAACTGAAAAACAAAATAATTAAATATAAAATATAATTATACAGTTAAAAAATTAAAATTATTCAATTAAACCAGTATATTTTAAATATAGCTGCCCAAATTGTTAAAAGAGACACAATAGATTAAGATATTTTGAATAAAAACTGACAACATTTTTACTGAAAAAGCTTAACATGTAAATAAACTTGTTTAAAGTTAAACATAGCATTTCCTTTAATGCAAAGTGGGCGTAGAAGCCACCAACAAGATACAAATTGACCGAAACACTGTTTACTTTCTCGAACAGGCTCCAGCCAACTCGTTGCATGAGCTGTGGGGTGATAATGCAAATTCGCCGGCTGGCTGACGCTGCCAGAAACCAAAAGATGTTTGCTAAGGCACTCGACATTTTGGTGTGCAAACACCAATGAGAGAGCAGCGAGGTCGGGGGTCTTTTCAGGTATGTATGCGAAAGACATCAAAGCGCAACAAAGGTGAAAAGCAGCTCAAGGAGAAACGTATTTTCAACTAAAACTTCCGCACCATATCTTAATTTTTCCTATTTTAATTTGCATTTAATTCACAAACAAAAGCAATTCTATTAAGGAATTCTTTTTTTAAAGATAAAATAATTATTTTTGCTTCTTGTATTTTTTTCCTCTCATGAATCTTCAAGCAAATGTAAACCAAAATGGCAGAACGGAACAACGCCGTTTGCTGAAGTCCTTCTCATTCCAATGTTTAATTAATTTTCACGTCGTCTTTGGGATATGTTATTAGTTAA